TTATTGCTTCTTTTTCTCATCTCCTATCCTACCAATATGATCGATGAAACAGCAAAAGCGGTAAATTTTTTGCAAAATTCACGCGGTGGCAGGTGACAGGTGAAAATCCTGAAATGAAGAAATGAGAAAAGTTCAAAAATATCTGAAAATTGGTTCATGAAATTTTCGAATAAAATACGAATACGAAAAAATAAAAATAAAATTTTAGAAAACCCCCGTTCTATTCCAGATCGCCACCACTCCCGAGCTTTCCCCATTATCGAACGATCCAACGTTTGTCGTGTACATCATTCAAGGGAATCCCATTCTCTTAACATTCGTCATTCTGCTTGTTGCTTGTGGTGGGATTTGCGTTTTCACAATGACATTTCTTATGTATATCGCCGCGCATCAATTAACTTTAAACTCATTGGCTTTATCGCCGAAAACGATGTTATTGCAAAAGCGAATGCTCTACATTTTGATGATACAAGTAAGGAATATTAGTAAAATTCGTCTAAAATCGATAATTCGCCAGCTTTGTGCTCTCATCTGTTCATTTATTCTTCCATATGCGAGTTTTGTCCTTGTTAGCATCATTGAACGACTTGGGTTCCCAGTGGATTTTTATGATTACGGTAGGTTTTATCTCTAAATTTAAATTTGAATACAGCTAGAAAGCTACGGAATTCTTCAGTTTCACCATTCATTTGTTTAATCGGTGTCACTCACTCGGGAGTTACCTCACTTGTCGTTCTTCTTTGCACGAAACCCTACCGCCTTGCCTTGTGGAATATGTTTCGATGCCATAAATTGATGGAGGGATTGTGCGGAAGCACGACAGTTAGTTTTCCTTAATAAACAAAGCCAGAATGGTACATGGTTCCCAAATCATGTTTCAGACTAAATCAACTTTGCCTGGCAATCCATCTTTCATCGCTCCAAATGCCCACACAAATGAAATGTTTATGAAAAGAAGAGCTAACATCCAAGCAATGGCTTCCCTCTCACATCGCTCGGTGTCCAATAAGTAATCCTCAAATCGGTCATTGGAATAAATCTTCAAATTTCCAACAACAAAGCGTTTATTCAATAAGAGTATTCATCAAATAACAAAACCAAACTTAACAAGTTTTTTAACCGATCTGTCCAAAAGTTTAAAGAAAACTAACATAACAACTGAAGTACCTGCCTAAAAAATAAAAGCGAACGATAACCTTATTTCAATGGATCTAAAATGGCATCGCAAAATCGGGCTTGAAAACAAAGTGAAGAAGTTTGTAGTCGTTTAATTCAGGCAATCCAACACAAACAGTCCGCTGCCAAGTGGAAAAAAAATCACCTGAAAAATTAAATTAAAATGGGGGATAGCTGCGAAAACTGACCTGTCTTTTCCGCAACCGAATCCGGGCCTGCAGTGAGCGCGGCCTTTGCAACACTAACAAGATTGCGGAGACCGCTGTCCGACGTCATGTCATGGCACTCTAATCCACGGACACTCGCACATTTAGCCAGTTGATGAGACAAATAGACGACCTGAAAACGTCGATCAATATATTCAAATTTCAGTCTTTAACTAAAGCTAGATTCTATAATGCTTAAATTCCGCTTAAAATCATAAAAATAAACTCACAGCTAGTGTGACAGCAATGCGATGCAGTTTCAAAAACGCGTCGGAAAGGAATTGCTCCAAATCGTGTTCACGAATTGCTACTTGAAAATCATCAAGTATCTCGTCAATCAATGTGTGCTATAAAAAACATCAGTCAAACAATACTAGTGTCACAACCTACCACAGTCTCATTTGGTGTATATTTTTTTGGATTCTCAAGGGCAAATCTGATGGCCTTGTAAAGACGTGGATGTTGCACAGCTCTTGTCAACTCAACCTAAATTCTGTGCATTACAAAGGTAGTTATCGTATGAAACTTACACTAGTATTTCCAATCGTCATCATAAGACGAAGTATCTTTGAGTGATAACTGAACGAGAAATATAAGCCAGCTGGAACGTGAAACTTACACAACCACAATCGCCCAACATTTGATTATATCCATATCTCCGCAATGCCGATCCGATTTCAGTCCATTGCGAATCTCCATATTGATCTGGTTCATTGATTCCGCTTGGGAGTTTGGTTTTTTCTAAACAGAGTAAACTCATAAGTTGCTGCCAAAAAAATCTCTTCACCGATCCAAGTAAGTTCTGAGCCTGGCGACAATTGTTCTCAAAGGCTCTGAAAATATATTAGTAAGAGACAATGTAACGGAAAAATTCAACCGAGTGAGCGTTCCAATATCCCAGGTTTGTTTGTGCACAAGCTCTAGTACATCTTGCAAATTTGGGCCAGCCTCAAAGATCTAATTGAGTTTGATGATAAAATAACTTGGGCAACTAACCGTAGCTGCAATAGATTTGTGGCTGCTTGTCGAAGGCGTATTCACACTTGTGTTACTCGCTGATGCCCTTACAACTGGAGAATTCATCTGAACACGGGGAGACATAGCAGGGCGATTCACGGATACATTCCCTTTCGCTGGCTTTTGCAATGGAACCTCAATCACCTACGAATAAGAAAATTTTATATAAAGTATAAACAAATACCAGTGGCTCATCAGGCACTTTTAGAGTCGGCTTTTTTAAATTTGAAGGTTTTGCTGAAGTCGAATCTTTAACCATTGAGTCGTTGTTGTCGAACGTCTGTTTAGAGACAGGCTTTTCCTAAAGGGTACACGTGCGGCAAAAGTAAAACTATTACCGAAAGTTTTATTTTGGTTCTTGTCGACTCGATCACTTCAGCAATCGCTGTATCGTAATCCTTGGCAGTGTCTAGTTTCATGTGTCGGGAAATCAAAGCGTAAAGTTCCTAAACAAATTTAGAGTTTTATGTTTTAACAAGATTTAACACACAGGTCCCATATTATCGTAGCCACAAGCATGTTTCTGTCGAACTTTTTCAATCGACGCCTCAATGCCTGAACCTTGAATTTTCTAGAAATAAGAAAAAACAAACATTTGCAGATTTGGCCAGAGACTCCACATTTCGAACAAACATTAACATTTCCGTGGGTCTTTCCCTTCTTTTCTCCTTCACCACTCCATAACTTGATCATCGCGTTTACGAACGCAGAACAACGTCCCCTAAATTAAAACACATCAACGAAGCACTTGACAAAACCGACCTCACTGCTGACTCCATACAGTTGAGGAGCGAATATCCCGTGAAGTACATTGCACTCGGAATCCCATGAGCAAGCTGACGATCAATTGTCCTTCCATCTAAACAGACTAACTAATTTAAAACATTCACAAAGCAAAACCATAGTCATCAATGATTATGAACACTGGAGGAGGCTTCTTTTCAATGGCGTCAATGTCTTTTTTAGCCTAAAGCGGTACTAAATTGTTATACAAAATTTGCACACCTCTTCTCTAGTTGCAGATAAAAACGAGAATTTCTTTGCAAAAATGAGCCCTTCGTTCTCCAGGTTGACGCGAAGCTTTTCACAACGTTTCCTAAAGTAAAATAAGTACAGAAATTTTCAAAAACTAACAGAACAGCCTCTTCTGTGCGTAGGCTTTCCGTTGTAGATCCAATCTTGATGACATAGAAGTTGCGAGGGATCTAAAAACGAATGAACATGAACAAAGGAAACGCAAAATTCACCAATCCAATTGCTTCCTTCAAAGAATCCATTCTTGATGAGAAATCGACAATGAGCTAGGCTTGTTTCTAAAGTTAAACGTATAAGTTTCACGAAACGTTCAGCAAAGAAAGAAATTTAGATGAAATTCGTTCAAAAGCTATTGTAAGTTTAAGCCAAAAACAGTTTTTCTAGGGTTTTCGGCCACGCTAAATCGATTGGTAATATTTTTAGAACGTGTTTGTGACTTATTTCTTAGCGGTCGAGGCAGACCTAGCTTATGTCCGGTAACAGGCAGCCAGTCTTAACCTATGCCTGGTCAATACTCGAACGTGATTAAGCATACTAGACCGTGCTCGGTCAGTACGCTATATGTGTGGAGCCTTAGCCCAGATAAATAATACGCAAACAACGCGGGAGCGGCAAAGAGGGAGGTATGGAACACGTCTAGCCCCTTAACAACACTCGAGGCAGCATCAAGCCTATGCTCAGCCAGTACTCTGAGAGCCATAGCCTAGTATAAGCTTAGTGTAGCAAGGACAAGCTCTGAAAATATTAACGATCGATTTAGGGTGGCCGAAAACCCTAAAAAAACTGTTGGTACTAATAAATTGAGGGGGGGGGCACTTTTTTTTCTTCAAAACCACTTTTTCTGGGGTAATTTTATGTGTAGATCCCGAAAAACACAACGGGCGCTTGGGAAAATGCGTTTTAAGCCAAGTTTCGGGGCTCCAAAGTGCGGGCTTCTATCATGTACTTCACTTTGTAGAACCCAAGCTATCGACTATTGGGGCACTTTTCAAGGTCAAAACTGGCGCCAAAACCATTTTAACCACTAAATATTCATTTTCTAACTTAAATTGGCGCTAGTTTTGCCCTTGAAAGTGCCCCAATAGTCGATAGCTTGGGCTCTACATAGTATACTACAGAAGCACGCACTTTGGAGCTTCGAAACTTAGCTTAAAACACATTTTCCCAAGCTCTCGTTGTGTTTTTTGAAATCTACGCATAAAACTACCCCAAAAAAGTGCCCCCCTAACTTCATTAGTACCAAACAGTTTTTGGTACTTGCTAGAGGCATTTTTGAAGCCCGCCCAACCCGTATAGCCCCATTAAAATGATTAGAGAATTAGGATCGAAGTATTGCTAAATTGAGAAAGAGTTTCCAATGCGATAGGTGATAGTAAATTCGCGCTAACCGGTTTACTATAAGAAATGAGAAAAAACGAGAAAATAAAGAAGTTTGCACCTTTTAAATTCCTTTTGTGACTAAAAAGTGTGCAAACTTTCAATTGAATATCTTTTTGTTTCTTAAAAACTCGGAAAGGAAAATCCTGGCTTCTATTTATTTTCCCCACCTCTCTTCTACCTGCCACAATGAGCTGCAGTCCTTTGAAGATTCACCCAGTTTGTTAACTTTTGATAATATTTAATCTAATACATTTAGCATTGCCGTTTCGCTGTTCATATCGTTGCGGTCATTGGGAATGTGCTGCTTTTCCTTGCATTCGTCGCCATTTTTACTTCACATGTTTACTTGTTGGCGAAACTATACAGGTTGGATTTAGTTTCTTTAGGATCAGAAAAGATTGATATTTTTTCATGAATGGCTGGCATGGCTTTAAGTTAGTAGTTAGCCATCTAAAGCCTAAAGTTAGCCATTCACTTATTACCTAGGTGGCTAAGCTACTTTACAAAATTGAGATTAATGTTGATTTTGATGCTAATATCAAGTTTTTAGAAACCAATCGATGATCCTCATTCTCAATTCTGGTCTCATTTTTGTGCCTCTCCGCTTTGCATCGATTCTAATCGTTTCCACGGTGTGATCGAACTTTTGCAAAATGATATGCCTTTTAGATGGCAGCATGGTTTCACTTATTGGCAGCGATTCGTCTAATTAAATACTTTTTTGCACAATTTCGTAGCATCACGAAATGTTCAGGTTTCCGGGTTGGATCGTAGTTTGTTATGTTTTTTTAGACGAGGCGTTGAAATCATATTTTTATTGTTTCTTCACTGCATATCTACTGATTTTCTGCTCGTATTCACTCAAGAATCTACCGAAAGAATTTGAAAACGGATTTAAGCAAGTTGGCTAGTTTTTTTCTTTTAAATATTCCTTGTTTACAGGCGATTCGTACTTATAATTATTCGTCGGTGGCTCGAGAGGCTATAGATCAAGTACAAGTACAGTTATCTTGAAAGATACAAACTTTGTTCCTTTCAGAAATCGTATCAATGTTGTGGGTTGATGCGCGGTCAGGATTACTACATTTTATCGAGAATGGGCAAAGAATTTCTTGGGTGACTTTTATCTTTTTTAAAGTTAGTGTATATTTTAGGTTTGGCAGCTTTGCTCTGTGCAATACAACTTCAACGTCGTCATGTTTACCCACTTCATGCTGTCGCTCTAACGATTGCCACTTGGTAATTTTTAAAATTTCGACTGATATGCTTAATATCTATAGACCAGTATCAATAAGACGACTTTTAACGAAACACTTTACGATGCGGGTAAATTTTTTAAAGCTTTAATTTTGAAATAGTTATTTTTTTAGGATGTGGAAAGGCATTCCGCCAAGATCACAACGTTTGGCTATTTGCTCCAATTGTTTTAGCAATTTTCCTAGTTCTACAGGTATTTATGATATTTTTGGTTTGCTAGCCACCGATTTTTAGATTATTTCCGCTCTTCTTATGAACGTATCTTATTCGGCTTATGGTAATTGCAATTTTTAAAGTTTAAAATCTGTCATTCAGCTCTCTCCGATGGATTAAAATTTGAAACTGTCAAGAGCGTCCAATATTTTCTAATGCCTTGGCCGAATGTTGAAGCTTATGTGAAGGTAAATTTAATAGTTTGGCTGCCTAACTAAGCATTTGCTAGAGACGCTATCGTATAATGAGGGAGACGTGTATATCGGCTGAAACATTGGCTCGAGGTGAATTATTTTTCAGTTTCCTGATTGACATTGTAATTTAGAAGAAGAATTCTCAAGAAAACGTCAAAAGCTTTATCAGAAACTCCTTGAATCTGCGACTTCTCGCGAGAAGAATTCGAATGAAGAGGCCAATAAATGAAGGATTTGAACCTTTATCCATTTTCCTTTTTTCCAGTTAATAAAAGTTCTCAATTCTCAAATTTTGAAACCAAACGGGGTTGCGAAAGCCCAAAGCCTACACGGCTGTCCTATTGGTGAGAAAATCGTTTGCGGAGAGAGGCGTTTTACCATGAAATGCCGGGAAAAGAAAGTGAAAGGATGATTCGTTGGAAAACAATCCAATAAACATCCAAGTTTTGTTTTACCATTCTTATCGAGGTAAAAATCGAAAGTATATGATTTCTAAAAAAATCGTCCGTCGTACCTTAACCAAATGCAATACTTCCATTGGTCTTTCTTTGTTTGTTGCCCATTTTCTAATGTTTCTTTTCCAGAATGGCTGACGATTTCGACTATTATGACTCGTTCGATGTTATCAAAAATTTGCCGACAACTTTTTACAGCGATGAGGGTGGAGTGAATAGCAAGAAATGGCAGGAACGAAAAGACGCTTTGGAGGTAGTTTTTGTGTGCGTTACTTAGAGATAAATTGACTAAGAAAAAAAAATAAGTAAACTAGATAAAAATAAGCTTTTAAACAAAGTTTGTTATTTGGGCACTCGCGAAGCTCATCTCCGACAATCCGAAGCTCGATTCAAAGGCCAACTATGGAGAGTTAATTAGCACACTGAACAAGGTAGTTTTTGTTGCCAATATCTTAAATCTCTGTGTTTTAGCTACTTGGCAAAGATTCAAACGTCAATGTGAATGCGGTAGCAGCCCAATGTCTCGCCGGAATAGCTTACGGGCTACGTACCAAGTTTGGACCATATGCTTCGACGGTAAAAAGACTTGTTACTTATTTGTTTCAACAGCTTTTTAGGTGTTACCAACTGTAATTGAGAAGCTAAAAGAGAAAAAGGCGCTGCTTCGAGGACCGGTTGTTGAGTGCTTGTATAAAGTTGCATTTACGGTAGCGTGGTTTATTTTAACATTAAAAATTCTTGTTTAGACTTCACTTGATTCCCTTCAAGAAGCTCTAGTTGGTGGATTGGAGAACAAGAACCCGCAAATCAAAGCCCAAACAGCAGCATTCCTTTATCGTGCCTTCAAGAAGTACTCGGATAATACAGGAAAAGCCACACTTAAAGCTGTTGCCCCAATACTTGTCAAGGTAATTTACCGTAGTTTTTCTTGAATTATATTTTTAGAATACTTTGGACGCGGATCATGAGGTTCGATCAGCATCTATTGAAGCTTTGGGATCAATGCTTCGAGCAACGGGCCCCGGAGGAAATGCCTTGGTTAAAGAAATCGCCGAAGATAAAGCTCGAATGGAGAAAGTATGTCGTTTTTTGAATATCATAGCCATCTATCTGGATTTTAGGTCCAAGCAGCTCTAGAGCAAGCGAAATTAGAAGTTGCCGAAGAACAAGCGCAAGAACCGATAGCAGCAGCTCAACCAACTGTCAACCATGCACAAGAGGGCGAAGAACAGACATCTACAGCAGCGGTCTCTACTCTCGAAGCTGTCGATCCATTCGATTTTCTTGGTAAGTTTTAAATTGCTCGGTGCATAACGTCGAAATCTAGACCCATTTGATGTTGTATCGAAGCTCCCGTCTACATTCTATGACGATGAGGGTGGTGTTATGAGCAAGAAATGGCAAGATAGAACGGGAGCTCTTGAGGTTATATAATTTTGAGGTTGGCAATTAATCCGCATTTTAGGCGTTATTGAAGTTAATGGTCGAAAACCCAAAGCTAAATCCAAAGGCCAACTATGGAGAGTTGATTGGAACTTTGAACAAAGTATGTCGGCTTTTATGCAATTTATATAATTTTAAAATTTAGCTACTTGCAAAGGATTCCAATATCAATGTTGCAGCGCTGGCGGCAAAATGCCTCGGTGGTATCGCTTATGGGTTAAGGAGAAAGTTCGGACCGTATGTTCTCGGAGTGAGTTTAAGTTACAACGTTTTTAAAGTTTTCCTTAATTATAGGTTTTGCCATCAATTTTGGAGAAGTTCAAGGAAAAGAAGTCGCTGCTAAGGGATTCACTTGTTGAATGCATCGATCGCGTTGGAGCTACGGTAAAAACCGATAGTCTATCTAAAACCATGGTTGGTCTTTTAGGTTGATTTTGAGACGTTGGAAGAAGGATTGACACAAGGCTTGGAAAACAAAAGTAAGGATTTACTTTTAATTAATAATCAGCTAAAAGTTAATTTTAGATCCACAAATCAAGACTCAAACCGATTCCTTCGTCGAACGATATTTGCGCAAACCAACTTCACAGATAAAGCCGGAGAAAATCAAAGGGATTTGTGCGCACCTTGTGAAAGTAAGCAACTCATTGAATTTTCTGGTTTATTAACGTTTTTAGCATACCGGAGATCCTGATGTGGAAGTACGTGAGGCTGCTTACAACGCTCTTGGTTCAATTCAACGAATTATCGGCGAGAGGGTGCTTATGAATTGGTGTCAAGATATTGCAACGGACAAGATCAAAATGGCGAAGGTTTTGTTTCAATGGTCTTTAATAATTTATTCGTTTTCTAGGTTAATGAAGCAAGTCAAAAGTTGATTCACGAACTTGGCCCCCATGTGCCCGTCGCGGCTAGCCATCCCTCAACTTCGACTGCTTCCGATCAGTCATCAAAGAAGTCAGTCCGGCCAAAGTCATCAAACAGTAAGCAATGCGCCGAAGAGAAAAATATTTTTTGTGTAGGCAGCTTATCCGTTGTGGAATCTAAAAAGCAGAAGATCACGAAGGAAAACAAAGTTAGAGGTAATTTAATTTGATTGAAACGATGTGAATTCTGTTTAGAATCCGCCCCCATTGTGCCCGTTGTGAAAGTAGAGAATCGAAAGAAAACTCCTGCTGTACAAAATGGAATATCCAACAACATCACCAAGAAAGCGCCGCTCCCTTCTCCACCGACATCCGCTCAAGGGAAACCACCGAATGCATCACGGAAAGGTTCCTTTCTCTTAGTTCTTGATATATCTAAATTCTTTTCCAGTATGCTCGCAAGTGACGTCAGCTCGAAGCCCTCGATTGTACAAAGAAGTCGACTTGACCGGCTCAAAGATGCCCCGTTTCCGTCCGAACACTGCATAATTCAATTTTGTCTATAAGTTCTAGTTCTTGCAAATCATTTAGTGTCTGCCATTTTCTTTGAAAATCGCTTACTATGATATCATTTTTATTCTGTGATTTTCATTCCGAGGTGTTCATTACTCAATGCCCATGCATTTGTTACTCAGTGTTCCATTTTGACCTTTTTACTTTTATTTTGGTATATATTTTTTGCATGATTGATAAACATTAAATTTCAACGGTAATCATTCATTTCAATTAGACATAATTGGAAACTGTTTTCTAAAATTTGGATAGTTTCGACGAGAAGTGCCAGTAAGCAATTTACATTAATTAGCATTATCTTGGCTCAGGTGCAAATTTCGAAATGAATTTTGATCATTCTTACATTTTTCCAACAACAAACATCTTTTATTTAAAGTAAGTGCTTTAGTTATCTTTATTTTAAAGTTATTAAGCTTGTTCGAACGTCCATTTATCTTTTGCTTTAGTAAGAATGAAGTCTAATTCAACGAAGAGTGGTGTCTCGTCTTGCAAATCAATCCCCGTGCCAAAGGTGATCGTCTCTCAATTGCGCGTCAAATGCCATTGTTGCCATCGAGAAATCAATGAAACACAGTGTTCAGAGGTAAATTCATCTATTTTGCGGATAACAAAGTATTTTGTGATCGTTTTAAAAGTTAACAAAAGTTATTTTTTCGAGTGATTGTATACGTTTAATGAATTAGTCGCGGTTAAAACATAACTAATTTTATGCTTAAAGCCTAAACAGAGCAAAGATTAAGATAAAAATTGAAAGATTTAGAAAGATTAAAGATTTAAAGATAAACTTGTCTTCTATAACGTCATTTTTAAAGATTATCTCTATTGATTGCTTTAGAAAGGTGGCGTTTTATCGATTTGCGGTCGTTTTCTACATGAAGAGTGCTTTGCGTGTGTCTCGTGCAAGATTCATCTTCTGCAACCGCATCGAATTCCATTCCGGTAGTGCCTGATCTTTTATATTAAGTGCTTTTCATATTTTAGATTTTCTAACGAAACCCTCATGTGTCTTGATTGCTTTCAAATCGCTTTTCATCCCAAGTGTACAGGTGGATTTTTTGTTGTAGCTTTATATTAAATCAAATTGCTTTAGGTTGTGGCTGTGTGGTTCGTGAGAGAGGATATGTGGCAATGAACAATTTGTGGCATCGTCAGTGTTTCCGATGTGCTCGATGTCAACAAGTGATGCCTGGTGAGTGGTTTTATTATTTATTTATAGGAAACGATAGAAAAAGTAAAAAAAAGTAATAGAGATAGGTAAACTTTATACATTGCTTGACTAGAAGCGGGGAAATATTTTCATTTTTGTGGTGGAGTCAAAAAAAACCATCGATCACTTGCTTTTTCATATCTACATTCATATAAATCCTTTTCAAATCATTTTAAAGCAATCAACTGGTGATTCTTGGGTTTTTGTGGGCATTCTTTTCGGGCGTCTTGATGGCGCTTCTTTTCTTTCAATGGAAATTGCCTGAGTGATGGCTCTTGTTGTTTTTTCCTGTCTTTCTCTACTTTTTACTGCCACCCACCCGTCTAAAATTCAATTTTCAACTATTTATAATTTTGTTCACGTTTTAAAAACAATTTTGTGCTTATCTCTGCCAAAATCTCCATTCAGTATTTAATACTTTTGTGATTCTTTATCATTTTACCAGAGCAGAGCTTGGTAAAATGATAAAGAATCACAAAAGAACAGTTCATTTGAAACTAAGTTTGTGCGGATTTAAGTAGCAGAACAAGAGTAGAGAATAAACAATGCAAAATTTAACATTGTTAGTAGCAAAACAGAAGCCATTTGAATTGTTAAAGTAAAGAGTGAAATTGAGTAATAGTAAATTTACTTGTTAATAGTAGATTTTCTCGGTTTCTCTCCTTTAAACTTAATTCATTCAGGTCTCGACTTTAACGATGTGAACGGGGTTCCTTTCTGCACGGATTGCTCGTTCATCATCCAACTTGAGGCAACGATTCCGCCAAAAGAATAGCAAACGACTCAGTGAATTGTAAATGATTGTAAATAAAGATTTAAACGGGTAAAAAGCTTAGTTCTTTGATAAAATGACAACTTTCGTTGAATTATATTAAATTGTTTTTGTTATTGCGAAAACATTCACAATTTTTGTGGTTTTTTATTCAATATCTATTATCGGGATAGGCTACTTTGCGCCAAATTTTTTTGCGCAACTGGGTCTTTTGCGTAACTCGCCATAATTTCCTTCTAAGTCGGTGAATCTTTATGATTTTGGTTTCATTTCGTTACACTTACAGTCATGCACAAAAGTCTTGTAACATCCTTGCCGAATTGACTCTTCATCATGACGACTCCGTCGCTCGCATTGAGATCCTTGTTATTTTTGTGAGCTTTGACGAGCGCTTTATCCTCTCTGGGTGTTGCAATTGGTGGACGACCTGATTTTAAAGCTCGGTGAGCAGATCCAGTCGTTTTGAACGTCCGGACAATTATAGATACGTTTTTTCACTGCATTTGAAGAGAGCTTTCCTCTGAATTCCTTTCTCTCGCGCTTCCACAATTTTTTCTTTGTCCCGAGTTGACAAATATTGTCCAGGCATCTAAAAAAAATAATTTTTTGTTTTATAAAAAGAAAATAAAAAAAAAGCAAAATACTTCAAATGTTACAAGACTTTTGAGCATCAAAAATACGCCCGTTTTTTGTTTTTATTTGTTTTTCTTAATTTTTGTTAATCGTTTCAATAAAGTTTTTCTTGCATATAAAAATAGAAATTTTTGACAACTCAAAAAACCAAAAACTGTTTGGGAATTCGCCTCTTTGCAAAAAAAGTTATTACACTTTGAAATTTGCTACACTGGATGTTACAAGACTTTTGTGCATGACTGTATTGAGGTCTACAAAATCATAAAGATTGGCTGACTTAGAAGAAAGTTATAGCGAGTTGCGCAAATAAAATGGCGGAAATTAGCCTACCCCCTATTATCGAATAGAAATAATCGATCAAATAATAGTGCTGAAATTAATTCCCGAGATGATTTGATCTTTTGACAACGAAGCAATAATTTTTTCAACCATTCACATTTCTAATGTTTGAATTTTTAGATTTTAATACGTTTTGTGGAGAAACGATCAGCATTTACAGCAATTCGGATGTAGGTTTTATTTTTCTGGAGGCTTAATCTAATACTTAATATTTGTAAAATTGCATTAACATTGTAAACAGATGATGCCGACGATCGTGAGTGACCTTTTGATTGGTGGGAACAATGCGGAAGGGGATTTTTACGACGAGTGCCAACGGATCTTTATGGACTATTGAAAGAGCATGTAACGGTTTCGGAGATGTAAATAGATGTAAATAGAAAATGATTCTTTAACTCACAAATTTATCATTTTTGAGCTTAACACATTCGCGACGATACGGCCCACCGGTGGGCCGTATCGTCCGGTGAGCCTGATCTTGTTATTCCTAACCTCAAACTAAAAAAAGGAACAAACTACTTGTGAAATAGTACTTGAAAACTTGACTTTGACGTTTATTTTTTAAAAAATAATAGATAAAATGATAAGTGTACTTTAAAGATGACTTTAAAGAGTGATAAAGTGATTTTTAATAGACAAAATGCATATAGTTTTTATCTATTGGGTTGTCCAGTTATGAATGCGCGTTTTTTACTATTCTGTAAATTTCTCAAGATACCGAAATCAAGAAAAAGATATATATGAGTGTTATTCGAAAGCCGAAGATCTCCTCTACATTTTGATATAAAAAGTTTTTGAATTCGTTCAGCTTTTGGGCAAATTGACTGCACAGAAGAAGCGGTGGCCAAAAAATGGAAGGGTGCCTTTGGATCAAGTTTTGGCTCCGTTCAAATTGAGTTAACCGTTTGATGTTTGGCCCATAGATATATCAATATAACTTTTTTTAAAATATAACAATTTCAGAGCATCTTTACTTTACTTTTCTTTTCTGGGCGGTTATTTTACACCATAAAACTTGAGGAATAGCTAAGCTGGAATGGGTTTTTTTCTCGAAAACGACCTCTCCCTTTGTGCAGTCAATTACCCAAAAAGTTGAATGAATTCAAAAACTTTTTTTATTCCAAAATGTAGAGGAGATCTTCAGCTTTCGAATGGTATTTAACACTCATATACATCTGTTCGATATCTTGAGAAATTTACAAAATAGTAAAAACGCGCATTCATAACTGGACAACCCAATAAGAATACAAAATACCTTGTAATTTGTCAGATAAATTTCTAAATTTCAGCAAACGATCGTTTTTTATCTACTGGATCCTATCGATCCTAAACGATCGATTTTTATCTACTCGACCGCTTGCCGCTTGGTCAAACAACAGCTGAAACAAGGATTCGAATAGTTGGATCGTTTTAAAATAAAGACGATTGTTTAGTCTAAACATAGAGCTTAGAAAATATTCAATTTTGGTAACTTTTTTTGAACAAAAGTGTACTTTAAAAAGTAAACATTTCAGAATTTATCAAAAGCTTTCCTCATCCCGAACTCCCATATTCATCGCTGTTGAACGAGCAGTGATTTGAGCAGAGACGTTTGTCCTAATGAAATTCTAATAAAAATCCAGTGAACCCTTTCCGAAATGCAATTTTGATGGTGATATGGAAAAAAAGGAAAGCCAGTGATTGATGAATGATTTGAGTCGTTATCAGTTTTCTCTAAAAATTTTTTTTTATTTTCTTGAAACTTCCTGGTAAAGATGGACTTAAAAATTGGAAAATTAGAAATAAAAAAAGTGATTGGTCAAATTGGTGCGACAAAGAGAATCAATAAAAAAAACACACCAACAATTAGACATCCAAATCTTTCTAAATCAAATCAAATTCTAATTTCCCAATAAAAAAAATAGCAAGGTTATAACACACCAACAATTAGACATACACACAAACTTGTTAAAAGCAATTGAAATTTTGGAATTCGAAAATTAGAATTTGATTTGATTTGGAAAGATTTCGATTTGAGTTAATTCTTGTACGCAGCTAAATATAGCAATTGGCAATACAATACTTAATGAGTACTGATTTCTGTACGCTACGTAGATTCCCGTATGCTATAGATTGCCGTACGCTATCAGTATTCTGTACGGTTCCAATACGGTTCTTTTTTTGATCTAATGCGGTTCTAATACGGTTCCAATACGGTTCCTTTTTTGATCTAATACGGTTCCAATACGGTTTTTTTTTTGATCTAATGCGGTTCCAATACGGTTCCTTTTTTGATCTAATACGGTTCCAATACGGTTCCAAAACGATTCCAATACGGTTCCTTTTTTGGTCTAATACGGTTCCAATACGGTTCCAATACGGTTCCTTTTTTTGATTTAATTCGGTTCCAATACGGTTCCAATACGGTTCTTTTCCAAGTCTAGAGACAGTTCTAACCATATATAACCAGTACAATGCTCGGTTATCTAGTACAGTGTCAAGTACGATTTTCAGATCCACAGCAGTTAGACACTGCTCGTCCTTTTATGAGTTGGGGCTGGGAATAGTCGGCGCCTCTCGGTTCGAACCCGTCACCTCTGGCTTATCGGGAAAACGCTCTACCACTACGTCTACCACTGACGTGTATCCCATTACGACCAGGATAGGGCCTTACTCGGCATTCATTGTTTAGTACAAATTCCGACTCACAATCAATACAATACTCAGCCAGAGACAAGAGAGTATTTTAAAGATACCAAAAAGAAAACAATTAATATCTGAATCTAATTTTTATATCCGACTTTTGCAAGAAGAATTCTTTTCTTTGATTTACATTAAATCTTTCGACAAATTTATGGTGGAACGGAGAGGAAATCGGGGGTATAAATTGAGAGAAAATGGAAATGATAACAGAAAGATTTAACCTTGCTATTGAGCTGTTGTTGTTTTTTTTTTTTGATCAAATCTTGATCGTTTACTTTTCATTGAAAATAACTTTATAGTGAAAAAGCTTTCTCTAAAATCTACCGTAAATACTGTAATAGTACCCCACCGCCCTCGTAAAGTCGCGTAGCCTGGGGTACTATTAATGAAATTGTTTTGGCAAATCTTTCTAGTAGAGCAACCCTTTGAGGACAATATTAGATCATCTTGTAGTGAATTAAATTCTGCGTCGATTGGTACCAAATTTGTGAGTTTAGGTTAAAAATTGCTGGCGCAACAACGTTTCGTTCAAAGCTAGACTACGCAACACTCCGCACCGTCATTATGCGGCTGGGGGTACTATTACAGTATTTTTACGGTATCCCCTTTCTATATATTGCCAAATTTTTATTCAAAATCTATCCACTTTTTCTCTCAGTTTATGGTTTTAAAAAATGATTTGATAAAAAGAGATTTGATAAAAATAGAGAAGAGAAAACGTTAGAGAAGAGAAAGAACATTATTTATTGTTTCAGGATGAAAACGATCGTCATCTTGATACTTTTTAGCATCAGCTTTCTGGCGATAAGTTTAGCTGATGAGGAGGAGGGAGAAAAGGTAAACGTTTTCATGTAGAATTTCAAAAATCTAATTTTATAAGTTGACAAATGTCCAAATAATTTATAAACACACAAACAAACACAATTAGAGGGTTTTTCCCCTTAAGAAATCGTGTGAAATAGGAAAGTGGTTATGTACTGTTATTTCTCTAATAGCTTTCTCTCTAGTAGAGAGAGAGAAAGCTATTAGAGAGGCTATTATTTCTCTAATAGCTTTCTTCTCTATCTTAAGCTTCGTCTAAATTGCTTGAAATCTCAAAAACCGCTTATCAGAACCTATCGACCGAGAGACGTTTGGGGCGGTGATCGATGTGCAGTGAAACATTGATATACCGTTATTTCTTTAATAGTAGCGCATCTTAAGCTTCGTCTAAATTGCTTGAAATCTCAAAAACCAGAACCTATCGATGTGGGGTCAGAAAATGTAGCTGACGATGAGATCTAGTGGGGGATTTGAGTGTTGAGCTTTTGGGAAAACTTGGAAACCGTAAAATAGTCATCAACTTGGCTCTGCGGGGTGCACTACTATTAGAGAGAATACGGAGAATATAGATACTTTATGCAGAAACTGAAATAAAGGGAGCTAGATTTAATGCAGATGATTTCATACACATAACACGAAAAGGGCCGATAAAAAGCAACACGATATAATGGATGTAATAACGTAGCACAGATAACGTCAAGAATCCACTAGAGCTTCAAGATCAAGAACAAGATCATCTACAGATAATTTAAAGGTTTCGTGACTATTGAACTCTCTGAAAAAATGTGAAATAGGAAACGGATAAACTGAATATCTTGGATATCTTGAGTTCTTGGTTACCTTGAGTTCTTGGATATCTTGAGTTCTTGGTTACCTTGAGTTCTTGGTTACCTTGAGTTCTTGGTTACCTTGAGTTCTTGGTTACCTTGAGTTCTTAGATATCTTGAGTTCTAGGATAGCTTGAGTTCTTGGATATCTTGAGTTCTTGTATATCTCCCACAATTTTTAAGATATTCAGTTTATTTTAAAAGCACTTGTTTCCTTTTTTGCTTTATTTCTTGTGTGGACACTTTAAAAACAATTTGGAAGAAATTCGGTATCAAAATTTTTCCACAAACTTTCTTCCCAATCTAATCGAATAAATAAATCTAGTGACTTAAAAGTTAAGAGAAATTTTCAGATCGTTGATGTTGACGCTTTGGATAGTTCGGTGAAAGCGGATCTCGGCGATGATACAGATGATTTCAAGAAGTTCAATAAAAAGTACACAATTTTACAGTTTACAGTTCAAATTTAGCTTAAATTAGCTGAAATTAGCTGAAATTTAGCTCAATTTAGCTTCATTTAGCTCAAATTAGCTCAAATTAGCTCAATTTAGCTCAATTTAGCTCAAATTAGCTCAAATTAGCTCAAATTAGCTCAATTTAGCTCAATTTAGCTTCATTTAGCTCAAATTAGCTCAAATTAGCTCAATTTAGCTCAATTTAGCTCAATTTAGCTCAGTTTAGCTCAGTTTAGCTCTAATTAGCTCCGTTTAGCTCTAATTAGCTCAAATTAGCTCAGTTTAGCTCAATTTAGCTCAATTTAGCTCAATTTAGCTCAATTTAGCTCAGTTTAGCTCAATTTAGCTCAATTTAGCTCAAAGTAGCTCAGTTTAGCTCAGTTTAGCTCAATTTAGCTCAATTTAGCTCAAATTTAGCTCAAATTAGCTCAGTAGCTCAAAAAAAGCATTAATCTGATGAATTTAGATTCAACAAGAAATTCAAGAATAAACACATCAAGAAATACGCAGCGAATTTCAAGAAAAACAACAAACGATTAAAGGCGATGAAAGAAAAAGTGAAGGGAAGAAGGTTTAAAGTGAAAATGAACAAATTTATGCATTTAACGCCTGAGGAATTTTCAGAGGTGGGGAAATTTTTTGGTTAATTTAGATTTTGAAATTCATTTAGAAAGTTTTGCTGAAAGAGGATGCGATGGAGTTTCACGAGAAGAGCAATTCCATCGATCACAAGGTTTATTTCTTTATTCTTTGAGCTGAAATTTGTAAACGCACTTTTCTGACGCACTAAACTCTTTCGAGAAAATGGAGAGCTCAATTGAAATCATGGATGATTTAGTTACGAAAAAATTTAGAAACTTTTTTGAAAGCAAAAAACTTTAGAACAAAGAACACAGCTCTGAGCTTTTGAAGAGCTTCAAAGGAGCTTTAAAGGAGCTCAGAGAGCTTTAAAGCTCTTTAAAGCTCCTCTGAAGCTCTTTAAAGCTCTTTAAAGCTCTCTGAAGCTGGTTAAAGCTCCTCTGAAGCTCTTTAAAGCTCTTTAAAGCTTCTGTAAAGCTCTTTCAAAGCTCTTTAAAGCTCATTTAAAGCTCTCTGAAGCTCTTTAAAGCTTTTTAAGGCTTCTTTCACGCTCTTCAAAGCTCTTCAAAGCTCTTGAAAGCTCTCTAAAGCTCTCTAAAGCTCTCTAAAGCTCTTTAAAGCTCATTAAAGCTCTTTGAAGCTCTGTAAAGCTCTTTGAAGAGCTAAAAGAACATTATCAACTTTAAAAACCTTAGTTTTAGACGGCTAAAAAGTTGCGAGCGGCAAAGAAAGCGGCGAAAAGAAAAGGCAAAGGCAAAGGACATGTTGGCGATGAAGGAGCATTACCAGTATCACCTGTAAAAGCGGTAAAAAAGCACAAATGCACTTACAAGTTTTGCTAACACTTGTTCACAGAAAGCTTGAGTCAATTAACCTGATCAAAACTAAAACTCCAATTATTTAAACGAATAATTTGATACAAATAATAAAGAAGCACAATGGGAAAGCCTTAAATCTAGGGAAATTTATTTATATGGAAAAGATCTAGCGGGAATTGTATTAGATCAAAAAGGAACCGTATTGAAACCGTATTAGATCAAAAAGGAACCGTATTGGAACCGTATTAGATCAAAAAAGGAACCGTATTGGAACCGTGGGCTGCTGACTAAGAAACAAGGCTCTTAATGATTACTGACTAACATAACAGCTAATTGCCGACTTAATAGTAATGGAAAAGTATGCAAAAACATTAAATACGATGGGATTTTGACTAAAACATTGTTTTTGAAGCTCTTGAAGTGAATCTTGAAGCTTATAAAGTTTTAAATATAAAAAACTAGCAAAAGCACGAGATTTTGGTATTTTTGAATGCTGTGTTTGTATGTTTTTTCGAAGATTTTTGGTGAATTGTGAGATTGCAGTGCAAATCAATAGTTTGTTTTTGAGGATTATAGGACGCTGAGAAATTCTCTTTTTCCGATGTTGGCTCAGCGCTTAGCCAGTTAATTTGGGGTAGTGAAACGGTGAGTTTTCTTGAGAGAAAATATTCTGTTCTTTTCGAGTAATGCTTTTTTTGTTTACTTTTGAGGAACTATCGTAATCTAACTGTAAGCTAAGCTGAAAGCTGTAGGCTAAGCTGTAGGCTGTAAGCTAAGCTGTAGGCTAAGCTGTAAGCTTTAAGCTAAGCTGAAAGCTGTAAGCTAAGCTGTAGGCTAAGCTGTAAGCTAAGCTGTAGGCTGTAAGCTAAGCTGTAGGCTAAGCTGTAAGCTAAGCTGAAAGCTGTAAATTAACTCTTTTAGACTACTAAGGCTCCAACGAAGGCAACAACGAAGCCAACGACCAAGGCAACGACCAAGGCAACGACCAAGGCAACGACGAAGGCAACAACGAAGGTAACGACGAAGGCAACGACTAAATCGGCAGTGACAACGAAAGCGACGACAACGACGACAGCGTCGACAACGACCACAACGACCACAACCGCGGCTGCTTTACTTCAAGATGAGCCATTGCCAGAGAATTTTGATTGGAGGAATGAGGGAGTAATTACACCGGTGAAGAATCAAGGAGAATGCGGCAGTTGTTGGACGTTCAGGTAGGCTAGAATGGGCTAGGTGAACCTATTGTTAGGACTTGGTTAACAAGAAGTGCTTGAGCCATTTAAACCAAAGAATCTTCAGTGCCGCTGGCGTTCTTGAGGCTCAACACGCGCGAAAGTACAACAAAGAGATGCTTGATTTGGCTGAAATGGTGAAAAGAGCTGAAAAGAGCTTATTTTTTCATTTGATTTTCTTTTTCAGCAAATGACATGCGTTTATGCATCAACGATTTGTGATGGAGGCGCTTCAGAAGATGCTTTTGAGTAAGCACAACAGAGAGATGCTTGATTTCGTTTTAATTTCAGATACTATCAAACAAGCCCAGGAATTGGTCTCGAAAAGGATACTCCATATGATCCAAAAGCATCAATGACATGTAAAGTGAAGGTTTGTTTAGAACAAAAGAAGGAATTGAGGAAGAATTGGGTTTAAAGAGGGGTTTAAACCGTTAAACCTTTTGCTTTTCGATTATTTCGATCAATTGCTTTAACCACTGAGCTATTTGGTAATTCCTAAGGGAAAGAGGGAAAGACAAGGGGGAAGAAGAGAGAAGGAAGGAAGGAAGGAAGGAAGGAAGGAAGAAGGAAGGAGATCTAAAGCTACCTCAAAGCTAAAGTAATCTTGACCAGATCCAGGACCACACAGCCTCACCTATAAGAGGGTGCCAAACCGGGAGGAAACAAAAGCAGTTGTGGTCTGGGGGATAGAGTGCTAGACTCTAAAACCGCTGCGAATACTGCTCGAGGGTTCGACTCCGCTTGCCGCCAAATCTTTTGTTTTTTTTGGAAAACACTTTATGATTATTCTAGTGTTTTAAAGTAGTAATTAGCTATTTTTACAGCCTTTAGGTACGGCTTTACAGCCTTTAAGTACGGCTTTACAGCCTTTAAGTACGGCTTTACAGCCTTTAAGTACGGCTTTACAGCCTTTAAGTACGGCTTTACAGCCTTTAAGTACGGCTTTACAGCCTCTTATAGGTACGATTCGCGGTTTGCTAAAAATTGCCAACACTTTGGACACGAAAAAAGTGTTTCTTAGAATTTTACGGGGGCTTTTTCTAGGTAGATCGGATTTCAAAAATCGATGGTAATTTGAAATTGAAATTGAAGTCTTTTGAAACAGTTCCCTAGTCAGTCTAATCAATTATTCCAACAGTCCCTAGTCTAATCAATTATTCCAACAGCTCCCTAGCCAGTCTAATCAATTATTCCAACAGCTCCCTAGCCAGTCTAATCAATTATTCCAACAGCTCCCTAGCCAGTCTAATCAATTATTCCAACAGCTCCCTAGCCAGTCTAATCAATTATTCCAACAGCTCCCTAGCCAGTCTTATCAATTATTCTAAAAGTTCTATTAGAGTTCTAAGTCTTCAAATCCAACTCAAAACTGATTTCAGCCTCCCACTCCAAAAGTGAAAGTCGCTTCTCACATTAGTCTCCTTGGCTCAACGGTTGATGAAATCAAAGACGCTCTTATCACTGATGGACCAATTGGAGTCGGTTAGTGATTTCCATATTCTTAACGGCATTTTTAAGGCATTTTGATGCATTTTGAAGCAGGCATTTTGGCATTTTGACGCATTTTGACTCATTTTGACTCATTTTGACTCATTTTTGACTCATTTTGACTCATTTTGACGCATTTTGACGCATTTTGACGCATTTTGACTCATTTTGACGCATTTTTGAGGCATTTTGAGGCATTTTGACTCATTTTTGACGCATTTTGACTCATTTTGACGCATTTTTGAGACATTTTGACTCATTTTGACTAATTTTGACGCATTTTGACTCATTTTGACTCATTTTTGACGCATTTTGACTCATTTTTGAGGCATTTTGACTCATTTTGACCCATTTTTGAGACATTTTGACTAATTTTGACTCATTTTGACTCATTTTGACTGACTGACTGACTGACTGACTCAAATTCTCGTCATTAGTACAGTCGAGTAGTCGTGAATGCTTTAAGCAAATCATATCTGGATTGTTACCGTAAATACTGTAATAGTACCCCCACCCCCATAATGACGGTGCGGGGTGTTACGTAGTCTAGCTTTGAACGAGTTTTTCTCGACACTGGTTTATGCTAGAATGCTCGCTTAGGTATCAAAAAATAGCCCTGAATTTCAGCTATCTTTTGATACCTATTATAGCATTGTAGCATAAACCAGTCTCGAGAAACATTCGTTCAAAGCTAGACTACGCAACACTCCACACCGTCATTAACGGGGTGGGGGTACTATTACAGTATTTACGGTATGTATTTAATTATTGGATTATTTTACATAGAGAACTTTAGGAATCTACGTGAACGATGAATTTATGTATTATGGAGGTGGAATTTTCGATGTTCCATGTATTGGAAAAGCGCTCGGAGGACATGCGATGATCATCACTGGATATGGTGAGGCTTTTCAAATTAAATAGAACTGTATAGTATACAGGAAAACAGTGTAAAGCCTGTATTAATACATGTCTATATTCATACAGGGAACCTGTATGAAGGGAACCTGTATGAAGGGAACCTGTATGAAGGGAACCTGTATGAAGGGAACTTGTATGAAGGGAACCTGTATGAAGGGAACCTGTATGAAGGGAACCTGTATGAAGGGAACTTGTATGAAGGGAGCCTGTATGAAGGGAACTTGTATGAAGGGAGCCTGTATGAAGGGAACTTGTATGAAGGGAGCCTGTATGAAGGGAACTTGTATGAAGGGAACTTGTATGAAGGGAGCCTGTATGAAGGGAACTTGTATGAAGGGAACCTGTATGAAGGGAACCTGTATGAAGGGAACCTGTATGAAGGGAACTTGTATGAAGGGAGCCTGTATGAAGGGAACTTGTATGAAGGGAGCCTGTATGAAGGGAACTTGTATGAAGGGAACTTGTATGAAGGGAGCCTGTATGAAGGGAACTTGTATGAAGGGAGCCTGTATGAAGGGAACTTGTATGAAGGGAGCCTGTATGAAGGGAACTTGTATGAAGGGAACTTGTATGAAGGGAGCCTGTATGAAGGGAACTTGTATGAAGGGAGCCTGTATGAAGGGAACTTGTATGAAGGGAACTTGTATGAAGGGAGCCTGTATGAAGGGAACTTGTATGAAGGGAGCCTGTATGAAGGGAACTTGTATGAAGGGAGCCTGTATGAAGGGAACTTGTATGAAGGGAGCCTGTATGAAGGGAACTTGTATGAAGGGAGCCTGTATGAAGGGAACTTGTATGAAGGGAGCCTGTATGAAGGGAACTTGTATGAAGGGAACTTGTATGAAGGGAGCCTGTATGAAGGGAACTTGTATGAAGGGAGCCTGTATGAAGGGAACTTGTATGAAGGGAGCCTGTATGAAGGGAACTTGTATGAAGGGAACTTGTATGAAGGGAACTTGTATGAAGGGAGCCTGTATGAAGGGAACTTGTATGAAGGGAACTTGTATGAAGGGAACTTGTATGAAGGGAACCTGTATGAAGGGAACTTGTATGAAGGGAACTTGTATGAAGGGAACCTCTATGAATCTAGACCTGTATTTACACTGTTAATAGGTCTGTATTAATACAGGCTTAAATGGAAATTTTCGACCTGTATTAATGTATTAATACAGACCCTGTATTAGTACAGGCTTAAATAGCAAATTTGTAAAGTAACACTGTATAGTAAGACTTGTTAAATTAAGTAGACTGTATAGATAACTGTATAGATAATAACTGGAAAGTGAGCAAAGCAGAAAGCAAAGCAAAGCAAAACAAAGCAAAACAAAGCAAAGCAAAGCAGAAAGCAAGTATAGATAATTCTATTTATAAAGGATTCTAAAAACTCGGTTATTTCTTTCACTGGATTTGGTGAGACTTTTCGAATTAAATAGACTTTATCGTAAAAGTAACTAGTTTAAATGTCTCAAATTCAAAGAAAACCCAGCTTTATTTACTCCTTTTTACAAGAAAACAATGAATTTCGATTAAGGATCAAAGTTTAAAATGGGAATTTGAACTGAGTGCGGGTAATTGTGCTGTAAACAAGAGAAAAAGCTATAGACATCATTTCAGAAAGTGACATTTACAAGGGGCATTTACAAGGGGCATTGCAACAAGATGTAATAGCCGAATGAAATAAGCTATATCGTAATCGATGTAGAATTTTGCGCTAATTTCGAATCCGTTTTTCGTTTCTGCTAAGGAGCACTCTGTCAAAAGTTCTAAGCGCTTAAAGTTTTGTTGGAGTTGTTGGGCTTAAAGTTGGAATCACAGAAAAGAGCTTATAAGTTTACTGACCACTGAGAGGAGCCTTGACCAAGAGGAGCACGTAGTCTTGGTCAAGAGGAGCACATCGTATTGGCCAAGAGGAACACGTAGTCTTGGCCAAGTGGTAGTGGACTTGAATCCAAGGCAGGTCGAGGTTCAGGTCCAGGTCCAGATCCAGGTCTAGGTCCAGATCCAGATCGGTCCTTGGTTCTAGTCCAGCGTCTGCCTTTTGTTTTTTTTTTCTTTTAACTTTGAATGGTTTGAGGGTTTTGGGGATTTTAGATGGTCATTGGCTGTATATCGGTGTGCTAGATTCTGTACGATTACAGATAGAGAACACTCAAAGAATTGAAAGCTAAAAGAAGGAAAAAACATTGCGAGTTTGTTTTAGTTGAATGAAATTCTAGGCCGGGAGAATGGTACCGACTATTGGTTGATCAAGAACTCGTGGGACACTGAATGGGGAGAAGATGGCTATGCTAAGGTAACAAAAAACCTTTAAAAGTACTGTACTTTTCTTAAAAAGTTTTAAATCTAAAAGAAAATCGATTTTATAAACCGATTTTTGATTATAAAATCGATTTTATAAACCGATTTTTGATTAAAAATCGATTTTCAATCATAAATCGACTTTTTTAAAAGTCTAGATTCGAAAAAACAAAGCTTTTCAGTTCAAAATGGGCTCCGATTTGTGCAAAGTGGAATCGAAACGGCTAAACCAAGCGCAAATTGTCTAATGGAATGAAAATAGAAATAAAATGTCATAAAAAAATAAAAAAAGAAAACAAATCAAGGTATTCTCCATTATTAAATAAATTGTTGTCATTTATTTGGTAGAGCACTGATTCCCTTCTCCCTTCTCCCAGAAATTCTTTGGCTGGCTGTCAAAAATGTCGTGTAGCCAAGTTTCGACCTTAGCTCGGTCTCCAAAATGCTCTTCATCGAGTTCTGCAGCCAGTTCTGCAGCCAGCTTCCAGAATAGATGAAAATCAGAAGGGACAAGGTCTGCGCTGTACCGTGGATGAGGGAAAACTTCTAGCCTAACTCCTTTAATTTTACTTTTGTCAGCTTAGCTCGGTCTCCGAGCTTTGGTTTGCTGGAAAGTGAGCAAAGCAGAAAGGAAAGCAAAGCAAAGCAGAAAGGAAAGCAAAGCAGAAAGGAAAGCAAAGCAAAACAAAGCAAAGCAAGACAAGGCAAAGCAAGGCAAAGCAAGGCAAAGCAAGGCAAAGCAAGGCAAAGCAAGGCAAAGCAAGGCAAAGCAAGGCAAAGCAAGGCAAAGCAAGGCAAAGCAAGGCAAAGCAAGGCAAAGCAAGGCAAACAAGGCAAAGCAAGGCAAAGCAAGGGCAAAGCAAGGCAAAGCAAGGCAAAGCAAGGCAAAGCAAGGCAAAGCAAGGCAAAGCAAGGCAAAGCAAGGCAAAGCAAGGCAAAGCAAGGCAAAGCAAGGCAAAGCAAGGCAAAGCAAGGCAAAGCAAGGCAAAGCAAGGCAAAGCAAGGCAAAGCAAGGCAAAGCAAAGCAAGGCAAAGCAAAGCAAGGCAAAGCAAGGCAAAGCAAGGCAAAGCAAAGCAAGGCAAAGCAAAGCAAGGCAAAGCAAGGCAAAGCAAGGCAAAGCAAAGCAAGGCAAAGCAAAGCAAGGCAAAGCAAAGCAAGGCAAAGCAAGGCAAGGCAAGGCAAAGCAAGGCAAAGCAAAGCAAAGCGCAGAGTTAGAAGTGTGCACGAATGGATCTATTTCAGATGCGATAAACGTTTCCGTGTCTGTCGATTGTCTAAATTCGATAATTTTCTATCCAAATAATCATTGAATTGAGATTTTTAAAGCTTTTTTTTTTTCTATTCTTTAATCTTTAAATCTTTTTCTCTTCAATTCAAACCTTTCAAAACCTTCAAACCTCTCAATTCTTCTGTTTAAGTTGAAATGTGCAAACGGAATGACACTAATAAAGATCAATATTGAAATCAGACAATAGAGAAACAGAAAATCGATTTATCATGTCAGAAATTTGATCATTACAAAATAGAGACAAGTTTATGATTTAAAAGAGAGAAAGGAGACTTGTAAGAGAGAAATGAAATCATGAAATGAATAGCCCTAGTCGATTCCCCGTCCCTGAAAACCCTAAGTACTAAATTTACAGCTGAATCTCTTCTTTTGTGACATCTAAAAAGCAAAAAAAGAAATTCCTGGAGGTGTTCTTTGTGCAGCCGTTTAATCGCTCACCATCTGGCAAACGGTTCTGGTATAAAGTGACTAGTCGACTTGACTAGTGGATAGTCGAGTCTAGACGTTTTCTTGCTTGATTTTCTTGGAATAGAATTATTCAATCAAGCTCTATTTGGTATCATTCAAAAGCCTGAAATGTCCTCTATACAATGTCCTGAAATGTCCTCTTAACTGGGCCCCAGCTTGGACCTGAACCCCAGCCTGGTTTGGACCTGGACCTCCAGCCTGGCCTGAGCTCTAGGTAAAGTTATAGGTCTTTAAAGAGAGGGCTTTAAAGCAAGGCCTTTAAATAGAGGCCTTTAAACAGAGGCCTTTAAAGAGAGGCCTTTAAAGAGAGGCCTTTAAAGAGAGGCCTTTAGAGAGAGGCCTTTAGAGAGAGGCCTTTAGAGAGAGGCCTTTAGAGAGAGGCCTTTAGAGAGAGGCCTTTAGAGAGAGGCCTTTAGAGAGAGGCCTTTAGAGAGAGGCCTTTAAAGCAAGGCCTTTAAAGCAAGGCCTTTAAAGCAAGGCCTTTAAAGCAAGGCCTTTAAAGCAAGGCCTTTAAAGCAAGGCCTTTAAAGCAAGGCCTTTAAAGCAAGGCCTTTAAAGCAAGGCCTTTAAAGCAAGGCCTTTAAAGCAAGGCCTTTAAAGCAGGCCTTTAAAGCAAGGCCTTTAAAGCAAGGCCTTTAAAGCAAGGCCTTTAAAGCAAGGCCTTTAAAGCAAGGCCTTTAAAGCAAGGCCTTTAAAGCAAGGCCTTTAAAGCAAGGCTTTCAAAATTCCTCTTCTTTCCCGATTTTCTAGTCTAATCTACCATTTTTATATATTTTTTAGCCCCCATCTTTTAAAATCATTATCATTTCAACTTGAAGAAATTGTTTTTTTCAATTATTTGATTGAATTGCTCATCGAAAGAGATGAGTCTTTTCGCAACAAAAATGACTCAATTTTCCTTTAGCATTATTTGGGAAAGTTTAATGATTTTTTTGAAAAACAAGCTTTCTTTAGTTATGAGCCAACAATACCCACATGTTTACACGATTCAGCCAACAGGCCGAGACTCTTACTCATCGTTTTCGACGGATTCCGCCGATGTGTCTGTCCCATCGGGAGCTGGTTGGATTTAAAATAGTCTAACTGTTCGCTGATGATTCTGATTTTCATTGGCTAGTTTGGTAGGATTTGGCTGGTTTAGGCTTGGATTCTGGCTGTTCCAGATCTCCAGCATCTCCGGCTCCAGCTAGGCCAGAGTCAAGATTTGATTTAGCTTTGGAAAATAAAAAATTAGCAAGACTAGGTCTAGGTCCAGGGCCAGGTCCAGGCCTGGGTTTAGGTCCAGGTCTAGATCTGGACCTAGGTTAGATCTGGACCTAGGCTCAGGCCTAGGTCCAGATCTAGGTCCAAATCCAGGTCTAGGTCCAGGTTCAGGCCCAGCTCCAGGCCCAGCTCCAGGTCTAGGTCCAGGTCGAGGTTCTGGTCCAGGTCCATATCTAGGTTTAGGTCCAGGTCCATATCCAGATCCAGGTCCAGATCCAGGTCTAGGTCCAGGTCCATATCCAGATCCAGGTCCACATCCAGATCCAGGTCTAGGTCCAGGTCCATATCCAGATCCAGGCCCAGATCCAGATCCAGGTCTAGGTCCAGGTCCATATCCAGATCCAGGCCCAGACCCAGGTCTAGGGCCAGGTTCAGGCCCGGCTCCAGATCCATATACAGATCCAGGTCCAGATCCAGACCCAGGTCTAGGTCCAGGTCCACATCCAGATCCAGGTCCACATCCAGATCCAGGTCCACATCCAGATCCAGGTCCAGACCCAGATCCAGGTCTAGGTCCACATCCAGATCCAGGTCTAGGTCCAGGTCCAGGTCCTGGCTTCTCACTAGCTTAGGTTCAGATTTTGGATCAGGCTTAACTGTTCAACTAGATCAACAATAGTTTAATTGATAATCTCTCTAGAGTCACAAGTACCAAAGTAGCTAAAATTCAGCAATCAACTGGATGCCGGCACCTCTACGAGTACCAAATTGTCCGCCCGGTCTTGAGTATCTCACGAGGGTTAAAGGATTGATTGTAGAACAGGTTGTTGAACATCTATAGTTTTCAGCTAAAAACACCTTTCTTTCAGCAAATCGATCTCTTGGAGGTGTTCACAAATTGGGAGGTGACCAACTCGTACAAAATCTACAATGAAACCGGGCAACAGGTCTTTATTATACAGGATTTTTGGCATTTCTTCAATGTTTAGGTTTATTATGCTTATGAGGAGTCCGATTGTTGTCAGAGTTGTTTTTGTGGGGCAAGTAGAGGATATACCATTCATATTGTCGACAACTTTCGGCGAGTAAGTTCAAAGGGAAAGTGGATTGGGCCTTTGGGCTAAGGCAGGGGTTCAGGCTGGGGTTCAGGTCCAAGCTGGGGTTCAGGCCCAAGCCGGGGTTCAGTTCCAAGCCGGGGTTCAGGTCCAAGCCGGGGTTCAGGTCCAAGCCGGGGTTCAGGTCCAAGCCGGGGTTCAGGTCCAAGCCACGTTGGGGCCCAGGTCCAAGCCAGGCTGGGGTCCAGGTCCAAGCTGGGGTTCAGGCCCAAGCCGGGGTTCAGTTCCAAGCCGGGGTTCAGGTCCAAGCCAGGCTGGGGCCCAGGTCCAAGCCAGGCTGGGGCCCAGGTCTAAGCCAGGCTGGGGTCGAGGTCTAAGCCAGGCTGGGGTCCAGGTCCAAGCCAGGCTGGGGCCCAGGTCCAAGCCAGGCTGGGGTCCAGGTCTAAGCCAGGCCGGGGTTCAGACCAGGCTAAGGTACAGGTAATTGTAATAATAATAATTGATTTGGGCAAGATCTGGTCATAAAAGTCTAATTGTTATCTTGTTGAAATGGCCAAGAAGATCAACTCGAGTCCTTTAACATTTCACTAAATTTTCGTCCATCTATCTTTCCATCGATTCAAAAGAGAGGAACAATTGTAGGAAAGGCAAAGCCTTTGCAGAACATTACGCTATTTAGTCTATCCATGATTCCATCGATTTTAAACCAATTGAATGAGCGGTAAAGCCTCCGCAGGACATTAATTGCCGCCAGAATTAAACTCTGACTAGTGTATTTGAATCAAAATCAAGCTCCAATCGATTACATCATAGCCATTCTCATTGTAAATATCGAATTTACACTTGTCACCATATGCTTCCAGCTTTTAATTGACTTGTAATCATTGCTGATTGCTAGATGAGCTGTCGTAGATTCATCAACAGTTTGACAGATCAACAGATCAAGGTAAAGCGAGATCAAAAACTAATCCAAGTCTAGTTTCACGGAGCAGATTGGCATTTGAAAGAGTTTTTAAAAGAATCTAGGAAGTGATGACAATTATTCGCCCATTCAAGTGTTGTGGTGGAGTTTTTTGCGCAAATGAGAGCTATGTGGAAGCGCCGCCTGGTCAATGGTAAAGAGTTAGAGTTAAAGTTAAAGTTAGGTCAATGGTAAAGCGTTAATCCGATTACCATTTCCAGTATCTAGCTAGCGACTAGCTAGCCAATCTACCATAGTCTTAAAGGCTGCTTTAACGTCAATCTATCTACTTCTTTAGGCTTGGCGAGATAAAGCAAACATTCGGCTTTCTTCAGCACAATTTTGTTATCGGTGACGAGCACGGGAGACTTAAGTGAGTTGAGAAATAGTCAGCCTTAACAAAAAACTATTTTAGTATCAAAGGACCGCAAGAAATCGGCTGTGGTTTTGCATGTGATTGTGGAGAGAAAATATTTAAGGTGATCTTTAAACTAACCTATTTTAACCAATTTTGACCTATTTTAACCAATTTTAACCAATTTTAACCAATTTTAACCAATTTTAACCAATTTTAACCAATTTTGACCTATTTTAACCTATTTTAACCAATTTTAACCTATTTTAACCTATTTTAACCTATTTTAACCAATTTTAACCAATTTTAAGCAATTTTAAGCAATTTTAAGCAATTTTAACCAATTTTAACCAATTTTAAGCAATTTTAAGCAATTTTGACCTATTTGAACCTATTTTAACCTATTTTAACCTATTTTAACCTATTTTAACCTATTTTAAGCAATTTTAACCTATTTTAACCTATTTTAAGCTGTTTTAAGCTGTTTTAAGCAAAGCAAAGTTCAGCATTTTTCTATTTAGAAATTCCTTACTTTCCCTGTTCCAAAAGAGGCTTTTATTGAGGGGTTTTTTTTTGATTGAAAAGTATAGAAAATAAGTTTGATTCGTAAGGATGAGTAAAATGAGTTCTAAAATTCACAAGTATTCTTTAGGTGAAGACGAAAGAAGGGACAACAATTGGGGAAATCCGAAAGAAATGCGGTGGTGTCATGCGAGAGTATTTCACTGACGCAGACACGTTTTCGGTTTATTGTAAGTTTTTTTTGAGAAGCTAAAGTATTCAAAGCGATAAAGCCAGAACGATAGAGTACTCAAAACGAAAGCTAGGACGATAGAGTACTCAAAAGTGACAAGCTAAAGTACTCAAAACGAAAGCTAGAACGATAGAGCCGATAAAGCTCATAAAACTAAGTCTAAAATGTCTAGTAAGTCTAAAATGATCTTAAAATCTGGCTTGGTTGGGAATAACTTGGCCAAGTTTAGAGTTGGAGTCAAATGAAGTCTTGATAGAGTTTGTTTGATGATATGGAGCTAGTTGTGATGTCTTGATAGGAGCTAGTTCTAATCCCAAACCAACTATAAAAGCTGATTAAAAGATTAAAACCTAGAACAATGAAATTGCTAAATTTTTGAGTCTAAGAAAAGAGTCAAAAGTCAAGTCAATCCTCAAGTCAATCATCAATTCAATCCTCAAGTCAATCCTCAAGTCAATCCCTAAGCTAGCCCAGCTTCTCTTTACAAATCAATTTTCAGTTCCCGAGAATCTGACTGTTGGTTTAAAAGCGAACATGTTAGCGGCCACATTTTTAATTGTATGTTTTTTTACTTTTATATTATTTCTTTCTATTACTTTAGTCTTATTAATTGTATATTTTTGGATTGTACTTTGTACTCCATAAACGCAAGTACTTTACTAGTACAAGTAACGTTAGTACTTTACTAGTACAAGTAACATTAGTACTTGACTAGTACAAGTAACGTTAGTACTTTACTAGTACAAGTAACATAAGTACTTTACTAGTACAAGTAACACAAGTACTTTACTAGTACAAGTAACATAAGTACTTTACTAGTACAAGTAACATAAGTACTTTACTAGTACAAGTAACATAAGTACTTTACTAGTACAAGTAACACAAGTACTTTACTAGTACAAGTAACACATTGTACTTTACTAGTACAAGTAACATAAGTACTTTACTAGTACAAGTAACATAAGTACTTTACTAGTACAAGTAACGCATTGTACTTTGTACTCTTTTCAAGTAAACTAAATGATATAAAATTGAATCAAATTTCAGGATTTTCTCTCCTTTGAAAACAGAAATCCGAGTCAACAACAGAATTTTCATTTTTAAACAATTTAATTGTAAATTTTTCCTTTTAAAATTGAATGAAATGAATCTTTTGAATCTTTTAAATGAAATAAATGTATTTTAAAGTAAAAAGAAGGAAAAACTTTCAGTTTTCTTTCAGGCTTTTCATTTAAAACGTTAAATCTTTTGATGAAAGCTCAACAAAAGATCAAAAAGCACAGAGCACAGAGATTTGTGTAGTTGTATTGATAATGATATTGATATTTGGTCTTATGCTATAAAATCATCTTCTTTCCTAACTCTCATCCGGAACTTAAAGGACTCTTTAAGATTTCGAATCACGCCAGAAGAACTCGTAGTCACAACTTTCAGATTACCCCCTTTCAAAGCTTTCATAACCGCCAACTGTATCATTCTTTTGCTTGTCGTGTTCCTCGTATTTGGAATAAGTTACCTTGTGATATTTTTTCGTCTCTGAACTATTTTAAATCCTCAATATATAAGCTCGATCTTGTAGCTCTGTCAATTTTAAATTAGTTTTTAATGTCATATATACACGTGTCTAATTGTAGTTGTGTTTGTATATCAATTATCTTTCTTCGTCTACGCTGTTCAATCTGTTTGCATTGTCACTTTTCCTTGTCGGATAAAGTATATATATAAGATAGTGATATTGATAGTGATATTGATAGTGATTTGTATTGATTTGTATTGATTTGTATTGATTTGTATTGATTTGTATTGATTTGTATTGATTTGTATTGATATTGATATTGATTTGTATTGATTTGTATTGATTTGTATTGATATTGATATTGATTTGTATTGATTTGTATTGATTTGTATTGATTTGTATTGATTTGTATTGATTTGTATTGATTTGTATTGATTTGTATTGATTTGTATTGATTTGTATTGATATTGATATTGATTTGTATTGATTTGTATTGATTTGTATTGATTTGTATTGATTTGTATTGATTTGTATTGATATTGATATTGATTTGTATTGATTTGTATTGATTTGTATTGATTTGTATTGATTTGTATTGATTTGTATTGATTTGTATTGATTTGTATTGATTTGTATTGATTTGTATTGATTTGTATTGATTTGTATTGATATTGATATTGATTTGTATTGATTTGTATTGATTTGTATTGATTTGTATTGATTTGTATTGATTTGTATTGATTGTATTGATTTGTATTGATTTGTATTGATTTGTATTGATTTGTATTGATATTGATATTGATTTGTATTGATTTGTATTGATTTGTATTGATTTGTATTGATTTGTATTGATTTGTATTGATTTGTATTGATTTGTATTGATTTGTATTGATTTGTATTGATTTGTATTGATTTGTATTGATATTGATATTGATTTGTATTGATTTGTATTGATTTGTATTGATTTGTATTGATTTGTATTGATTTGTATTGATTTGTATTGATTTGTATTGATTTGTATTGATTTGTATTGATTTGTATTGATTTGTATTGATTTGTATTGATTTGTATTGATTTGTATTGATTTGTATTGATTTGTATTGATATTGATATTGATTTGTATTGATTTGTATTGATTTGTATTGATTTGTATTGATTTGTATTGATTTGTATTGATTTGTATTGATATTGATACTGATTTGTATTGATTTGTATTGATTTGTATTGATATTGATATTGATTTGTATTGATTTGTATTGATTTGTATTGATTTGTATTGATTTGTATTGATATTGATATTGATTTGTATTGATTTGTATTGATTTGTATTGATTTGTATTGATTTGTATTGATTTGTATTGATTTGTATTGATTTGTATTGATTTGTATTGATTTGTATTGATTTGTATTGATATTGATATTGATTTGTATTGATTTGTATTGATTTGTATTGATTTGTATTGATTTGTATTGATTTGTATTGATTTGTATTGATATTGATATTGATTTGTATTGATTTGTATTGATTTGTATTGATTTGTATTGATTTGTATTGATTTGTATTGATATTGATATTGATTTGTATTGATTTGTATTGATTTGTATTGATTTGTATTGATTTGTATTGATTTGTATTGATTTGTATTGATATTGATATTGATTTGTATTGATTTGTATTGATTTGTATTGATTTGTATTGATTTGTATTGATTTGTATTGATTTGTATTGATTTGTATTGATTTGTATTGATTTGTATTGATATTGATACTGATTTGTATTGATTTGTATTGATTTGTATTGATTTGTATTGATTTGTATTGATTTGTATTGATTTGTATTGATTTGTATTGATATTGATATTGATTTGTATTGATTTGTATTGATTTGTATTGATTTGTATTGATATTGATATTGATTTGTATTGATTTGTATTGATTTGTATTGATTTGTATTGATTTGTATTGATTTGTATTGATATTGATATTGATTTGTATTGATTTGTATTGATTTGTATTGATTTGTATTGATATTGATATTGATTTGTATTGATTTGTATTGATTTGTATTGATTTGTATTGATTTGTATTGATTTGTATTGATTTGTATTGATTTGTATTGATATTGATATTGATTTGTATTGATTTGTATTGATTTGTATTGATTTGTATTGATTTGTATTGATATTGATATTGATTTGTATTGATTTGTATTGATTTGTATTGATTTGTATTGATTTGTATTGATTTGTATTGATTTGTATTGATATTGATATTGATTTGTATTGATTTGTATTGATTTGTATTGATTTGTATTGATTTGTATTGATTTGTATTGATTTGTATTGATATTGATATTGATTTGTATTGATTTGTATTGATTTGTATTGATTTGTATTGATTTGTATTGATTTGTATTGATTGTATTGATTTGTATTGATTTGTATTGATATTGATATTGATTTGTATTGATTTGTATTGATTTGTATTGATTTGTATTGATTTGTATTGATTTGTATTGATATTGATATTGATTTGTATTGATTTGTATTGATTTGTATTGATTTGTATTGATTTGTATTGATTTGTATTGATTTGTATTGATATTGATACTGATTTGTATTGATTTGTATTGATTTGTATTGATATTGATATTGATTTGTATTGATTTGTATTGATTTGTATTGATTTGTATTGATTTGTATTGATTTGTATTGATATTGATATTGTTTGTATTGATTTGTATTGATTTGTATTGATTTGTATTGATTTGTATTGATTTGTATTGATATTGATATTGATTTGTATTGATTTGTATTGATTTGTATTGATATTGATATTGATTTGTATTGATTTGTATTGATTTGTATTGATTTGTATTGATATTGATATTGATTTGTATTGATTTGTATTGATTTGTATTGATTTGTATTGATTTGTATTGATTTGTATTGATTTGTATTGATATTGATATTGATTTGTATTGATTTGTATTGATTTGTATTGATTTGTATTGATTTGTATTGATTTGTATTGATTTGTATTGATATTGATATTGATTTGTATTGATTTGTATTGATTTGTATTGATTTGTATTGATTTGTATTGATTTGTATTGATTTGTATTGATTTGTATTGATTTGTATTGATATTGATATTGATTTGTATTGATTTGTATTGATTTGTATTGATTTGTATTGATTTGTATTGATTTGTATTGATATTGATATTGATTTGTATTGATTTGTATTGATTTGTATTGATATTGATACTGATTTGTATTGATTTGTATTGATTTGTATTGATTTGTATTGATTTGTATTGATTTGTATTGATATTGATATTGATTTGTATTGATTTGTATTGATTTGTATTGATTTGTATTGATTTGTATTGATTTGTATTGATTTGTATTGATTTGTATTGATTTGTATTGATTTGTATTGATTTGTATTGATATTGATATTGATTTGTATTGATTTGTATTGATTTGTATTGATTTGTATTGATTTGTATTGATTTGTATTGATTTGTATTGATATTGATATTGATTTGTATTGATTTGTATTGATTTGTATTGATTTGTATTGATTTGTATTGATTTGTATTGATTTGTATTGATTTGTATTGATTTGTATTGATTTGTATTGATTTGTATTGATTTGTATTGATATTGATACTGATTTGTATTGATTTGTATTGATTTGTATTGATTTGTATTGATTTGTATTGATTTGTATTGATTTGTATTGATATTGATATTGATTTGTATTGATTTGTATTGATTTGTATTGATTTGTATTGATTTGTATTGATATTGATATTGATTTGTATTGATTTGTATTGATTTGTATTGATTTGTATTGATTTGTATTGATATTGATATTGATTTGTATTGATTTGTATTGATTTGTATTGATTTGTATTGATTTGTATTGATTTGTATTGATTTGTATTGATTTGTATTGATATTGATACTGATTTGTATTGATTTGTATTGATTTGTATTGATTTGTATTGATTTGTATTGATTTGTATTGATATTGATATTGATTTGTATTGATTTGTATTGATTTGTATTGATTTGTATTGATTTGTATTGATTTGTATTGATTTGTATTGATTTGTATTGATTTGTATTGATTTGTATTGATTTGTATTGATATTGATATTGATTTGTATTGATTTGTATTGATTTGTATTGATTTGTATTGATTTGTATTGATTTGTATTGATTTGTATTGATATTGATATTGATTTGTATTGATTTGTATTGATTTGTATTGATTTGTATTGATTTGTATTGATTTGTATTGATTTGTATTGATTTGTATTGATTTGTATTGATTTGTATTGATATTGATATTGATTTGTATTGATTTGTATTGATTTGTATTGATTTGTATTGATTTGTATTGATTTGTATTGATTTGTATTGATATTGATATTGATTTGTATTGATTTGTATTGATTTGTATTGATTTGTATTGATTTGTATTGATTTGTATTGATTTGTATTGATATTGATATTGATTTGTATTGATTTGTATTGATTTGTATTGATTTGTATTGATTTGTATTGATTTGTATTGATTTGTATTGATATTGATATTGATTTGTATTGATTTGTATTGATTTGTATTGATTTGTATTGATTTGTATTGATTTGTATTGATTTGTATTGATATTGATATTGATTTGTATTGATTTGTATTGATTTGTATTGATTTGTATTGATTTGTATTGATTTGTATTGATATTGATATTGATTTGTATTGATTTGTATTGATTTGTATTGATTTGTATTGATTTGTATTGATAGTTTGTTAATTGTTAATGTACAAGGAATTTTATTCAGTTAAATGGATTTATTTATGTAAGAATATTGTGAGTCATTTCTTTCAAAAATAGAAAAAGCTTTCATTTTCTTGATTTCCTTTTGATCAAAGCTCAACAAAAGATCAAAGCACAGAGCTCTGTGCAGAGAGATTTATGTAAAGAATATTGTGAGTCATTTCTTAGACAGATCTTCATTCACAAACAATTTAATAGTATTGGGTTGGGGAGAATGAGTCGTCGCCAAACTTTAAAGGGACTTTTTGCACACATAAAGCCTTCTTTAAGCATACGTTTGGTTTCATCAAAAGGATCCACTATTTCTCTACAAAATCACTTTTGAGAGATTCCACAAAGCTTTTCTTTCGTGGAGTTTATGAACTTCGAAACGCAGCTGGTTAAAATGGCAAAGAGTCCGACTCATCATTTGAACAGTTTCTTTCACATAAACCTTCTTTGGTGTTTATATAAAAAAGATAGAGCACATTCAATTACTTAAGTTGCCAAATTTGCAGGAAGATCCCACCAATGGCTTTTTCTAGATGACAGTTTGTAGTTTTTGTGAAAAAATGGCTTTTTCTTGAGCGGAGGCGCTGTTTGAATTTTCTTTTAAATGTGATTTTGTAGAGAATTAGTTAACCATTCTACTCATATCAAACGCATATTATTTGACGAAGTCGAATAGAAATTTTAGACATTTTTTTGATTCTCGGCGCCGACTCATTCTCCCCAACCCAATAGAAAAATCCGAGTCAACAACAGAATGATTTTTTGTTTTTGTTTTTGAAAGGTTTTTCGAGACGTTTCATGTTAAATTGGAATTTCTGTCTCATATTTGAAATGTTTTTATGTTTATGTTGTGAGAAATCCTATAGGATTTCGATTCATTTGATTTCAGATTTCAGATTTCATCTTTCAACTTTCAATAAACATTTGTGGATGTAATATAGTCCCTTAGATAGCTTAATAATCCCTTAGATAGCTTTAATAGATTTTAGATGATAGTTTTAAAGGTTTAAGAAGAGCTTTGAGAGTAATAAAAGTGCTAGGAGAGATCTAGACTTTTTGTTGGTTCAATGCTTTGGTTTTTGGCTGCTTTTTAGCTGGTTTTTGGATAGTTTTTGGATAGTTTTTGGATAGCTTTTAGCTGGCTTTCGGGCAGTTTTTGGCTAGCTTTTAGCTGGCTTTTGCCTAGCTTTTGGCTGGCTTTTGGTAGCTTTTGGCTAGTTTTTAGCTGGCTTTTAGTTGGCTTTTAACTGGCTTTTGACTGGCTTTTTTAGCTTTTGGTAGCTTTTGGCTAGTTTTTAGCTAGCTTTTAGTTGGCTTTTAGCTGGCTTTTGACTGGCTTTTAACTAGCTTTTGACTAGTTTTTAGATAGCTTTTAGCTGGCTTTTAACTGCCTTTTGGCTAGTTCTAGTTTTTGCTTTTTCTTTGACCCTTGTATACTTTACTGACTCATAAATTCCCGAAGCAAGCCAGATGCAAGCAAGCCAGATGCTCAAAACCAGATCCTAGATCTTAATCTTGAACTTATTGGCCTAGAAAAGGTTTACTTGGGTTAGCCTGGGGCTTGTTACTTGTTTACTTGAGTGAAAGGTTAGCCCAGCTTCTTCGTGATTCTCTTCATGATTCTTATTCTCTCAAAAATTGATTCTCATTCTCACCAATTCGTTTGAATGTAATTTGAAAATGTAAACAATCTAGAAAAGAACTTTGTTGGAAGCGAAGGGAAAAGAGAAAGGTTTTTTCGAAGAAGACTTTTCTCTATCTGGACTTTTCTCTTTTCTCCATCGATCCATCTGGGTCTCTCGAAAAACCGAAACGGAAAAAGATCGCTTTTCTCTTCTTTCTTCTTCATTTTTCTTTCGTTTCTCTCGATTTTTCTTAATCTTTTTTCGCAGAAAAAAGCGAAAAACCCATTCTTTTCCCTCCAAAATCCAACCAAAACAATTGAACGTTCGTTTTTTTCGTTTTTTTTAAACGAATCGACTCAATTTCCTTGCTTAATTTCGAGATTTGATTGAAATTTTGGGTTTGTTTTTTGAATTGATCGATTTCTTTGTTTGTTTCTTTGCTCGATTTGTTTTTGGTTGGAAAAAAGCGAGTAAAGGAAAGAGGTTATTAACTTTTTTTGTGTTTTTCAAGGTGAATATCGATATCGATTAAAAGATAAGCTTGATTTCTGGTTGATTTTAGTTTTATGGATGTTTTTTGCGAAGAAACAAATGTTAAAAGTTATTACCCTAAAGTCTCGAGTATAAGTTGATCCGAGTATAAGTTCTGCCTTAATTTACATTCGCTTTAATTGCTTTGAATTTCTTTTTGTTGGGTTTTTATACATTTTTATTGTTATACAAACTTTTATTATTGTTCTTGGAGCGCGGGATACTACAGGGTGACAGCCTATCACCATTGCTACTTGTTATGTGCATGGATACATCCAGACGATAGTGTTGAAGGCAAAGAGAAGGCAAAGAGCGCTGGAAAGCATCTCTTTCGACCGTCGACGTGGACTTTGGCCGGATGAAGAGGCCAGGGAGGGATCCATAAGACTGAGCACCGGAGAGGAGCAGGGCGGACGAGCCGAGCCACGCCCGGAGCAACAAATAACAGCATAAAATTGCTATAACCCTCAATAAATCTACTTCTATTATTGTTCTTAAAAAGCAAAAAAGTTATGCTGCAGCGGGGTTCGAACCCTCGACACACAGCACCGGAGACAGCCGTCAATTTGCATGCGAAAACCAAACAGAACTTATACTCGCGACTTTAGGGTAATTGAATTGCTCAACGCTAGAAAACTTACTTATCTTTCAATTCTCTTTAAATTATCTTTAAATATTCTCTTTAAGATTCTTTAATATTCTTTAAGATTCTTTAAGATTCTTTAAGATTCTTTAATATTCTTTAATATTCTTTTATATTCTTTAATATTCTTTTATATTCTTTAATATTCTTTTATATTCTTTAATATTCTTTTATATTCTTTAATATTCTTTTATATTCTTTAATATTCTTTTATATTCTTTAATATTCTTTTATATTCTTTAATATTCTTTTATATTCTTTAATATTCTTTTATATTCTTTAATATTCTTTAAGATTCTTTAATATTCTTTAATATTCTGATAAATGATCTTTCTAAAACCCCGTAGTTCTTTTGTTTTAAAGAAAAGTATAAAAATGAATGTAAAGATTTATATTTACAGCATTATGGCTTACAAAACGCAGCCTGGTACCGCACCACCGCCGCCAGGAGCCCGTAAGTGTTGCAGCTTGTACCAGTGTACTAAAAACTGTACTAGTATACTAAAAACTTGTACTAATGTACTAAAAACGTACTAGTGTACTTAAAACTTGTACTAGTGTACTTAAAAAGTACGGTCGCGTCCGTTTCCTTCCTATTTGCGTTGCTATTTTGCAATTATTCGCGTCGCATTTTTCGCCCTTTTCTCCCTTCCCGAAATTGTTTTTTTGGTCTGCGGGTTGCTTTTGCCTTCCCTCTTGGGGACTTTTGTTGTTTCTTTTGATGCGCATGCTGTCTTTGTAATAGGTATTGTTGCTTTTTGGTTTTGTACTAATAAACAGTAAAAATATAAACTCAACTTACTTTATGCTACCCTTCAGGTTTCAAATCCTGTTTAGATAACTGGTTTAACATTGTAGCGAGAGCTTACTAACATTTGTGTCGCCACCGACGAGTATTAATCTTGTGTTGGATGCTGCTCGTTCTTGTTATGTTGTAAGCGCTTTGGGGAAACCCTTTTTAACCTTCTTTGTGCAATTCGGCTATTCTGAAGCAAAATCATCCTCGATGATAAGGTTAAAGCGGGTCGCACCCCAAACTGGGGGCCGAACCGATCCACAAGCCTTTGGGAGGACAGTGGTTGAACTAAGAGGAAAAATGAAAGATCCAGCTGAACAGAAAGGCTGAAAGGGATCTGTTAGGAGAAACGGTTGATCCGACTCTTATGACCCGAGAGAAAGGGTAAATTTTGACCTCATTGGAATCATAAGTCGAATAGAAAGACTTGCAGAGGCGTTTTGAACAAACATTCGTTTAGTTCAATGAATCCGACCAGGAACAATTCATTTGTGATTTGAATCAATTATTTTCCTCATGAGTCGAAGAATTTTGACTCTTGAAAGTATCGGCATATTTCTTGCGCATGAAACTCCGAAATTACTTTCCCCACGATCGTTATTCGCAAATTTACACCCATGTTGATTATATTGCTTTGTTTTCGATTACTTTCCGTCTACAACGCTAATTTATATATTTTCAGGGTAAATTGAAAAGATGACAGGCAAGATAACTGATGCTGCGAGTCGACACGAAGAGGGGCTCCTAGAGAATGTAAGTGTTTCGAAACAAGTGTTTGGGAATCTTGTGGAAAAGCTGAAAGAAGGCGTCGAAGAAAAAGTTGAAACTCTTGTAAGTGTTCTATGCAAGAAAACAACTAATCGTCAAAAAACGGCCATTAGCATCGAGAGCAAGAAATGGCTTGAAGAGCTTTGGCTCGACTGCGATACGTTGAAAGAGGCGGAAGCAAAATTGGCTGAAGCCTACGCAATAGAACCGAAAAGAAAGGTTGTTGCGGGGAATGATCATATGATCAAAGTATGCAATGAACTGGGCTTTGAATCGAAAGAAGCGCTTACAGGGTTCTATGAGAAATACATAGAACAGAAAGAGTTGATTGACTCACTTTGCGATACGTTTATGATCAAGCAAACAGAGTTGATTAGGAAAGTTGATAGATGTATTGGAGACCACAATACACTAATAAAAATTTGTGAAATGTTAAACTGCAAAGAAGAAGAAGCATATTCTGTTATTCAGGCGATGCTCACCGATTCGGTCGAAGACAGGACCAATTACATGAAGGAGCCTCAGCCTATAAGAAAGGTATAAAGTTTGAGGAGCATATAGAGAAGGAGTGGGAAAGAGGAAACAAGTATTTGATTCAGGCATCACCGTTGCGCACCGCGGAGACGATGATGAGCCAGAGCCACTGGAGGGAAACACTCGAGGAAGGAACAACGCAGAACGGTATGGGGGATAGTAACGAGTCAAAACTCACCACAAAAAACATAACAGTTGTTGACACAGCCGCAGCGTTCCTAGATGCCGCATATGTATCCAACTTACCCCCGATCAAAACGTTCGCAAATAAGCCCAACCAAGAACCCTTCTGCGATTTTGTTCTCTCGATAAAAGCGCGCTTTAATGCGACCACCTCAGAAGAAAAAAAAGCATTATCTTTTCAAGACACATTTGATTGGAAATGCTAAATCGATCTACGAGACTATACCCAAATATTTGAAAGAAGGCTCGTTTGATGGCATGGTCAGCTATATGAGTAGCGAACTCAGAGGACCCGCCGCCATGGCTAAAATAGTCGCACAGAATCAACTCACCGCCTACACTGGTTCAATTACGGATCTTATTGGTGCTTGCCAACGCATTGAAACACTGGCACAACAAGGATATCCTAATGCTGCAGAAACAGAACAGCGGCTCGGGCAGCAATGCCAAGCTCTGCTAAGAATTTTAGACGGCGACCCAGGATTTTCCAGCTTTGTTGAGGCATGTGTCGATAAGCAAGGAAATCTGACCCAGTATACTGAGTTGAAAAATCGTCTTCTCCGTAGCCAATACTATTCTAAGCTTTCCATGACACCCAAAATTCAAGTCATTCAACCAAACCAAGGATTCAATCGCCGATTCAATTCTTTTGTGCCGAATCGCGGCAACAATCAGGCGAACATGCAGCCACAAAAACAAATGAATAGATTAAATAGTAGTGAATGGTTTCAGAATTCTACGGATTCCAACCAGCAAAATGGTACGGAGAATTTGAATTACTTCGGACAGAAGCCTAGAGAAATAACGCAACAAGTGTCGAACGGTAGAAATGTAAACGTGCGGAGCTTGCGAAACAACAATTGCTTTAAATGCGGAAATTCCGGACATAGTATACGGTTTTGTCACAAAAACCAAACCGTTAGCCAGATTGTTATAGGCAAGGAAGCTGTGCAACAAAGAGAGGTGGCGTCCGTCACACTGGGTCAAATCCCAGAGGATTTCTTGGCCCCTACTCAGAACAAAGGAACTCATAACTCGTGCAAGTCAAATGGTGTCGTTTGGTCGATCCGTGTCGAGTGTCCCGAGGTCAAGGAGATGAGTGTGGTGGCCGAAAAGAATCACGATGGCCACGTGAGCCCCAATAGGCCCATACTCGGTTGTGTTTTTGTATTCAATACAACCAACCCCTGACTTCGAGCGCGAATCTTGTGAAATTATGTCCCACTAACAAAAATTTTGTCTTTATTTTTTGTACACATGTAGGTTCGCCGGTATCGAGCAGGAACATCTCGATTGGGGCTGTAAGTCGAATTCTACAGCTGAGTCTTTGGGAGGCTTTAGCGACTTGGTATCCTACTGCAGCTGGACCAAGTTTTACTGACGATTTGTCGAGGTTTTTGGGAAACCTGGGGAGAAGATAGGTTTTTGGGAAACCTGGGAGAAGACAGGTTTTTGGGAAACCTGAGAGAAGAGAGGTTTTTGGGAAACCTGGGAGAAGATAGGCTTTTGGGAAGCCTGGACGGAGAAAGGTTTTTGGGAAACCTTGTGAAGAGCGGTCTTTGGGAGACCTTGCCGACTGTTTTGAGACAGTTGAGGAATGGAAACGTTGTGCTAAGTGCTGCACAAAAAGCTTGTGTGTCGCCGACGGATTTTCGGCTTGCTGCGGTGGTCATCGACCCAGGCAACTATTGAGGAAGGGGAACTCGACCCCTAAATCCCATTTATTTTGCTTAAATCAGCTATTTTATAACCCAATATTAAGTGAATCGAATTCTAGTATTTCACGTTCTTTAACTGTTAATGAATTGAGAATGGTCTCCATAAAAGGTGACCAAAGCGAATTTACGGGAGAACAATTGAAGCTTCGGGGTCAAATTGCTTTTATGGATGCTACTATAGTGATTGACACAGGCGCAGATATCTCGCTAGTATCTAAAGCATTTTTGAGAAAAGCTAACTCGAATCCACATGCGGCCTTGAAAAATTTCGATATTTCCCTTGAAAGAAAATCGGCTCAAGAACTCCACATTCTTGATGCCTCAAGAAATTTGATGCCATTAATCGGACGTTGCAAACTGCCAGTGAAAGTCAATGACGGCCAGACGGCAACCATCGGTTTTTATATTCTTGATCGGGAAGATGACACAGTGTTGCTAGGTATGAACGGTCTACATAAAGCAGGAATTCGTGTCTCGTTGTGGGTCGATGAAGAATCTATCGCCGCAGATAAGTCACCAATTGAAACAAAGCACACAACTGTGAGCTTTACAAGCAATGAAGTCATACTACCGGGCAGTAACCGAATTATACCTATCCGAGGAGAGTACTCAGGAGTACACCTTGTGTCGTTCCTCAAGCATGAATATGTTGTGGCTTTAGACAAAAATGGCAATGGCAAATTACTAGTTCGAAATGCACAAGAAAAACCCCTCTTGTTGCGTAAACGTGACTCTCTTCTAGCTGAAATGATCGATGGGAAAAATGTCATCGAATGGGAGGCAGTCGAATCACAACTAGGAACAAAGTCCACCAAACAATGCTCGGAAATGTTGAATTTGAATACGGAGAATAATCAGTGCACAGCTGAACAGCTTTTCGACTCAGTGCGAATTGAAAGTATTTGGCACAAACTAGTTGAGAACAAATGCCCTATAGATACAGAGTTACAGGAGATCATCGCTGAATTTGCAGATGTGTTTGCGCTATCGGATTTTGAGTTGGGACAGGCGAAGCACGTTCAACACTTTATTGATACAGGGGACGCCTTGCCAATAAAGCAGAAAGCTCGCCCAGTACCACTCGCAATGATTGATACAGTCAAACAAATGTTACAGAAGCTAAAGGATCAAAAATTTATACTTGGCTTTGCGAAAATAGCTGGACCTTTGTATATATTGACTTCGACAAATGTTCATTGGAATTGGACTGAAGCCCAAGAGTCAGCTTTCAGACAGCTCAAAGAAAAATTGTGCTCACCTCCAGTTTTAGCTCAACCAGATGTAAATTCGGCCAGAAACGGCACAAAGCCATTTATTATTTACGTTGATGCTTCGAAATCTGGTTTAGGTGCTGTCCTTTGTCAAGAAGATAACAAAAAGCAATTGCATCCGATTCATTTCATGAGTAGAAGGCTGAATAGTGCCCAAACAAAGTATCACCCTACCGACCTTGAAGCGCTTGCAATCAAAGTTGCCTTAGAAAAATTTCGTCAATACATTTATGGTTTAACTGTGATCGTTCGCACCGATCATCAGGCACTCGTTTCGTTGTTAACTCGAACAAACTTGGCAGAAAGAACAATGAGATGGGCGTTAGAAATTCAGGATGAAAATATAAAAATTGAGTATGTGAAGGGAATGGCCAACAAGGTGGCCGATGCATTGTCTCGTGGTCCGCTTGTACTTTCGGAATTGGAACAAGCCGAAGAAGCCAACACAAGCAAGTATGGGCTCGACAGAATTGTAAATGAAATGTTTGTAGGTGAGACACGAGAGTCGAAAGACTCATGGCAAAAGAGTATGGAAATGGACCCAGCTTTTGAACAATTTAAGAGATTCTGGGAGAATCAAAAGTGGGACGAGTCGGTTTGCTTTGAAGGAAACAAAAGCCCCATGAAAATGGGTGACTTTGTGTTCTCGGAAAACAAGATATTTTATGTTGTTAGGGATGGAACGCTTAGAAGATGGGTGCCATTTAAAGCTCGTAAAGAACTTTGGGAAACAATTCATAAAGGTGTTCTTGGAGGACATGCCGGTCCAAAAGCATGCATGGAGAAACTTTCCAAGGAATTTTACTGGCCCTTTATGCTAGCAGATTTGAAGCTTTGGCAGAAACAATGTATCAATTGCTTGATACACAATCCTCGTCAAACGCTAGTCCCGCCTCTACATCCTAGAATTGCAAAAAGACCTTTACAGACCATCGCTGTTGATCTGATCGACTTGCATTACCCGACAACGAGAGGAAACCGGTACATTCTTACGGTTTTAGACCTGTTCACGAAATTTGGATTTGCAGAAGCACTGGTCTCTAAAAGCTCGATAGTAGTTGCTCAAGCGCTTTTGTCATACTTGCTCAAAAACTGCATAATTCCGAGTGAAATTCTTTCAGATCGTGGCAAAGAATTTCTAAATGATACCGTTCAAAGTGTGTGTAAGGAAATGGGAATAACTTGGACTGTGGGAAAAGGCTACGTAAAAAGGGAAACCGGGTCAATTGAAAGATTTAACCAATCTTTAGAATCAATTCTAGCCAAAAACTCTGTCAGGAATTGTGACTGGGACGACATGCTACCATTTGCCCTTTTTGCGTATAATTCATCAGTACATTCGGCAACACAAGAAACACCTTGTTTCCTGGCCACAGGTCGTGATCCTGTAATTCCGATCAAGGGTGTCGATCGCGCAAAGTTGAACCCTTGTATGGTCGATCGTGATGACTATAAACTAGCTTTGTTTTCAGGCTTACAGGTAGCATATGAGGATGTCAGGGAAAATCTTGAAAAAGCGGCGGAGAAGATGAAAAATACTTTGATAGAGAAAAAGTGACCATTGACCCTAGAGAATTGAAATCTGGCATGAGAGTGCTCTTAACTGAACCTTCCCAACCAGGAAAATTTAGCCAAAGGTTCACTGGACCTTACCGTCTATTGAAATTGGGAAACACCTCAGCAGAGATAAGTGATATTGTCAATCCAAACCGACCTATAATGAATGTGCAGTTGGAAAGATTGCGGCAAGTCCCCAAGGAAATGCCTGATACTGAAATTGTAATCCCTCACGCTAAAAGCAAAAGAAGGACCGCAATTAAAACTCAAGAAATGATTGAACCGGTCAGACGGAGTAAAAGAGTTCAAAAACTAAATTATCATGTGGATAATATGTTTTCTTTTAGGGTCTGGACCGAACTCAACGACGGTGAAGGATGGACTATGATTTCGTCCAACTCGATTGTTCACCCGGAGTTCAAACTGCCACGCCGCGTAGAAATCTCCGAGATTTGGGCGAACGGAAGCGAAGTACCAGAGGAGATCGCTTTTTTCGGCTCAACAAGTGTGAGAACGCTAGCTGGATATATCGAAGCAATGAGAGCCGGATACGACTATGAGGGATTTGCCAACTCCGAGAAGTCTCACTTCCCCGTGAGCGCAAAGTCCTTCAAGATTGCATTCCAAAGGTTGGCCAAGCTCTTCCCGGAACTTCAAGCCGACTTATGTGAAATCTACAGCTCTGGAAACGAAAATTTGAGATTGCAAGACTGTGCCTATCTGGACGATTGGGCAAAAGAAGTCTTCTTCGGAACCAGAGAGAATGTCAAGGCGAGGAAGCCGCTATCTCCTGCTCCCTTGCTGAAAGCGAAGGATCCAGCAATTGTGATGTTGACCGACACGCAAGTGGTCCTATTTGGTGACCAAACCGTCGTTCAACTGGCATATGTGCTGAAGAGCAAGGTGAAGTGTGAAATGCGAAAAGCCTCAATGAATCCTGAAGAGGATCTGAAACGACTCGCTGCTTCTATTTCTCCAACGACGCCACTGCAAGAGGTCTACATGCAAGTACCGGAAGCCACGAAGATTCTCGCCAACGACAAGATCTTTGAAGGGCTGATCAACGGAATGAAGGCAGTCAACAAAAAGCGCAACACGGTGAAAATCATCGTCTTTCCATCGCTCCACACGTCGGATTCAACCGGGGAATACGAGCGACTCTACCGCCAAAATATCTTGAAGCCAGCACTCAAACATGGCCACGAGTTGATGGATGTCCGTGATCTACAATACGGACCGTCACATCGTTTCGACACCAGGATCTACCTGCTCATGAGGACAGCCTCAGAAACGAGCCTATCCAACTTTCATCTCGAGCTGTGGGGATGTTATGTTTTGGACAATCAATGGAAAGACGTATGGATGCAAGCCATGGAATACCAAAGGAAGCCTCGTCAAGAAAATCGCCTAGCTCCGGTCAAGCGTCGACATCAAGAATGGTTTGAAGACGATGTGCCAGCTGCCTCGTCGTCGAGAATTGGTAGCCGAATGGAATCACCTCGTGGTCGTGGACGTGGTGGTCGCCGTTGAGGGAGCAAATGGTCTCATCAAAAAGGATTGCCTTGAAAGTTTGTTGAAATTTTTCTTTTTAGTTTGTCTTAACCTTGTCTTTTAACCCTTTTTGTCAGATTGTGATTATTACTCGGGCGTGGGTCCGCCCTTCTCGTGGAGGAGGGTGGTCGCGTCCGTTTCCTTCCTATTTGCGTTGCTATTTTGCAATTATTCGCGTCGCATTTTTCGCCCTTTTCTCCCTTCCCGAAATTGTTTTTTTGGTCTGCGGGTTGCTTTTGCCTTCCCTCTTGGGGACTTTTGTTGTTTCTTTTGATGCGCATGCTGTCTTTGTAATAGGTATTGTTGCTTTTTGGTTTTGTACTAATAAACAGTAAAAATATAAACTCAACTTACTTTATGCTACCCTTCAGGTTTCAAATCCTGTTTAGATAACTGGTTTAACATTGTAGCGAGAGCTTACTAACATTTGTGTCGCCACCGACGAGTATTAATCTTGTGTTGGATGCTGCTCGTTCTTGTTATGTTGTAAGCGCTTTGGGGAAACCCTTTTTAACCTTCTTTGTGCAATTCGGCTATTCTGAAGCAAAATCATCCTCGATGATAAGGTTAAAGCGGGTCGCACCCCAAACTGTACTAGTATACTTAAAACTTGTACTAGTGTACTTAAAACTTGTACTAGTGTACTTAAAACTGTACTAGTGTACTTAAAACTGTACTAGTGTACTTAAAACTTGTAAAAACATCATTTCTAACCCTTTCTAACCCTTTCTAACCCTTTAAATCCTTTAAATGAATCCTTTAAACGTAAATAAAGAAAGAAGAATAGAGATTTTCAGCGATTCAATGGATGGAGAGCATCCCATTGATTCCGAATTGTCCCCCAGGGCTTGAATATCTCACACAAATCGATCAAATCATTGTAGAACAGGTGGAAAATCTATAAAAGCTTAAAAAGACAGATCTATGACAGATCAGATCTGTAATTATATCGAATCTAGCTATTAATCTAGCTATTAAGCTATTTATTAATCTACAGGGTGTACCATGATTGCCGCAAGAAGATAAATAAGATTCTAAGGAAGACAAGAGCATCTAGCTATTAATCTATCTATTAATCTAGCTATTAATCTATTTATTAATCTACAGGATTTGCCAATAATTGTCACAATAAGATAAAGTTCTGATCTTAAAGCAAACAAGAGCATCTATCAATCTATCGATCGAAGTTTAGCCTTGTTGTTCTTGTAAGCAGTGTAAACTTACTGTTTGTAAGCAGTAAGTTTAAGCTTATTTTTGAGAATCCGATGCAATGAAGTGCTTGAAATCGTCATCTTTTTTGCCATTAGTTGATTGATTTGATTTCTTCCGAATTCGGTCCCTTATTTGCTTGATGTTTGTCTTTATGACGATAGTTGGACGTGACGTGACGTCTTTGTGACGTCTACCGCTTCTTGATGAATCAGCAATTGTTCCCATAACTTTGTAGCATTGAATAGTGCGGAAAATGACAATTTCTGTCGATTTTAAGCCGTTTATGAATCTCCTTTGCATAAGGAATTGCATAAGGAATTGCACAAGCGAGACGCAACGATGCAAAACGCTTGTGCAAGTCGATAATCGTCAGTCAGTCAGTTAAAAGCCAGTTAAAAGCTAGCCAAAAGCCAGATAAGCCGATTTTCCATGGGACACTCAAAATTGTTGATTTTTAAACCTGTTTTTCTCTATGATAGAGTGCTGGAAACGCTCTGAAACTACGATTTTTGGAATCTACGCAAAAATTTACCTTAAAATGATCAATTATTGATCAATTATTGATCAGAGCGATTCCAGCACTCTATCATAAAGAAAAACAGCTTTAAAAATCAACAATTTTGAGTGTCCCATCTCGCGTCCAATTTCGCGCGTCTGTAACTCCCTTGTCTTTACCGTATTTCTAAATATTAATATTACCATTGTGTAGCTCTTGAAAAGAGCTTTCAGAAAATGTATAACACTAATAGTTTAAACTTAAAGACAAGGGAGTTACAGATGCGCGAAAGTGACGATCGTTTTTATGATATATGATATTTCATTGTCCAGTACTGTCTCAAGCGCGTTCAACAACGTCCAGTTGTCCAGTACTGTACCTCTGTTGCGACAATTGCGAGAATTATTGCGTATCCTTTGCATAAAATGATAATTTTAAACATTTCAAGCACTTCATTTCGTCAATTTCTCAAAAAATAACTTCAAAATTATTGCTTTAAAGAAAAAACAAGGTTAAAATTCTTCTATTAAACTATTAAATATAATCTAAACCTTTAGAAAGTCAGCTTGTTAGAGGCGTTTACTGAATGGGAAGTCAAGAATAAATATGCGATTTATAATGGAGCTGGACAACAGGTTTGTAAAGGATAAAAAGAAAGTTCAATTTGATTTATCTATCTCTATTACAAAGCTCTATTACATTGGAAAGTTAGGGTTTTTCAAAGCTTTTCCCTTTCTACTGTAATCTTGTCGATTAATCTTGGCGATTAATCTTGTCAATTTTTAATATTTCTCTATATAAACCTCACAGAATCAGATAAAAAGTGAATAGATTGAATAAAAAATCGACAAGCTTACGTTAGAAAACGATAAAGAGCAACTCTGCTAGTCCTTTTAGACTATTTGAAGTACTAGATCAGGGTCAATAATACTCCTACAATCACCAAACAATAGATTTAAACCGATTTAAACCGATTTGAACCGATTTAAACCGATTTGAACCGATTTAAACCGATAGGAATGGCTTTTTTTAATAGATCTTTAAAGTTATCCCATTTCTCTATCTAATTCCATTCTAATTCCATTTTAATTTTCCAAACTTTTTCCAAGAACTTTCTTTCCAACCTAATAAGACATTACTGTTTTAAAAAGTAATTTTCCGATGTTTTATCCAAAAATAAGTCTAATGTGGAATCAAACCAGTGGAATCAAACAAATCAAACGAATCAAACGAATCAAACGAATCAAACGACTCAAACTTTTTCCAAGAACTTTCTTTCCAATCTAATAGATCCATCCAATAATTTTAGGCCTATTTTGCCTTTGAAGAGTCGGATGGTTGTGAGAGATTGTGCTGTGGAGCGGCTCGTGGTTACACTTTACACATTGTCGATAACTTTCAAAAGGTTTTTAAATGAAAATTGAGGATAAATAGGTAAGCTGGTAAGCTAGAAGCTGGTAAAGGTAGCTGGTAAGCTGGTAAGCTAGAAGCTGTTTTAAAAAAAGCCAAGTTCAAGCCAAGTTCAAGCTAATCAAACCAAGTTCAAGCCAAGTTCAAGCCAAGTTTAAGCTAATCAAACCAAGTTTAAGCCAAGTTTAAGCTAATCAAACCAAGTTCAAGCCAAGTTCAAGCCAAGTTCAAGCCAAGTTTAAGCCAAGTTTAAGCCAAGTTTAAGCTAATCAAACCAAGTTCAAGCCAAGTTCAAGCCAAGTTCAAGCCAAGTTCAAGCCAAGTTTAAGCCAAGTTTAAGCTAATCAAACCAAGTTCAAGCCAAGTTCAAGCCAAGTTTAAGCCAAGTTTAAGCTAATCAAACCAAGTTCAAGCCAAGTTCAAGCCAAGTTCAAGCCAAGTTCAAGCCAAGTTTAAGCCAAGTTTAAGCTAATCAAACCAAGTTCAAGCCAAGTTCAAGCCAAGTTCAAGCCTAACCCAAGTTTAAGCTAATCAAGCCAAGTCTAAGCCAAGTTTAAGCTAATCAAACCAAGTTTAACCCAAGCTTAACCCAAGTTTAACCCAAGTTTAAGCCAAGTTTAAGCCAAGTTTAAGCTAATCAAACCAAAGTCATCTCATTTAATCCAAACAAAATCGGATACTTGAAAGCTATAATTGAAAGCTGAAAGCTATAGTTGAAAGCTGAAAGCTTGTACGCTTATATACTAAATTAAATCAAAGCTAAAGGGTTTGTTTACCATTTCTGGCATTTCTTTCCCTTTGTTGATTAAACAACAAAATTGAAATCTTATCATTTTAGGAAGTTGCCAAGATCACACGTCCTTTTCTCTGCTGTGGGAATCTTTGCTGTCAGAATGAGACCACTATCGAAGCTCCACCAGGAAATGTGGTAAATAGAATGATGTTTAAAAGATAAAAATAGCATAGTACTGTTTAAACAATAAAAATAACATAATACTTGTTCTTTACTATGTCATAGTCATAAAGAAATCATAAAGAAATCATTAAAAAATCTCGATTTTCTAGATTGGTGTCGTTCGACAGCAATTCGGCTGTGCTAGCCACAATTTCGCTATTTACACTCCCGATGGCGAGGCTCAATTGGAGTCAGGACTTTTATAAATTGATTTATAAATCGGATTTGCTTTCTCGATTTTTAGAAATTAAGAAAACCCATCAGAAAATCCAGCAGCCAAGAACTCTCTAATAAGATCTTTTCAGAATTCATGGCCCAAACGAGTGTGGCTTCGGTTTTGCGTGTAATTGCTGCGCTGATAAGGTCTTCAAGGTGAGCTCAAGCTAGCTAAAAGTTCGCTTTTGCGTACATCAACATTTAAAAACCCTAGAATTCTATTTTAGGTGAAAACCCTAGAAGGTGATACGATCGGTGACATTCGAAAGAAATGGACTGGGATGACGAGGGAGTATTTCACCGATGCCGATACGTTCACCGTAAAGTGTGAGTCAAGATTAGCAGTCGGGATTCGGTTTTGTTAACAACCAGGATTAGCAGTCTGGATTCGCAGTCAGGATTCGGCTTTGTTAACAGACAGAAGTCGCAGTCAAGATTAGCAGTCAAGCTTCGCAGTCAGGATTCGGTTTTGTTAACAGCCAGGAATCCCAGTCCGGGTTTGGCTTTGTTAACGGACAGGATTAGCAGTCAAGATTCACAGTCAAGATTCGCAGTCAGGGTTCCCAGTCAGGATTCGGTTTTGAATTTTAATGGATTGTAAATAGATTGTAAATCTAAATGCTTTGAATTGGATAAAGATAGAGACAAGAAAGATTACATTAGAAATTTGACAAATTTTCTTTTCAGTTCCCATCGATCTCAACGTGAACACCAAGGCGACACTGATTGCGGCGACTTTCTTGATTGTAAGTAAAAGATAAAGGATAAACGATAAAGGATAAAGGAATAAGGATCAAGATTAGAATAACCTAAAAAAATATACTACCAAAGTATTTCAATCGTGCCAATCTGCAAACACAAAGTGTAACTTGAAAAATTCCAGGATTTCCTCTGTTTCGAGGACAACAACGCGAGTCGGTGATCGACTTCAAGCTTTCCCAAATCATTTCTGCATGCCCATGTCAAACTCTTTACGCTATTTATTCATTTTTTTCTGTTTTCCTATCGTTTCATCGTTTCACCTATCTGTCCGCCTCAATCCTTATTTTCGCTTGATGTAACAACGCTTTACTATTTGCCGATGTGTTAAAGGTGCATAATTTTTTATAATAAAGTTTGAAAATCAATAAAAGTTCAGGAAAACACACAAAAAGTCGCAAACACGAATGAAAAAAAAAGAAATTTATAATCTTCTTATAAAAGATTATCAGAGTTTAAGATATTCAGCCGAATGACTGAATATCTTTCACAATGGTAAAATTGGTATAAAGGAAAAGCGACCAAAGAAATTTTTATTTGTCGTCATTTTGCTTATTTTATTTGCAGAACGCTTCTAATACGTTTTTATCCTCTAACCCTCTTAAAACATTGTAAGTTAACTCATTTATAAAACATAATTGATAGCTTATTCATAAAGTTGTTAAGTTTTGATCAGTCTTTGGGAATCTTTTGAAATATGAGTGAAATTTTGTGGAGAACCGGTATAGAAATAGATCAATACCATTTCCAAAACATCATAATCGAATTCAAAACAAAATCGAACAACCTTTTACATGTTTTACAAAGCCTCAAAAGTCGAGTGCGTTTTACCCTACGCAATTGCAATTCTGTCGTACCAATATTACTTTATCTTTATTGATCTTTGTTAATTCGTTTGACTTTGCAACAATTTCTCATTTTAGCAATCTCGCGATGCCCTCATACGTGAATCAACCCCATCATCAGCCACCGCCCAACCCGCAACCACCGCCATATCCGTATGGCGAGCAATCGTATCAACAGCTTCCGTCGACTCCATATCCTGATCTAGGCAGCTCCCACTCTTCGCAATCGCAACCGGTTCCTCGTCCATACAATCAACCACAGCACAACTTTCCACCACATGCACCTGGAATGGGTAAATTTTTGAGTGTTTGTTAGGCTTCGAAAGGTTTTTTGGGTAGTTAGTGCACTGGATTAATTGGTGACGCTTTCATTTCAAACGCTAATAATAACTTTTACTTGCTCTACTTTAGTCGAAGGTTGTAGTGTTGTTAGAAAAGTATTATTACTGTCTATTTTTAGTTCAATGGTTGCAAGAGACTAACTACGAGTCTCCAGTCGTTGGAATCCCACAAGGACTCGAGTATTTGACTCTAATCAATCAAATCATTGTGGAGCAGGCTAGATTTAGAGTAATGAAAGAGTTTAATATTTGTTTAGAAGCTTGACTACCTCGAGATGTGCACCAGTTGGCGGAGCAAACATCAATACATCATCTGCAATCAAATCGGACAATCGGTATTTTGTTGATGTTGATCAATCAATAATTGTTTGAGATCTTTCATGCAATTGAAGAATCAAATGGATGTGCTCGTCAATGCTTGGGCAAGAAGCGGGGATATACTATTCACATTCTCGATAATTTCGGCAGGGTGAGTTTTGTTGAGCAAGCTAAGTTGAAGCACTTTGTTAAGCGTTTGGGCTGTTATTAACTTCTTATCTTTTAACAATGCTCGACCAAAGCTTTTTCTCAAAACGTCGTACTCTTTCTTCTTTACGAAGCTAAAGATTGTACAATAAAAGTTTGAAAACTAAGCTAAAGCCTTAGCATTAAAGCATTTACGAGTCAGATCATTTTCGGAGGTGATGACGATTCGTCGCCCTTTCAAATGCTGCGGAACGTTTTGCAGCTCATACAAGACTATCATTGAGGCTCCACCGGGCCGTGCGGTGGGATTTATCGATTTAGGGGCTTTGTATTATAGTAAATCCTTTAGATTGGTTACATTCAGCAGAAGTTTGCCTTCTTCAAGAAGGAGTTCATTCTCCACTCCATGAACAATGAGCCTCAGCTAAAGTTTGATGATTCCATTTTAACGATAATCTTTTTTTAGGATCAAGGGACCCAATGAGTGCAGCTTGGACTTCTGCTGCCCATGCGGTGATAAGATTTTCAAGGTAATTTTATGTTTTATCAGAATCTTTGATTTGCTTAGGTTGAAACTTGGCGCAAGGGTGAAATTCGTAAGCAGTATATGGATCTTGGCGTCGAACTTTTCACCGATGCCAAGACTTTCACGGTGAATTGTTGGTTTTGCTATTTTATTACGTCTAACTATATAGATATGCACTTTACACATTTTCAATAACTTAGACAACTTTTAAACTTATTACTAGTTGCGCTTTATAGTAAACTTTATTGCGTAACAGCTTTGACTTTAGTCCCAATGGAGTTGGACGTGTTTGCCAAGGCTTTTTATTATTACCGCTCATTTGAATTTTTCTTAGGATTTCCTCTGCTTTGAGAAAGAGTGACCAAGTCCTTTATCGAATCCTAACTATTTACAAAAATTTTCTTTTTTGTTATGCAATCTTTTTAAGGCTCAAGTTTATTGTGTGACTTTTTTTGGTTTGAAAATTAGTTCTCACATGGACCCGTGCAACTAAATTTTCATTTTGCTTACTTATAATTGAATAAATCGTTCTTAAAAAATTTTAAAGAGTAAATTCGAATGTAAGATTACTAAACACTAGTTTTTACAATTTTGGTCAGTATTTTCATTAACATCCGTGGATTCAAAATTCAAAAAAGACGGTATTTTAGCCAAATTTTCAGAAAAAAGACTTGCTCGACGTGGTGATCGGCGCTGGATTGCAGAAATACGTGGTGTTCAATCAATCGGGAAACAAGTTGAGTGAACGTTTAATACGGTAAATAGGGTAAAATATGGATTTCCAAGTTGTTTACTACGGTATCGTGGTCGTCGAATAACTTCCAAATAAGATTCCAATAGATTTATTGAAAAAAATAGTCATTTAGGTTTACTATGCGTACCACGAGCGGGCCGTATCAAGGCCCCAATTGGGACAAGGGTAATATTGTTTTAGGACTTTATGCTTTTTTAGATCGGCTCCGTTCGACACAAATCATTTTGCTCATTTTATTTGCAGAATGCTTCTAATACGTTTTTATCCTCTAACCCTCTTAAAACATTGTAAGTGAACGCGTTTTAAAAACATAATTGATAGCTTATTCGTAAAGTTGTTAAGTTTTGATCATCAGTCTTTGGGAATCTTTTGAAATGTGAGTGAAATTTGGTTTTTACTAAAATTTTTACGCTATTTATTCATTTTTTTTAATGTTTTTCAATCGTTTCATTGTTTCGTCGTTTCATTGTTTCGCCTATCTTTCAGTCTCAATTCCCATTTTCGCTTTCATCAACAACGCTTTTTGTACTTGCCGATGCATAATTAAAGGTGCATAATTTTTTTAGAATAGTTTAAAAACCAATAAAAGTTCAGGAGAACGCAGAAAAAAAATCGCACAGACGAGTGAAAAAAATGCTCTTATAAAAGATTATCAAAGTTAAAAATATTCAGCCACGTCACTGAATATCTTTAACAATGGGGAAACGGTTATAAAACAAAAGCAGCCGAAGAAACTTTCATAAAAAACGCCTAACGGTGGGCTGCTTTAGGAATTGTAAAAATAATTGCCAGAAACGAATTCCCTGTGTTGGAAACCCGGACCATTCAAATTACAGCGTAAAATGCAAATTGCACCCATGGTGCAGTGACGAGCGCGCTCGCCCCACGCGCACATGACCCGGAATAGATTTGATAAAAGAGGCAAGATTACAGTAGAAAGATGAAGGGGTCACGGTTTGGAAAATGATTTCATTTACCCTATAAGTTATCTATTTGCTTTTTAAACTCATCAATAATACAGTAATTTTATTTATTAAGCATAATTTTTAAAAAGAAACATTTCTTTCTCCCAGTATTTTATTCTAATTTCGACGGTTTCCTGCTTGATTGTTTGAATAGTAAAACATGTCCTGGAAATGGTTTTTTTTTTCAAAAATAAACTCTAAGCTAGATAATTTTATCTCAGAAACATCGAGTTATGTTGTTTTTTTTCAGTTTGAACCTATAAAACTAAAAAACTATATGTCGTAGTCGATTATGAATGAGTGGGTCTAGGAGCGTCCAACCATCAAGTGTTTAGTATCATTCAACGCAGAATCATTGATAATTATGTTAAATTTTTGAAATTAGAAAGATTGGATAAAAAGAACACAAATTATGGGGCTTCAAAGTTTTCTCTTGAACAAACAGTTTTTTGCTCTAATTTTTTTTCTTTTCATCAAATCATGCTAATTTGAAAAATTTAACATAATTATCAATGATTCTGCGTTGAATGATACTAAATACTTGATGATTGGACGCTCCTAGACCCACTCATTCATAATCGGCTACGGGGGTCCCGCCGATTTTGAATGAAACGTTGTAGCGCCGGCAATTTGTAACCTAAACTCATAAATTTGGTACCAATCGACGCAGAATTCAATTCGCTACAAGATGATATAATATTGTCCTCTACTTGCTGCTCTACTAGAAAGATTTGCCAAAAAATTTCATTCATAATCGGTTACGACATATAAACTATAAAACCTATAAAAATGTTCTTAAACTTTAAAAACAAACGATAATAAAAGTGGCGCCAATGAGCGTCGCTTTCGTGTGCACATTCAAGTCCATAGGAACTAGAAAAAGTTCAAGATTTTCATTTTAAAACTCAAACTTACAATTCACAGTGAAATTATCGATATCAGTGTATGTTTCCATCATATAGCCCATATACTTTTTGCGAATCTCACCAATTTCCGCACCCTCAAGTGTTGTGATCTAAAAATTGAGGCTTAAATTAGCTCAATTTTCGATTGGCTCAATGACTGACCTTAAAAACTCGATCATTGTACTCAGCACAGCATTTCCAATTATCAGTTGGGCCGAGGATTCTGAAACGTGAATCTTAAGAAAAGGTGTTTTTCATTTTAAATCAACTGTAGCACCGATTTCCCTTCAGCATCAGTCACCCAGAAATCCCTATTGCAAAAGCCGGATTTGTGTCGAACGGAGCCGATCTAAAAAAAGCATAAAAATTAGCATAAAGTGCTAAAAAAATATTACCCTTGTCCCAATTGGGGCCTCGATAAACGTCTCAATTTGCGCCGTGCAGGTGAGCTTGCATTCGGTGGGTCGGAAGAGTCGCATCACTTGCTGAACGAGTTTTGTTAGCTTTTAGTTGAATAATAATATAGATCCAGTTTTTATCCGTTTTAAAATCTCTTACCCTTTGAAAATTGTCGATCATAAACGTGGACAAGCCCGGAAAATCGCCTGAGCACATTTTCTCGCAATCGGGCCGCTCGTGGTACGCATAGTAAACCTAAATGACTATTTTTTTTTCATAAATCTATTGGAATCTTATTTGAAAGTTATTCGACGACCACGATACCGTAGTAAACAACTTGAAAAGCTATATTTTACCCTATTTACCGTAGTAAACGTTCACTCAACTTGTTTCCCGATTGATTGAACACCACGTATTTCTGTAATCCAGCGCCAATCACCACGTCGAGCAAGTCTTTTTTCTGAAAATTTGGATAAAATACAGTCTTTTTTTTGAATTTTCTTACCATAATCCTTTCAATTCAGCACTGATTATTAGCTTTTATATGTCGTAGCCGATGAAGGATTTCAGCCGAAGAAGTCTCAAATTTTTTCGCTAGCGAAACCTTCTTTGGCTAGCCGATTAAGTCTCAAAAATGAAATCTTGAGTTATGTATTGACTCAAGTCAATACCACAAACTCAAGCTCTCTAAAAGGCGCTTAAAAGCTAAAAACGCATTCTAAAGAGCGCGCATTTTCCTTTTCGGGTCCTTTTCGTCACTTTCTATCTGATTCGTCATTTATTTGAAATAGAATTGTTTGTTTTTGTAAGTCAATTTGACCCCTTTGTTGGATCGTCGATAAAACTTGTTTACCACTAATCTGACTTGAGTCAATACATAACCCAAGATTTCATTTTTGAGACTTAATCGGCTAGCCGAAGAAGGTTTCGCTAGCAAAAAAATTTGAGACTTCTTCGGCTGAAATCCTTCCTCGGCTACGACATATACATCAACAACAATATTCTTACCTCTTCAACAACGATCCGATCGATTAGTGTCAAATACTCGAGCCCGGGTGGACAATTCGGAATCGGTGGCAATGGGGCCATCCATTGAGTGGCTGAATGTTAGAATTTGATAAAAAAATGCATTAGACAAGGATATTAAGAGTAGTGCAACAGGGTTTAGAACCTATCTAATCTATTGCTCTAAAATCGTTTTGAAATTCTTAAAACTTCAAACAACTTTGATTTAAATTTTGCAGCGCAATAAACCTTTTTTCGAGTCCAATTTGCATAAACTTTCTTAGGTACAATATATTTTTTCCCTTACCACTTCCCGGAACCGGTGGCGGCACTAGAGATCCAGGCTGAACAGTAAATGCGTGATTATCCATTTAAAGCAGTGATTGATTATAGGGAAAACTTAAATATAACTCTATTTTGGCAAAAAGCGAACAGGTCTAACAAGTCCTTTTCGTGAAATTTTGTTGAAGGTCACCCAGCTAAGAGAAAGACTGAAATTTGAGAGGTCACAGAGATCCACGCACGCCAATGAAAATATTGAGCAAAATTCTAAAAACTAGTGTTTAGTAATCTTACATTCGAATTTACTCTTTAAAACTTTTTAAGAACGATTTATTCAAATATAGGTAAGCAAAATGAAAATTTACTTGCATGCGTTCATGTGAGAACTAGTTTTCAAATAAAAAAGTCACACAATAAACTTGAGCCTTAAAAAGATTCCATAACAAAAAAGAAAATTTTTGTAAATAGTTAGGATTCGATAAATGACTTGATCACTCTTTCTCAAAGCAGAGGAAATCCTAAGAAAAATTCAAATGAGCGGCAATAATAAAAACTTACAATCAAGAACGTTGCTCCGATGAGCGAAGCCTTGGCAAACACGTCCAACTCCATTGGGACTAAAGTCAGAGTTGTTACGCAATAAAGTTTATTATAAAGCGCAATCAGTAATAAGTTTAAAAGTTGTCTAAATTATTGAAAATGTCCAAAGTGCGTCTCTGTACAGTTAGACGTAATAAAACAGCAAAACCCACAATTCACCGTGAAAGTGTTGGCATCGGTGAAAAGTTCGACGCCAAGCTCAGTATACTGCTTGCGAATTTCCCCAACTTGACCCTTGCGCAAAGTTTGAACCTAAGCAAATCAAAGATTCTGATAAAACATAAAATTACCTTGAAAATCTGATCACTGCATGGGCAGCAGAAGTTCAAGTTGCACTCATTGGGTCCCTTAATCCTAAAAAAAGATTATCGTTAAAATGAAACGATCAAACTTTAGCTGAGGCTCATGGTGCACGGAGTGGAGAATGAACTGCTTCTTGAAGAAGGCAAACTTCTGCTGAATGTAACCAATCTAAAGGATTTACTATAATCCAAAGCCTCTAAATTGATAAATCCCACCGCACTGCCCGGTGGAGCCTCAATGGTAGTCTCGTGTGAGCAGCAAAACGTTCCGCAGCATTTGAAAGGGCGACGAATCGTCATCACCTCCTAAAATGATCTGACTCGTAAATGATTTAATGTTAAGGCTTTAACTCAGTCAATTTCAAATTTTTATTGTACAATCTTTAGCTTCGTGCTGTAGAGAAAGAGTACGACATTTTGAGAAAAAGTTTTGTCGCAGCACTGTCAAAAGATAGGAAGTTAATAACAACCAAAACGCTTAACAAAGTGCTTCAACTCAGCTTGCCTAACCAAACTCACCCTGCGGAAATTATCGAGAATGTGAATAGTATATCCCCGCTTCTTGCCCAAGCATTGACGAGCACATCCATTTGATTCTTCAATCGCATGAAAGATCTAAAACAATTATTGGTCGAACAACATCAACAAAATACCGGCTGTCCGTTTTGATTGCAGATGATGTATTGATGCTTGCTCTCCCAACCGGTGCACATCTCGAGGAAGTCAAGCTTCTAAACAAACATTCAACTCTTTCATTGCTCTAAATCTAGCCTGCTGCACGATGATGCGGTTGATTTGAGCCAAATACTCGAGTCCTTGTGGGATTCCAACGATTGGAGACTCGTAGTTAGTCTCTTGCAACCATTGAACTAAAAATAGACGATAATAATACTTTTTTAACAACACTACAACCTTCGACTAAAGTAGACGGGTCAAAGCAAGTAAAAGTTATTATTAACGTTTTGAAAGGGTCACCAATTAATCCAGTGCACCAACTACCCAAAAAACCTTTCCAAGCCTAACAAACACTCAAAAATTTACCCATTCCAGGTGGAGGTGGTGGAAAGTTGTGCTGTGGTTGATTATATGGACGAGGAACCGGTTGCGCTTGCGACAGTGGACGAAGAGATTGATGTTGCAGAGGGTATGGCGGGCGATGCGATTGCGAACAGTGAGAGCTGTCTAGATCAGGATATGGAGCCGTCGGAAGCTGTTGATACGATTGCTCGCCATACGGATATGGCGGTGGTTGCGGGTAGGGCGGTGGCTGATGATGGGGTTGATTCACGTATGAGGGCATCGCGAGATTGCTAAAATGAGAAATTGTTGCAAAGTCAAACGAATTAACAAAGATCAATAAAGATAAAGTAATATTGGTACGACAGGATTGCAATTGCGTAGGGTAAAACGCACTCGACTTTTGAGGCTTTGTAAAACATGTAAAAGGTTGTTCGATTTTGTTTTGAATTCGATTATGATGTTTTGGAAATGATATTGATCTATTTCTATACAGATTCTCCCCAAAATTTCACTCATATTTCAAAAGAATCCCAAAGACTGATCAAAACTTAGCAACTTTATGAATAAGCTATCGATTATGTTTTAAAAATGAGTTAACTTACAATGTTTTAAGAGGGTTAGAGGATAAAAACGTATTAGAAGCGTTCTGCAAATAAAATAAGCAAAATGACGACAAATAAAAATTTGTTTGGTCGCTTTTCCTTTATACCAATTTTACCATTGTGAAAGATATTCAGTCATTCGGCTGAATATCTTAAACTCTGATAATCTTTTATAAGAAGATTATAAATTTCTTTTTTTTTTCATTCGAGTTTGCGACTTTTTGTGTGTTTTCCTGAACTTTTATTGATTTTCAAACTTTATTATAAAAAATTATGCACCTTTAACACATCGGCAAATAGTAAAGCGTTGTTACATCAAGCGAAAATAAGGATTGAGGCGGACAGATAGGTGAAACGATGAAACGATAGGAAAACAGAAAAAAATGAATAAATAGCGTAAAGAGTTTGACATGGGCATGCAGAAATGATTTGGGAAAGCTTGAAGTCGATCACCGACTCGCGTTGTTGTCCTCGAAACAGAGGAAATCCTGGAATTTTTCAAGTTACACTTTGTGTTTGCAGATTGGCACGATTGAAATACTTTGGTAGTATATTTTTTTAGGTTATTCTAATCTTGATCCTTATTCCTTTATCCTTTATCGTTTATCCTTTATCTTTTACTTACAATCAAGAAAGTCGCCGCAATCAGGGTCGCCTTGGTGTTCACGTTGAGATCGATGGGAACTGAAAAGAAAATTTGTCAAATTTCTAATGTAATCTGTCTTGTCTCTATCTTTATCCAATTCAAAGCATTTAGATTTACAATCTATTTACAATCCATTAAAATTCAAAACCGAATCCTGACTGGGAAACCTGACTGCGAATCTTGACTGGGAACCCTGACTGTGAATCTTGACTGCTAATCCTGTCTGTTAACAAAGCCAAACCCGGACTGGGAATCCTGGCTGTTAACAAAACCGAATCCTGACTGCGAAGCTTGACTGCTAATCTTGACTGCGACTTCTGTCTGTTAACAAAGCCGAATCCTGACTGCGAATCCAGACTGCTAATCCTGGTTGTTAACAAAACCGAATCCCGACTGCTAATCTTGACTCACACTTTACGGTGAACGTATCGGCATCGGTGAAATACTCCCTCGTCATCCCAGTCCATTTCTTTCGAATGTCACCGATCGTATCACCTTCTAGGGTTTTCACCTAAAATAGAATTCTAGGGTTTTTAAATGTTGATGTACGCAAAAGCGAACTTTTAGCTAGCTTGAGCTCACCTTGAAGACTTTATCAGCGCAGCAATTACACGCAAAACCGAAGCCACACTCGTTTGGGCCATGAATTCTGAAAAGATCTTGCTAGAGAATTCTTGGCTGCTGGATTTTCTGATGGGTTTTCTGATGGATTTTCTTAATTTCTAAAAATCGAGAAAGCAAATCCGATTTATAAATCAATTTATAAAAGTCCTGACTCCAATTGAGCCTCGCCATCGGGAGTGTAAATGGCGAAATTGTGGCTAGCACAGCCGAATTGCTGTCGAACGACACCAATCTAGAAAATCGAGATTTCTTTATGATTTCTTTATGATTTCTTTATGACTATGACATAGTAAAGAACAAGTATTATGTTATTTTTATTGTTTAAACAGTACTATGCTATTTTTATCTTTTAAACATCATTCTATTTACCACATTTCCTGGTGGAGCTTCGATAGTGGTCTCATTCTGACAACAAAGATTCCCACAGCAGAGAAAAGGACGTGTGATCTTGGCAACTTCCTAAAATGATAATATTGAACTTTTTGTTGTTTAATCAACAAAGGGAAAGAAATGCCAGAAATGGTAAACAAACCCTTTAGCTTTGATTTGATTTAGTATATAAGCGTACAAGCTTTCAGCTTTCAACTATAGCTTTCAGCTTTCAACTATAGCTTTCAAGTATCTGATTTTGTTTGGATTAAATGAGATGACTTTAGTTTGATTAGCTTGAACTTGGCTTGAACTTGGTTTGATTAGCTTGAACTTGGCTTGAACTTGGTTTGATTAGCTTGAACTTGGCTTGAACTTGGTTTGATTAGCTTGAACTTGGCTTAAACTTGACTTAAACTTGGCTTTTTTTAAAGCTTTCCTTTACCAGCTTCTAGCTTACCAGCTTACCTATTTATCCTCAATTTTCATTTAAAAACCTTTTGAAAGTTATCGACAATGTGCAAAGTGTAACCACGAGCCGCTCCACAGCACAATCTCTCACAACCATCCGACTCTTCAAAGGCAAAATAAGCCTAAAATTATTGAATGGATCTATTAGATTGGAAAGAAAGTTCTCGAAAAAAGTTTGAGTCGTTTGATTCGTTTGATTCGTTTGGTTCCATTGGTTTGATTCCACATTAGACTTATTTTTGGATAAAACATCGGAAAATTACTTTTTAAAACAGTAATCTCTTATTAGGTTGGAAAGAAAGTTCTTGGAAAAAGTTTGGGAAATTAAAATGGAATTAAAATGGAATTAAAATGGAATTAGAATTGAATTAGAATGGAATTAGAATGGAATTAGAATGGAATTAAAATTAAAATGAATCGAATTTTTTTTTTTTTTTAAAAAAAATACCGACTGGGGCTACCAGTGGTGAATTTATCGCATACACGAAATATATCAATCACAATACAACGACACACACAATACTAGGCTATATCTTAACTTAACCCACGTCATGACAGACGGCTCCCTAACCCTAAGCTCAATGGGGAACTAAATAGCTTTTTTGGTGGTGAAGGGAAGATGACGATGAAGGAGTGGCTTGTCACTTTAAAGAACTGGGGCCACAACCACCAGACTGCCCTCCAGAAAACCTCTCAACCCGAAGGGAAAGGAAATCCGAAGGGGGTGACCATGTCGCGTGTGGGGTTCGAACCCTCGACCTTCCGATTAAGATAAAAGACACTTAACCAGTCAGCCACAATTAAAAACAAAACCATTAATTCAAGAACATTTTATTCTATTATTTAAAAGTCAACTCCAAAAAATTAATTGTAAATAAAATTTTAGAGATTTTTCAAAAAATTATTGTTTTCCAAGCTTAAACTCAGCTCACTTTTTACATTAGATTTCTTATAAGGTAAAGCTAGCAAAAAAAATGAGCAATACGCTTTATAATCACTGGTTTAGACGCTTTATAATCATTGGCTTTATTGTTTGGAGGTTGTAGGAGTATTATAGACCCTGATCTAGTACTTTAAATAGCCTAAAAGGAATAGTTGAGTTGCTCTTTATCCTTTTCTACCGTAATCTTGTCCATTTTTATCAAATCTATTCACTTTTTATCTGATTCTGTGAGGTTTATATAGAGAAATATTAAAAATTGACAAGATGAAAGGGACATGTTTTAAAAAACGGAAAAAACTAGAATAACCAGGTCCATCCTCTTCTTCTTGAACTGAGAGTTCCCGTGAGTGAGTCTTGCTGACCATAGTAGCTTTTCCAGACGCTCGCCGTTGTCGTTGCGTGTGCCGAGTCCGAACTTTCCGACCCTCCCGGTGCCGCTGTTCCCGATGATCGCGTTGAAGTCTCCGAGCAACCACCACCAGCACAAGCAAGTCGAAAACTTCGAACCAGAAACAACCAAGATAGGAAACACTGGATGACAATAGCAAGGGATAGAGAAATGGGATAACTTTAAAGATCTATTAAAAAAAGCCATTCCTAAATCGGTTTGAATCGGTTTGAATCGGTTTGAGTCGATTTGAATCGGTTTAAATCGGTTTGAATCGGTTTGAATCGGTTTGAATCGATTTGAATCGGTTTGAATCGATTTGAATCGATTTGAATCGGTTTGAATCGGTTTGAATCGGTTTGAATCGATTTGAATCGGTTTGAATCGGTTTGAATCGGTTTGAATCGGTTTGAATCGGTTTGAATCGGTTTGAATCGGTTTGAATCGGTTTGAATCGGTTTGAATCGGTTTGAATCGGTTTGAATCGGTTTGAATCGGTTTGAATCGGTTTGAATCGGTTTGAATCGGTTTGAATCGGTTTGAATCCGTTTAAATCCATTTAAATCCATTTAAATCCATTTAAATCTATTTTTATTCAATCTATTCACTTTTTATCTGATTCTGTGAGGTTTATATAGAATTCAAAAAAATGATCGTAAGTAAACTTCTACAGATGGGCTAGGACCATTGTTAGAAAGGGGACAGCGCCGGACATTTGCGCACCTTTTTCGCACTAGCCCATAGCGCACCTTCTTTCGCGTTTAAAAAAGCCAAAAGCAATATTAACCAATTTCTATTCCAAAAGTTGTTTTCTAGGTAATTTTAGGGTGTCGAATTCAAATTTTGACATAACAGAGCGTGTGGAACCAGACAAAACGACAAAACGTTTTGTCTTTGAAAGACAAAACGGCTAGATCAAATACAGAAAATTGTCGATTTTTCTCTTGTATAACTCCGTCCGTTTGTTTCACAAGCCAATATGTCAAAATCGTCTACGCCCAAAATTACCAGAAAACAACGAATAGAAATCGGTTTATTAGCTTGAGCTTAAAACGCGAAAAGGGCGCAAGGCGGAAAAAAAGGCGAACGGCGCACGACCCCCCAGAAAAAAAAAACAAAGAAACGAATAAGAAATGCAGAAAGCAGAAAACGGAAGAATTTGATGGAAATGTTGTAGTTGAAGCAGAAAGCAAAAATAGGGAGCGTAGGGATAAGTTATCAGCCAAAGGGCCTACATTACAGGCATACGGTAGCGTGTTCAGCAATCAAAGCTTGATTTGGCTCATCTTTGCGTTTTCCACTCGAATAGCTGTTCTTGGTGAAACAAAATCGGGAACTGATATCAAACCCTAAAAGTTGATGACTAAATTTTGTAAACTTCAAATCTAAAAGCTTCCTTTCTAACAATGGTCCAGCCCATCTATAGAAGTTTACGGTTCTTTCCAATATCAGGGTAGCGGTTCGATTATCGGGGGGCGAAAGGAAAATCGGGGGAGCAAATTTCGATTGCCGTCGATTTCTTGACGCACAAATATCGGAGAGCGCATCGTCGTTAAAGTTTTAAAAAACGTTAGAGTATACAGTCCCGAAATGCATTTTTCGAGGGGGAAAATTTGCGGACACCCGGACATTTGCGCACCTTTTTTTCCGCACTTAGCCCATTAGCGCACCTTTTTTCGCGTTTTAAAAAAGCTCTAAAAAGCTAATATTAACCAATTTCTATTCCAAAAGTTGTTTTTCTAGGTAATTTTAGGGCGTAGAATCGAAATTTTGACATTTTGACAAGCTTTCCTTTCTAACAATGGTCCTAGCCCATCTGTAGAAGTTTACTTACGATCATTCTTCTCATAAGTTCATCACATTGTTGTTAATCGCTTGTCACTTGAAATTTACGTATTTCCCCGTTTTATTGCTATTTCCATTGAGTTTTCATGACTTTACCGTTTTGATATAATTTCTTTAAATTTAGATCATCATGGAGAAGATAACGCTTGCCGCACCGACGAGTTTCTCGATACCGAAGAAGAAAAGAAAAGACGGTGAAACGCCGCCGCCAGTACGAGGTAAGGTGTTAGTTTGGGAAGCAATAATTGGTATCTGTACTATTATGTTGCTTCAAGATCCTGCAAAAGCAGAGCTCAACATTTTTACCCAACACGTTTGAATGAGTAGGCAATGGTCTAACCTTCATTTTGATACCAAACGCTCATTGGTACAGGATGACCGCAAAGTATAGCGACAACTTTTTGGAATAGTATCTAGGAAATGTCTAATTTATTTTAAAAGTACCAAGTGTTGTATAGAGAAATGTAGGCCTTAATCTTGGCTACATTTATCTACCAAAAACTTCCGGATTGAACTTATACAATTCATTTAAGAAACGCTTGAATGAGCGCTAGTCGACGTCTCTCCGGTGAATCTGTCATTTGATAGCTTTTCTACATGACAAATTTCATTCAGAAGTTTTTTTAGTCAAATTTGTGATAATTTTGTTCAAAAACATTGTTTTCAACAAATTTATAGCGCCAGAAAAGCTGATATAACGAACTGAACATCGAAAACATACTCAATTTTCATCTTTTTCTCTGCTCCTCCAAGAAAAGCTTGGCATCAACTTAAATTTTGGTGATATCAGTTCAGCCAAAACATTTAGGTGTGATTCTTAATGTTATTAAGTGATGTTAGACGCATTAAAAATTTTTGCATTAAAAAAGATTAGAAAGCTTTTCTTAACAATTTTTGATAGAGAAGAGCGACCAAATGACAGATTCGTCGGGGAGATGTCGACTAGCGCTTATTCAAGAGTTGTATAAGTCGAATTGGGAAGTTTTTGCTAGATAAATGTTGCCGAGAATTAGGGCTACAATTCTCCATATAACACTTGCCACTTTTGACATTTCCCAGTGACTTTTCCAAAAAGTTGTCGCTACACTTTGCGTAAATGAAATGGAAACTTGACTATTCAATTTTTGTTTGGCGTTGTGAAATATTTTGCATTATCAACATTTTCATTTTAGCACCAGTACCGGAGCCAGAATCGCGACCAATATGGCAAAATGTTCATCCAAACAATCCGCAATTTGCAAAACTACATGAAATTCTACACACTAATTGCTTTGACCCAAATGTTCGACTTGCAATCCACGGAGCTAATCTACTAAACAATCCTTGGCTCAACTATCGAGTAAGTTTTTTTTCCGTTGATATCATAATTGAACATGTTTAGTATTCCAATTACCGCAAAAGACTAAAAGCCAGTGGGCAGCCAGACAAAGAAGACATTGCTTTTTTGCAGATCTCTAAGTCAATTGGAGAGGTTTTATCGAATCTTGCTTTAAAATAAGTTTATTTAGCTTGCACATATTGCCGAATATGGTGTACATGTTGGTACATCGCTCAATGATCATTTGGGCGACAGTGAAAATGGTAACTTTAGAAGCTTTTGCTTTATTGCATAACTTTAGGTGTTTATCTTTCGACCAATGTTGATTTGTTGGGCCCACAGAGTTTCTTGATCAGTACCAAGATGGGGATACCAAGATCATACGTGATTCGAGTTGTAATATGCAAAATATTGAAGGGAAAAGTTAATATGGTTTGATTATTTACCGCTTCTAATATTAAAAGGTTTTTAGGTTGAGCCAGACTCAAAAAATTTGAAGCCGACTTTTGGTTATGGTTGTCATATGGCAAAGCCAACAGGAAATGATGAGAATAAACAAGACTGTTTAGAAATATATCGTCAACAACTGGTTTGACTGGTATGCGTAATCATGATTTTCTTCTATTTAGATGTACGTGTATGAAATTAACGAACAAGTTGGGGAAATTGTACCTTTTGGGGTTTTTCTTATGGTTTTATCGAATCTTTTCCTTTTCTAGGTCAACGTGTTTGGTATCAAAGAGCTTGAGACTGAGCTGGCGCCTGCTGGAATTCTTCCGTATGCTTGCGTCGATGTGGCTGTAGATTTTACAGTATTGACCAATAAAAAGCTGTAAGTTTTCTTTAGACTACATATTGAATTTGCAATTTTTAGACGCATTCCAAGGTTTGAACTTGCAAATTCTCCTTTCTACACTGGAAGAATCTTTATTATGGATGAAATGTATGCAGTCAACCTTATAGCAATCAAGGACGAGTCTTGGAAACCGCTAGGAATGTAAAATGTTTTTACAGTGCTTTTGATAAAAAAACATTTACAGTGCTCCAACGCTAGTCGTGAAGGACTTTGTCAGATGGAAGAAGGCTCTTGAAAAGTCACCACTATTGGTTATTTGACTGTTTATTCTTTAATTCATCATCAACTTTAGGACTTGAGTCAAAATGAATTTGGTGCGATGATCTATAACAGAGAGATTCATGTACTTTTCCAAATATAGATTAAATTCTATTATTTTCAGTTACCCAACGGCTTGTTTGTTACTTACGCCGTATTATCTCCGTTGGCAATTTCTCCCCAATTCACTACGCTTATTGAAACCTTGACCACAAATCAAGTTGTAAGTTTATAAGAAAGACTACCCTAGTCCAAAGCTAATGTTACAGTCGACTCTCTATAACGGAATGAGGGGACCAAAAAATGTTTCCGTTATAAATAGTGCCGTTTTATATAGTTTAGCGTCGGTCGGGACGAAAATTCCATTTTTTTTATATCGAGCTTTCCACTAGAGAGAGTTCTGTTATAGAGAGTCGACTGTATTTCGTTATCGATAAAGTATTGTATCAAATTTTTTAGATTGGCTTCTGTGCTTCAACGGAAAACGTGCAAATTTATCTAATCCCGCCTGGAGAGCTTGCCAATCATTTGGGTCTACCATCACACATTGAATCGGCTTTTCATCTAATTGTTGCTCAACCTCGCTCATTCTTTGGTTTGCATCGGGAAACACTTGACCAACGGTGCGCAATGTTATATGATATATGATAGATTTGTCAGAACTGCTTAATTGCTAGATAGCTCAAACCGTTTGGGACCCAGCTAAAACTAAAGGGCATTTAATGTTTTAGCACGAATTATACCATCGAGTGTCAATAGGTTTTAATTATTATGTTTAGAATGTTGGCACGCCGTCGTCCATTCCCCGACGAAATCCTTCAAGGATTTCATTATCAGCTAAAAGATTACATCGATGAAGAATTTCGTCAAAACATAAATAGTCCATCCGGGATGAATGCTCACTATCGATTAGAAAGAAGTTGGATTTTTCATCTTGCAAAAAAAAGGATCTTTCTAGGTTTATCACGAAACACTCAAGAAAATTCACAAAATATGCGCATTGAAGGTAAAAAGCTCTTTTTTATTATATACAAATCGTCAATCGTTTTTTAGATCAGAATGTGTCGATGATGGATATAAGTGATGAGCGTACTGAATTCGACGGCCCGGACGAGTCAGAACTGCGTGCTGAAGGTTCGTATAAAAGCTGCTTTTTCGGTACAGGTTTCTTTAGATGCACCAATGGTTTCGAAAGAACGCTCGTTAATGAGTGAAACGGATGCTAGTGAGGGCGAGAGATTGGACAAACGAGAACGGGAAACTGATGGAAAAAGTGTGTAGGCTAGTATTGTAGTATTTCTCAGAAGTATTTCAGTAGAAACAACTTCTGCAATAAAAAAGCAGACTTCAATTATGTTATGCCTAGTTATTAACGAAGTCATATTTAGGTGGAAAGGACGATCGTACACAAAGGTTGAACAGGCGCGAACAGTTGGATGAACGAGATCGTGAAACGCAGAAAGGTGATTATAAACTTGTTGCCTCGTTAAATAGTTGCCTTTTTGGAATGCAGGCTAAAATCCACTATTTAGATGTCTCAATGAGTATCTCGGTAGACGCCGAAGGGTTGGGTGATCGTGTCGCGTCTATGGACCCGAGAAAGCATTCGTCTCAACGTGCCATGAACGCTACACACTTCATTGGTATTCTATACACTATTTAAAAGCATTAGTTTTATATTGTTGGTAAAATGATATATGTTTTAATGAAAGCATATTTTAGGTACGTATTTTATTTTTGTCTAACTAGAGTAAAAAGTAAAAACAGTAACATGACGACTTTAACAAACGACATAACAAATACTTTAGGTGATCGTGATGATAGTTCGCAGGACCGAGACCGATTGATTGACAGAGAACGTGAAATGCGTGAGAAAGGTGCGTATAGACTTCTGTTAGTAGAGTTGCTTTGTTGAAGATTAAAAAATGAACTAATGTTTAGACCAGCCGACGTGTTCAAGAGACCGTTCATCAGAGCGTAACGTGTCGACTCGTAGAAAAGATGATTGGATTGAAAGATCAAACGATAGAGAACGTGACAGGCATGATAAAGGTGAGTTAGCGCATAAAATTTCCTTGATGTTTTGAACTCATTTTAAGGTAGAAGAGATGACAGTCGTGAGAGATTGAATGGAAAGGAACGAGGAAAAAAGCACAAGAAGGGTGAATATAACATCGTCTATGTTTGGTGTTATGCCATAATTTGTTGTTTAGAAAGGAAGCGGCGGCGTACCTCAAGGGAATCCGAGAGGTTATCATCAGGTCGCTCCGCATCGGCAACTCGTGGAAATGGCCGGATTGATAGATCAAAGGAGCGAGATCGTGAAACACGTACAGGTGCGTTTTTTCTTTTCAAAGAAGCATAATATTCACTGTTTAGATGCACCGATACGTGACCAAGGCGATGTCGAATATTTTTCGGATCGATCTTCGACGAATGCTAGAGGACATTTATGGGACATGAAAGAATGTAAAAGTTGGTATTATATTTTTTGTTTGCAGTTATGAAAATAGGCATGAAAGTGTTTATTCTAATGATTATTAAGGTGATGCAGTCAGATTTTCATATTTTAAGGTGAAAAGGATGAACGAGCCAAAAGAATGGATGAATGTGCCATGTCGACCGAACGAGAGCGCGAAACGGACCAACGACTTTTGACGGCAATAGAACCGAGCGAAGTAGTTGGGGTGGATTTGGCTGTTGAACGACGCCCACCAAAAACCTTTAAGCCACTTAAACCGCCAGCTCGCTCATCATGGCGCAAGAAAAAGAATGTTTAATTGTTTTAACAGGAAAAATTTTTGTTGTTGTTGCAAAAATGTTGCGTCAGCCTTTTGCTAATAAAGTTGTTTTCATTTGATTTGTTGTTGATTACTGTTTCGTCTGTAAAGATACCAGTTTTTTTCTGAGTACTTCATTGTTATGCATGTTTCTGAGCATCAAGTCGACTTTTGAGGCTTTGTAAAACATGTAAAACGTTGTTCGATTTTGTTTTGAATTCGATTATGATGTTTTGGAAATGGTATTGATCTATTTCTATACCGATGCTCCACAAAATTTCACATATATTTCAAAAGAATCCCAAAGACTGATCAAAACTTAACAACTTTATGAATAAGCTATCAATTATGTTTAAAAAATGAGTTAGCTTACAATGTTTTAAGAGGGTTAGAGGATAAAAACGTATTAGAAGCGTTCTGCAAATAAAATAAGCAAAATAACGACAAATAAAAATTTCTTTGGTCGCTTTTGCTTTATACCCGGGGGTGGGACAAATGCGACCTTTTTTTTGCGCACCTGGACATTTGCGCACCTTTTTTTGCTGGAAAAGGCCTTAGGCAAGGCCGTAGAGCTTCGAAAATATTTCGAAAATTTTTCCATATAAGGGATTCCATTTTTCCATATCGTATGCGTAGATTCCGAATTTCGACAAATCGGACCTCGCTGACACGTCAAATTTGGGCTAAAAGGCAAAAACTGCGGAAAAGCGTTAAGTTGCGTAGTTTTTGCCTTTTAACCCAAATTTGACGTGTCAGGGAGGTCTGATTTGTCGAAATTCGGAATCTACGCATACGATTCCCTAATAGGGAAAAATTTTCGAAATATTTTCGAAGCTCTACGGCCTTTCCTAAGGCCTTTTCCAGCAAAAAAAAGGTGCGCAAAAAAAGGTCGCATTTGTCCCACCCCCATTTCTTTTGTCGCTTTTGCTTTATACCTATTTTATCATTATAAAAGATATTCAGTTATGGGGCTGAATATCTTAAACCCTGATAATCTTTGATAAGAGCATTATAAATTTCTTTTTTTTCATTTTGCATTGCGACTTTTTGTGTTTTCCTGAACTTTTATTGGTTTTCAAACTTTATTCTCAAAAATTATGCACCTTTAGCACATCGGCAAGTACAACTAGCGTTGTTGATGAAAGCGAAAATGGGAATGAAGGCAAAAGTTCACTCAAAATCATTGAAATTGTATTTTATTATGAGAAGTAGTACGAATGAAGATCGTTTTTTTCCAAAAAAGCCAGCTGATTGATATTTATTTTGTTATTTAGCCAGCTGATTTTCTTATATTTAGAATCACTTTGTCCAATCTCGGCCTTTTTTTTCAATTTTCCCTTTTCTTTTGAACATTGACTTAGTTGGACCCAAATTTCCTTTTCCCAGCCTTTTGACCACTTGAAAGAGCCAAAGGAGAAGTTGGCCATGAATTAATTTTCTTCTTACCCTTATTCGTTTTGTTTTTTTTTTGAAATTTGAAACTGCGAAACTTGCGAAATTTCTAGAATCTTATTGTACCCATTTGCATTGGTTCAATTCACCCAACTTTTCTTGGAAGCTTTGTGGCTCTACCATACGTTGTGATCTAGTGGAGGGGGATTAGAGTGTTGAGCTTTTGGGAAAACTTGGAAACCGTAAAATCGTCACCAACTCGGCTCGCCTTGGTGCACTATTATTAGAGAAAAATCGGCTTTCATGTTTGACTGACTTTCATTTGCTTCAAATTTGAGTACTCTTCAGTTATACTTAATTTTAGTTATATCCTGGCAGTGGACTCAGCAGTGGACCTGACCGACTATTGTGCGAAAGAATTGAAGATGAATCACACCACCGCGGACGACTTCAACAACTACTTGAGGAATCTTTGCGTGCAATTGAATTGATTCATCGATTTTTGGTTATTAAATCATCGTGGGTTTATTTTTACGGATGTATAACGAAAAAGAAACGAGAAATCGATCAAATGCACAAAAAAAATTGAGTTTTTTCACTTACAACCTCCTTTTTTTGCAATGTGAATGCATAAATAACAAATAAAATTTTCAATTTCGCGCAAAAATTTTGAAATAACATGTGGACGGGGAAATTGTGTCAAAAAACCCAATAACGAGCCTTTTTTTGATAGGTTTTAATGGAAATCCACTAGAATTGACAAAAAAGAAGCTTTTTTTATTTATTTTTTTGAAAATTTAGCTACTTTATGAGTGCACAAAACTTGCCAAGCAGTTACAAAAGCTATGAGAGAGTGGAAACGATTTTTGGGACGATTCCGAGACGAACGAGGACGGTTAGATGTGAGTTTAAGAAAAGATTTGCGTCTTTTCATTTCTATTATACGTAAAAACCCAAAGCCTTTGATTGCCTTGAGTTAAAAGTTAAAATAAACTCTGCCAATAGATTCTACGACATTGAAAACTCCAGGGCACAGGTTTTTAACAAGCTAGCAAACTAGCAAGCTGGCAAGCTCGCAAACTAGCAAACTAGCAAACTGGTAAACTAGCAAGCTGGCAAGCTCGCAAACTGGTAAACTAGCAAACTAGCAAACTGCTCTGGTATTAAGAAGCTTTTCTTTTAAAATCCGTAAAGAGAAAAATCTACTTTACAATTCTTGTTTTAAACTATTGCATTTCTCTCACTATTACTCGAAATTTTAGTCTCAACTCATGAATATGCAGAGAATTGGGAGAGAAAGGAGAGAATTCCATCGAAAACGATAAACCATCAAATTCCGCGAGTCATTGCTGGTTTGTTTTCAATTTCTACAAAATTTTGATTGAAATTTATTGATCTAATCGTTGTAAAAGGCTAATTTTTCATAGCTAAAGGAAATTTTCGAAAAAAACCAATTGGTTAAGGTAAAGGAAAAAGTTAAGTACTGCATTAGCTAGGTTACCCAATCGACTTCTCCATTTAAACATTTCCCAACTTAACTAACTACAATAGTTTTTTCCCTAGCTAACTTACAATAGTGAACTCCCAGTTTAACCTAGCCATTAAAATTCCCCAATCAATTCCCTTTCATTCCGTAACTTTCGTGATTCTTTATCTATATTCTCATGCTTTCATTCCCCAAGCTAACTCTAAGCACTAGATTTTTCTAATTTAATCCTTTCAGGCTCAAACTAAGAAGGCGATCCTTTGGATTGCCCGATCCTTTGACTCCAGATCACACTCATTCAACCCTTTCCTTTAACTCATATTCCCAATCCCCTTCTCTACGTATTTCCCATCCCTCTTCAATTGTCTTAATCATTTAGATAAGCTAATCATCTTATTTTCCAGAGAAATCAGACAGATCGGTCGTTAATCCAAAAGTATAACAAATCACAAAGTACTGTAGTCACCTAGTCGGCTTTGTGCTGTACAATATTGTACGGCATTGTACATTTTGTACAAGCTAGTACTATGGCAACTATTTTGTAGAACTTCCATTTAGCCTACAGCTAATTTTACAGTATCACTTTTCCAATTTTCTTGCAGAATATCTAACTTACAATGCATTCGGATTTGAATTCCAATCGATTTCGATAGCACATTTCTCTTTTTTCCAGTTCGACCGTGTATGGGCAACAAAACGTCGCGTGGCGCGAAACTCTCCGATCACATCGCTTTCAACACCGATGAGACAAAAAATGGGAACAGGGAAATACCAAATATTGTCATCACAACACCAACACCCATTGATGGTGAGTAAAGTGAGCAGTTAACTTTGAATTGAATCAACTATAGGTGTGTGAAAAAGTAATCCACGTTTTTAACGTTTAAATATAAAAGACCAAGTTTCGTTAAAATAATTTTTATTCAACGAAGTAACACCATCGAAAGAACAACCTTTGCCAACCACAAGAAAGACATCCACGAAAAAATCTTGGTCCGTAGAGGCGAAGAAAAGATCAACCTCGGTTTTGATATCTTCGGAATTGAACCGTTTATTGGCCAAGAAGTTAGACAGAGACAAAAATAAGTAATAATCAGATGGAGAAAGGTCTGGACTATAAGGTGGATGTGGTAAAACCTTCCATCACTCATCCATCCAACACTCTGGATTTTTTGTCGAGTCTGTAAAGAGACATGTGGTCGCGCGTTATCGTTCATGCGGTATCCATTTGTCCAACTTTTTGATAAAATTCATGGCATTCAAGCGTTTCCTTACGGTTGACCCATCCCAATTTAATGTAAGGCCTATTTCTGAAGAGGTTGAACGAGGGTTTTCGAGAAGACAGTCTTATTTGGTCATCAGATAAAAATAAAAAAACGTGGATTACTTTTTCACACACCTAATACTTCATAATATAGATTAAAGAGTAATGTTTGCTGTACAATCATTTTCTCGGCCCTTTTTTTGATCAATAAATCTAAAACTTCTTTATAAAACCTTAGAATATAATGTAATTATGGTATTTCAAATAAAAAAAGCCAAAATTTAAAGCTCAGTGTCACTACGGGGGGCCGAACCCGGATCGTATGGGTTGTACAGGGTGACCAAGAATTCCCGCAACACACAAAAGGCCTGGCTTTTAAACAAATATGCAACCCATCTCGAAAAGTTAACTTAAATATCTTTATTCAACATATAACAATAACAAATTAACAATTAAATTCAAATTTGCCTCTATCGGCATTCAGGCATTCATGCAAACGTTTGGGAAACGCGTTGACTGTGGGAAACGTTTGGGAAACGAGCAAATAGGCATCATCGAGGGTATCCCATGCTTTGATGAGCGCCTTCTTCAAACTTTCGATATTTTTATGTGGCTTTGCAAATGCCCTGGCTTCAGAACACTCCAAACTGAGTAATCCAATGGGTTAAGATCGAGTGAGCTGGGTGGCCACCTCAGAAAACGAGATGAAGTCCGGGAAGGTCTTTGAACAAAACTCTTGCACTTTCTTTGCCTTGTGAGCCGGCACACCGTTGATAAGTCCAAATTCGATTTTTGAAGTGGCGTTGAGCCCCCGGAACAACCTCCTTCTTTAGTAAGTCCAAATAATTGACCGTATTTACTTTCACACCTTGAAGAAAAAAGATCAACGGGGTCTTTCCATTGGCGGTTATCCCGGCAAAAACCATCACCGATGCAGGATTGAGATATGATGACGTTTGGCTGAGATTTTGCCCAAACACGATCATTTTGCTTTTTGAGAATTCCCTCGACGGTAAATATCTTTTCATCGGTGAACAGGATGTTGTGGTGATCGATTCCGTTGAACCGTTGCAAAAGTTGGGCACATCGGTCTTTTCGCTTGCCCTTCTCAGCAGCTGATAGTAATTGAAATTTGTTCTTCTTGTACGGCTTCATTTTTCTTGATTATTGTGTTGACAGAGCTTCTCTTCAGACCCATTTTCTGTGCCATTCCTCGAGCCGATTGGCTAGGCGCAGGCTCAGGGCTCAGTCTTAGACGATCGCGCACTTTCTTGACATTAGCCGGAGTAACCGCTGTTCGTTTTGCACCTCTTCCAGGGCGATCAGAAACTGTGCCCCCATAACGTTGAAAGGTTCGAGAAACGAGGCTACTGGGAACATTCGCTTTGAGATCTCGCTCGCCTGAACAGCCGCCTGAACACGTTGCCGCTTGAGCTCAAGGATCGATTGCCAATGTGGAGACGCTTTCACCATTCCTGAAAACAACCATACTAATGTATTGAAAGTTAGTAATCATACCATAAAATAAGAAAAATCCACAAAAACCATAAAAACAGGTAAACAAAAAGTGAAATGGGGCTCATAACATAATACGACGTTGTTGCGGTGATTCTTGGTCACCAGACAAGGGCACTCCTGGCTTTGTTTCTTGGTCACTAGACCCGATGTTGTTGTTACTTGGTCACCAGACAAGGGCACTCCTGGCTACGCCACGGTGATAACAAAGGCCGGTCAGAAAAATCCGCTGTTAAAGTTTTTCAGCTAAAACTAGGACCGATCTTTAGGTGGCTAGTTTTAAGGTTTAAGGTTTAAGAACTGGTTTTTCTGGCGGTGTCTTATTTCTACCGTGGCGCAGTCAGCAACGCGCTTGTCTACAACCCACACGATTCGGGTTCGATCCCCGTAGTGACACTGAATTTTGGATTTCTTTATTTTTTTAGTTGAAATGCACAACTATACTATATTTTAAGTGTTTAGAGAATCGATCTTTTCTTTCAATTACCCGTCAACCGCCAAACAGTCCAGCTCGGGGATCACCAGTTTTTCAACGAAATTCAAGCAACAATTCGAGTGGTTATCGAAAAGTTCACAAAAATGAGACTCCAATTTTTGGCGGAGGTTTGTTTGTTTGTTTGTTTGTTTGTTTAATTCAATAGCGAGAAAAAAAAGGCTTTAGATTGAGAGTCGATAAGGTATTTTGTTAAGCAATTGAAATGCAACCTTAATCATGAATCGTTATATCGAGAAAATCGTTATAACGAGAGTTGAATGTAATAGAAGAAAGTGTTCTTGAATTTCTTGAATTTCTTGAATTTGTGGATTTGTTTTGAAGTCAAATTCTAGCTCAGAAAACTTTCCTGATAAAGAAATCAAAATCCTAGCTAGTAAGAGTATCGATTGTTTCAGAAATCGTTTCAGGAAGCCCTCCACCCATTCATCCACCACCGCCACCACCTGAAGATCGTCAATTCACCGTGAAACACATTTTAGAAAGGTTTCATTTGTTATTACTGTAAAATTCAAGCTTGAATTAGACAACAATTCCTGAATAATAGCCAATTTTGACTTTTCCTTAATTTGAACAAAGGTTTAACATTGAAATTGAAAGCTGAGATTTCAAGAATTGTTCGAATCCGCCTCTAGAACTAATCCAGTTTATGCAATTTGAACGAATTGAAAACTTTTGGGTTGAATCTGGGATTTCTAGGCTACAAGGTCCAATCCTTGCTCCAAAGGCTGCTCCCCGGAATCTCCCAGTAATCACTCATAAACCGATATTCTACTCGAAAGAAAAGTGGGTAATCTGCTAGTACGATGTTTAGATATTACGAGATTTATTTAGAGTCAACAAATTTGAAGCTTTGAATACGACGGATCGGCGAAAGGATGAGCCTGAACCTATTAAATCTACTCAAAAATCGTCTCGAGACTCGCTTGGATCACTCCGATCTGAATACAGCACTTCTACAAAGGTTGAGGTCTTGGGGATTTTGAAGGGGTTGCTTTAAAGGCCTTGCTTTAAGGGCCATGCTTTAAAGACCATGCTTTAAAGGCCATGCTTTGAAGGCCATGCTTTAAAGGCCTCTCTCTAAAGGCCTCTCTTTAAAGGCCTCTATTTAAAGGCCTTGCTTTAAAGACCTCTCTTTAAAGGCCTCTCTTTAAGGGCCTCTCTTTAAAGGCCTTGCTTTAAAGGCCTTGCTTTAAAGGCCTTGCTTTAAAGGCCTCTTTTTAAAGGCCTCTATTTAAAGGCCTCGCTTTGAAAGCCTATAACTTTGCCTAGAGATAAGATTATAGTTAACTTTTTATATCATTCTTTAGAGGGAACTTCAGGCTTTCAAATGATACCAAATAAAGCTTGATTGGACTAACTAATTCTAAGAAAAGCAAGCAGCAAAATACCAAAGTCGGACCGCGTTATTCTCCCAGTTTGATTTGATTATCATGGATTCGTTTATTTAATCAGAGCTTTTTTTAGATCTTTCATTTTCTAGATGGCAGAAAAAGATCTTCAGCTATAAATTTGTTAAAATAATCCTTTTCAGCACTCTCAAGACAGTTATCCAATCTACAATCCGATCGAAGATCACACATTTTCCAGTGGGAAAACCTTCGCTAAAGGCAGTTATCCAATCGATACGGTAATTTAAAAATTGATTACAATAAATTCTCCATTCAGAATCGAATCAATATCGGTTTTTGCGGGCGGCAAGGAGCTGGTAAATCGACTTTAATCAACGCATTGAGAGGGTTGAAAACGGGAGAAGTGAAGAGTGCTGGGAGATATGTTTGCGATAATATGGAACCGTTTCGGTGAGCAAGAGAGAGCTTTCTGATGATGATGATGATGACGAGAATAATAATAATATTCTGCCTTTTTCTTTTAGTTTCATTGAAGATGAGCTTCAAAATATTGTCCTTTGGGAGATCCCGTATCCCCGATCGTTCACAGCTGTTGTCGATATTTACGACCGGAATTTAGGCTTTGATCGGTTCTATGAGTGAGTTAAAAGCGCTAATCTATCATTCAATTTCTTTAGTTCTCACAAATTAAACGTTTTCAACCATTTATTTGTCTTGATTCCGGATGGATCAATGCACGATGATGACACGGCTTTTGCAAGAGTTGTTCACTCGAGAAGGTACAAAAGATTTTACACTCGTAAACACACAATATCTGGCACACAAGAGTGCGTTCCTAGAGCACTAGAGTAGTTGGAAACGCTGATCCTTTTATGTTGAGGCTAGGAATACAAAAAAATGGTCGCCTTATATAAGAAATGGTCACCTTATAGATGAATTGGCTGCCCTATAGACAATGCGTATATAAGGCGGCCAACTCGTCCATATGGCGTTCACTTCGTATATAAGGCGGTCAATTCGTCTGTAGGGCGACCAATTTGGATAAAAGACGACCAACTCGTCTATATGGCGGCCAATTCGTATATAAGGCGACCAATTTGTATATAAGGCGGTCAATTCATATATAAGACGGCCAATTCGTATATAAGGCGTCCAACTCGTAGATAAGGTGACTAATTCGTATATAAGACGGCCAATTCGTAGATAAGGCGGTCAATTCGTATATAAGACGGCCAATTCGTATATAAGGCGTCCAACTCGTAGATAAGGTGACTAATTCGTATATAAGACGACCAACTCATCTATATGGCGGTCAATTCGTATATAAGGCGACCAATTCGTATATAAGGCGGTCAATTCGTATATAAGGCGTCCAACTCGTATAAGGCGACCAATTCGTACATAAGGTGACTAATTCCTATATAAGACGATCAACTCGTCTTTATGGCGGCCAATTCGTATATAAGGCGACTAATTTGTATATAAGGCGTCAATTCGTATATAAGGCGACCATTAAGGCAAATGTCACTGATTTTCAGAACTCCATTAACGATTTTATCGACAAAAAGCGATGATGACATTGATGCGGAATCAAGGGAAACAAGTCAACCAATTGGTCACACTTTGCTCAAGTTTTACGAGCAAAAAGGTTAGGTTTTAAATAAAAAAAAACATCGAAGAAACGTTTTCTTTTCAGCTCGCCGCGTCTTCGAGCAATCACTCACGAAGAAAGCTCAAATTTTACTTTCAATTAAATTGCTGTTTATTAGTGCACCCGTGGTACGGAATCTTGTTTCAAGTACGATTGGGTGAGTCAGTTTTTTTTGAAGCAATAAGGCGACCCGTTCGTAGATAAGGCGTTCAACGTCGTATATAAGACGACCAATTCGTATATAAGACGACCAATTTGTATATAAGGCGGCCATTAAGGCAAATTTCACTGATTTTCAGAATCATATCAATTTAAAACTTTCAGTTATCTTCATTACGAGATGAATGAAGGAGAATTGTTGGAGTTGATCGGTTTAGAGAATGGTTGTCATTTTGAGATGGAGAAAAAGTTGAGAGGCGAAAGGAGTGAGGTGAGTTTTTTTGCTTAAAATCAAGATGTAAAAGTTTCATCAAAAGTTGAAAGCTGAGATTTAAAGTTGTGTTGCGTTGCGTCACGCCAGACGTCACGACATTGGTTTACATAAGCACAAAGAACATGTCAAACTTTATGTCAAACATTTCAGCGTGCAACTCCGATTTTTCAAGCTAGGCCTGGCCGTCTGAATCTAGAAAACGGAACGGTTGGTTTTTCAAGTTCTAGAAACAATTTTGATAATGTATTCAGCCATCAATCACTTCTCAAAGTCATCCAATTGTTCAAAAGTCAACTGTACTCGCCGATGCTGGTTTTGAGATTCTTTTTGGTACTGATGATCGAGTTTTTGGTGGACTTGAGCCAAAAACGACCGTTGTTCGAGCGGGAAAGGTTTGTTTCTCAGTCGCAACGCATCTTTACACGTTCTAGATCTATTCTAGAACTGTTCTAGATCTGTTCTAGATCTCTTTTACATCTATAGCTATGAAACTTGATGCTATTAAGTTTAGACAAGTTTCAACTACGGTTTCATCGGTGGATCGAGGGTCGGCAAATCGACGATGATCAACGCGATGAGAGGGATGAGTGCAAAGAATCCGTTTGCTGCTGGAAAGGTAGAGAAGACGGAGGCTAAGACATGGCATAGTCATCTTTGTCTGATCACTGAATTATTTAATATTTAATTAATCCCTTTGGATAGTCTAAACTTTAAAGCTGAAATAATCCCAATAGATAGGTGTTCCTTTTCTCGAAAAAGGAAGCAACTCCAAGCGGCTAATTAAATTCAAAAGCAATTGATGAACCCAATGAATAGCGCCAATTGATTCTTCGACCCTGAAAACCCTAGGTACAAATTTACAGCTGAATATCCATCTACACGCAAAAATTCCTGTAAATGACTGGCAGGTGTTCTTTTTCGCACAATCGCTCGCCGTCTGGCAAACCATCCCAATAGATAGGTGTTCCTTTTTTCTCTCTGAAAGCTATAGGTTGGAAAGTTGGCCCGCAGTGATTTTCATCTTTTCAAGTCTTTTCAAAAAGCTTTTGATTTGGTCGACAAGCACTTTGGAGAGGCGGAGAAAGTCGAAAAATGGATCAACATCAAGCAGGAGATCATCGAAAAAGGAAACAACTCCAAGCGACAGATCATCGAGAAGCAACTCCAAGCAGGAGATCATCGAGAAAGGAAACAACTCCAAGCGACAGATCATCAAAAAATGAATCAAGGAATCAACTCCAAGCGACAGATCATCGAAAAATCAATTCCTAACTTTTCGGAGAAGGGGAATCAACGCTTTGCCCAATAAATGACAAGTTATACTATAGTTATACAAGGGAAAGTGAGCCAGCTTCGTTTTGCGTCATTATGCCAAATCTTTGAGATCAATTTTAGTCTTGACTTTGCCGTATTTTTGTTAGAAATTCCCGTGTCACTAGGAGAAGAATGAAAGATTCTAGGCAACCAGCTCATGAAAGATTCTAGGCAGCCAGCTACTGAAAGATTCTAGGCAGCCAGCTACTGAAAGATTCTAGGCAGCTCCGAAACCAGATCTAGCTCGTCCAATACCCTATGAGATATCGTAAATACTTTCGTAATTGATAATTGAACCCATTGAATCCTATCCAAATACAATATTTACGTGTTTCTATTGCAGGATCGAGCCAAGCCAGCTACTTGCGAGCGTTTCGAGTTCGACGACGAGTTGTTGAAGTACAGTGTCACTTTGTGGGAGCTGCATTACCCGAAAAAAGTCAATGCTTTTTTCGAATTCATCGAGTAAATGATTTTTTAGATTATTTAGCATAAAAAAAGCACAAATTTAGCCGTCATAATTTTGCGAATTTCACAGCTCTTTTCATCATCATTGACACGACACCAAATGATGCTGATCTCACGTTTGCTAAGGTTTAAAAGCTAGAAGAAAGCTAGAGAACTTCTAAAACACTTCTAAGAATCAATCTCATACATTTTTTTCTTTAGATTGCCCATCGCCGGAATGCGACTGTTGTCTTTTTATCGTCGAAAACTGACAAAAAATTGTCGACAAAATCGCGCGCTGATGAAATCCCTGTTTGTGACATTTTAAAGCAACGATATGTGGATAAAGGTGAGTTGATTTGATCAAATTTGACTAGAGAAAAGTGTTTTGTACATTCCTTCGTAAGAATATAGAGAACAAACGGCATCAAAGTTGACCTACTTACCTGCCCTGACCTACAAAGTTGACCTAGAAGTCGATCAACTTTGATGGTTTATAACACTGGGTACAGACTTCGGATCGACTTGTGATTGGTCTTAAAAGAATCCTCATCAAATTTGACTATAGAAAAGTGCTATTTGTTTTGTACATTCCTTTGTAAGAATATAGGAAAAAACGGTGTCGAAGTTGACCTACTTACTTGTTAAAGTTGATCAACTTTGATCGTTTATAACTCTAGATACAGACTTTGGATCGACTTGTGATTGGTCTTAAAAGAATCCTCATCAAATTTGACTATAGAAAAGTGCTATTTGTTTTGTACATTCCTTTGTAAGAATATAGGAAAAAACGGTGTCGAAGTTGACCTACTTACTTGTTAAAGTTGATCAACTTTGATCGTTTATAACTCTAGATACAGACTTTGGATCGACTTGTGATTGGTCTTAAAAGAATCCTCATCAAATTTGACTATAGAAAAGTGCTATTTGTTTTGTACATTCCTTTGTAAGAATATAGGAAAAAACGGCGTTAAAGTTGACCTACTTACCTGTCAAAGTTGACCTACTTTTAAGTCGATCAACTTTGGCAGTTTATAACTCTAGATACAGACTTCGGATCGACTTGTGGTTGATCTTAAAAGAATCCTCATCAAATTTGACTATAGAAAAGTCCTATTTGTTTTGTAGACTCACCTGTAAGAACATAGGAAAAAACGATGTCAAAGTTGACCTACTTGCCTGCAGTCTCTGGGAGCAGAGGCTTGCTAGTTAGGATTCAGAGTAATTCACAGTAATCATTGTGAATTCCCAAGCGGTTGATCGAAACGGATCGATTTACAGTTTTGATTTTAAAAGAATCCTCATCGATATTTGTTAAAAGGTGAGTTTTGGAATGCATGAAAACTCAAACGAAAAGCAAATTCGCTACAGAATTCAAACAGAGATTTTTGCTTTTCAGGAATGGAACGTTTCGAGACAGCACTCACCTCATCGGCTCCAGAATTATGCGGAAGGTGAACACCAAATTCACTACAACTCAATCAAAGCTCATTTTTTGAATCAATTACTATTTCTATTTCTAGAGTTCAATGCTTTTTTGTCTCTTCTCCAGTGTTTCGTTCATTGCGCAATGCGGATCGAAAATACCTCCATTTTCTCGTTCATGAAAGAGCTGTATTTGATTTTTTAAAGCAGGTAAAGGCTTGTACAGTTAAGTACAAAGCTGTACAGGCTTGTACAGTACTTTGTACTTAGAAAAGATGTCAACAAACCCCCTTGGTGCACTTAATTGATTGCACAACGATTAAAAACAATTGCTCGAAAATTGTTGAACTACACTATTGAATCTTGCTATATTCCTAAAGGAAAGTTTCATTCTGGAACGCACACCAGCTAATGAATACGTTTTTGGGGTACTTTTCCTCATTTTCTTTTGGTTTTGTTAGACAATTTCGAGAAGATCCAAGAAAATCGTGTACAATGTTAAATCTAGCACGCACAATATAGTGAAAGTTCCATTCTGGAACGCACACCAGCTAATGAATACGTTTTTGGGGTACTTTTCCTCATTTTCTTTTGGTTCAGTTACCCAATTTCGAGAAGACCCAAGAAAATCGTAGACAATGTTGAATCTTGCCATTTCCCTTCAGTAAAGTTTCATTCTGGAACGCACACTATCTAGTGAATACATTTTTAGGTGTATTGTGCTCTCATGTAAAAAAAACCCCTTCTGGCTTACTGAGTTCTTCATTTTCTCACAGCAACGCTTTGGCGAATTGACGAAAATTGACGAATTTGCATTTATTGAGTCGATTTTGCTTTCCCTGATCGCTAAGAACTTGTTCATTGAGAAAATTGACGAAGAAAATGGACGAATTCAGTGCCGGGTCGAGCAAAGTATTGGGTTGGTGGAAAAGTCCTTTCGGATTTGTTTGGGAGAGTACCTTAAATTGCTATTCAAGCTAATCAAGCTAATCAAGCTATTCAAGCTATTCAAGCTAATCAAATATCATCACCTACAAAGATTTGTACTTTAACGTGCTCATACATTAACTCCTTTGAAACTTGACTAACTCCTTGACTCCTTGAAAGGCTTGGCCTTGATTTTTCAAGGCTATGAATGCTTGATTTGAGCTTTGAATGCTTGGCTTGAAGAGAAAAGTCATTGAAGTCGCTTAAGTGATTTGCGAAAGGAGTTTTCCATCAACAAAATCCATCCCGGAACATTTATCCAACTTTTGTCAATATCTTTTATCAAGTTAACACCGAAATCTTCTTTAGAAACGAATCATTGCCGAAATGCTCGATTCACCGAATGAAATGAAAGAAGGGCTTCAAATAGCGAATGGGAATGATACAGCTGGGATGATTGAAGTGGTCAATGAGGGAAATGATTTGTATGAAGATGCAAGAAATTAAAAGAATGCTAAGGATTTCGTAGATTTAAATAAATTCAAAAAATCAATAAATCAAAGCCTTTATTATCAAACTACTCAAGCTTTCCCAACAATTTTCCTTTCAACACTTTTCCCAGCGACTCGTTTCGCTGGATTGTGAGCGGTGCAGCTTCGTTGATGAACTTCGAGTCGATCATCCTGGAAAGAGAGCAAGAAATGATCTATTCTAAAAGAAACTGCAGATGGGTATCAGCTCTCATTTATCAGAAACGAGCGATGCTAACGGCATTATTTTTTAAATGTTTTGTTCGGATATTTGGTTGCTCTGCTGTCTGCTGCCATCGTTCACTCTGTGCTGCTTTCGGAGATGGCTACGGAGATGGCAGTTTGTCTCTCAGACAGTGTCAGACTTGGTTTCAACGATTCCGAGAGGGAGACGGGAGAGAGAGACGAGACTTTGGAAGATTACGAGTACGGTTCGAGGCCAGAAGTCGGGCCTCGAACCGTGCCAATCTGCTTGAGTTGTGAACAAAGCCAAGCTGAGGGACGTTATTCAGGCCGATCGATGCCAATCTGCTCGAGATCTTGCGAAAATATTCCATTGTGATCATGTCACCATCGAACCCCATCTTCACGCTATTGGAAAGAAAAGTCGTTGTGGAAGATGGGTCCCTGATCAACTCAGTGATGCTAAGCATTTCCATCGCTGGCATTCTCCTGAATCGTGCAAAGAATAGCGGATCTCTTGATTCTGTCGTGACATCGGATGAGAAATGGATTGCATACGACAACTTGTGGCTGAGCGATAGCGATGAAGAACGACAGTGGCTGAGCTCCGGCGATGAAGAACGACAGTGGCTTAGCGCCGGCGATGAAGAACGACAGTGGCTGAGCGCCGGCGACGAAGAACGACAGTGGCTGAGCGCCGGCGAACGTGCTGTTCCAACCCGAAATCCACAGGAAGAAGATCTTATCTTTGATGCTATGTTTTTTTGAATTTACCATCAAATCGGCAGTTTCTTTTGCAATATGATACGAGATTTGGCTGATTGGATAAAAACGGAAAACTGAATCCAGCAGTTTTCTTATTCTAGACTTGTACAAACCCTGAATTTTCTTCCACAATGCTCACATTCAACCATCGCTCCTTGAGACGCTTTCCAATTAGCTTCATTCGTCGCCGCATAATCGACAGATCCGCCTGAGAGTTGGTTTTATATTTTTTGAAAATTTGGAACAAGAATTAGCAACAAGAGGAGTCGAACCGAGGACAGGAGTCGAACTCTATATTCCATTCGTTTGCCAGGCGACGAGACCATGCTCTAGCGCAGTGCGAGTTAGTTTGTCTCTAGCCCACACGACGGGGGTTCGACTCCTGTCCATGTCAATAATTTTGCTCTTTTCAAAATTTAAAAAAGATATCAAAACTAGATGAAATTCTAAGTGAAACTAGCTATAAATTATTTGAAACAGTCAACTGGAGGACGTCCATCGGACTACAAACAACGGGCACAGATAAACGATCAACGGGCAATTTATAGTTCCCTGAATTCTGAATTCCTTTTTTTTCAACTCACCAACAATGACAGCTTCCGGTTTGACTGGTGCTGGTCTCCTTTTACTTTTTGGCAATTTCTCGTTCTCCATTTGCCATTTTTGAAGGCATTGAGGCTGAAATTGATCGTAAAATGTTGAAAAGAAAAAGAAATTTCAAAGTTTTCTCTGGAAAAGTTTTATTTTATAGTTTTTTTAGTGGAATTTGTTTATTTTATAATTTAATTTATAGTTTCTAGTGGAATCCTTTTACTTTACAGTTTCCTTTATAGTTTAATTTATAGTTTAATTTATCGCTTCTAGTGGAATTTGTCTATTTTATAGTTTCCTTTATAGTTTGTAGTGGAATCCTTTTACTTTATAGTTTACTTTACAGTTTACCTTACAGTTAACTTTATAGTTTTTAATGGAATTCGTTTACCTTATAGTTCAATTTCTAGTTTGCTTTACAGTTTAATTTACAGTTTAATTTACAGTTTACTTTATAGTTTACTTTATAGTTTATTTTATAGTTTACTTTATAGTTTCTAGTGAAATTCTTTTACTTTACAGTTTACTTTATAGTTTACTTTACAGTTTCTAGTGGAATTCTTTTACTTTATAGTTCAAAACAGCGCCGCCTAAACAGCGCCGTACCCAAAACAGCGCCGTAGCCAAAACAGCGCCGCCTAAACAGCGCCGTGCCCAAAACAGCGCCGTCTAAACAGCGCCGTACCCAAAACAGCGCCGTACCCAAAACAGCGCCGTACCCAAAACAGCGCCGTACCCAAAACAGCGCCGTACCCAAAACAGCGCCGTACCCAAAACAGCGCCGTACCCAAAACAGCGCCGTACCCAAAACAGCGCCGTACCCAAAACAGCGCCGTACCCAAAACAGCGCCGTACCCAAAACAGCGCCGTACCCAAAACAGCGCCGTACCCAAAACAGCGCCGTACCCAAAACAGCGCCGTACCCAAAACAGCGCCGTAAATTTCATTCATAATCGGTTACGACATATAAATTTTCTTTTCACCTCATGAATGGCGATACTTTTCGATCCAAATTGTCGTCCACAAATGTAGCAAAAAACGGTTGGCGCTGGCCCGCGTGCTCGTGGTGGACCTGGGTTAAGATGACTCTGAAAAAGGCAAAAATACAAACTAGATTTGACGAAAACAAGTCACAAATAGACATGAACACTACAAAAAAAACGATTGTCACATTATAAACGCTTCTAATTTTCTTTAAATCTATTGGATTGAGACGAGCTAGAGCTCAAAAAATCAAGTATTTCAAGAGCTTTTAAATGAAGCAAAGTAGACAGAAAAAGGTTATTTCTAAAGAAATTTATAGTTGTTTGTAATCCGATTGACGATAAAACACTATAACTTTCTTTAGAATTAATATTTTTCTGTCTGCTTTGCTTTATTTAAAAGCTCTTGAAATTCTCTATTTTTTGATCTATCGCTCATCTCAATCCGATAGATTTAAAGAAAGCTAAAAGCGTTTATAGTTTACATTTGTAGTTTGTAGTGTCCATATCTATGTTTTAGACTTTTCCTGAATGATAAAAGGCTAGAATTTGTCACCTAATCAGTCTAAAAAGGCCTAAATTCTCATAGAATTCACAGAGTCATTCATTCAGTTGTTTATTAAAATTAGCCATACAGTACTGGACAATGAAAAATGATATTTGAAAAAACGATCGTCACTTTCGCGCGTCTGTAACGAAAGCATAAAGATTGGATGACTTAGAAGAAAGTTACGCCGAGCCAAACGACCTAGTCGTTTGTCAACTGGGTCATTTGCGCAACTCACTATAACTTTTTTCTAAATCATCCAATCTTTCTGCTTTTGGTTTTATTTTGTTGCCCTTATTAAGATCTACAAAATGACACCAATATTATAAAGATTGGTTCACTTAGAAGAAAGTTACCGCGTCCTTTGCTGGGTCACATGACCCGGGTTCGACTCCCACGCAACTCGCTATAACTTTCTTCTAAATCATCCAATCTTTCTGCTTTTGGTTTTATTTTGTTGCCCTTATTAAGATCTACAAAATGACACCAATATCATAAATATTGGATGACTTAGAAGAAAGTTATAGCGAGTTACGGAAAAGACCTAGTTGCGCAAATGATCCAGTTTCGCAAAGTTTCGCAAATTTCGCGCAAAGTAGTTAGCCCCTTTTTCTTTGTATAAAATATTGTAAAAGCCTAATTATTACAAATTCTAGCTATTTTCAAACAATCTTCAATACATTTTTTCAATAGAACAAAAAAATCACCTTGGAAACCATTCTTTCCACTTTTTTTTTGACTAAAAACCCGTAGAACATGTGTTATTTCAAAAAATAAAATAAAACGAAAGGAAAAAAGCAGAAATTTTATAAAATCATTTAGATTTTTTAAAGGTTAAAGGTAAAAGGTTAAAGATTTTTGCAAAGTCAAAGTAGGTGGACTGGCGGGAGTCGAACCCGGGTCATGTGACCCAGTAAAGGACGCGATAACTTTCTTCCAAGTCATCCAATCTTTATGCATTTGGTTTCATTTTGTTGCCCTTATTAAGATCTACAAAATGACACCAATATCATAAATATTGGATGATTTAAAAGAAAGTTATGGCGTCCTTTGCTGGGTCTCAAGTCTTATTTCACCAGAAACTTTTCTTTAACAAACCAGAAACATCTTTCTTTTCTTTTTTTTTGGGGGGGCTTCAGGCCTGTAACTTTTATGGATCAAAAGATTTTCAAGAGCCCTGTACTATGCCCTGTACTATGCCCTGTACTATGCCCTGTACTGTGCCCTGTACTGTGCCCTGTACTGTGCCCTGTACTGTGCCCTGTACTGTGCCCTGTACTGTGCCCTGTACTATGCCCTGTAACTGTGCGACCAAAGCGCCCCGGAGCGGACCCTCTTCTCAATCACTTGTCTTAAATACTATTGCACTTATAAATTAACCAGAAACGTTCTCTAAATCAGTTTTTCGCGAGGAATTCGAATTTCTTACTTTTAAAATCGTATCTTTTATCTAAAATTACCAAAAATGCAGAAAATACAAGTACGGGAACTTTTGGCGCACCCTGTATCGATTCAACTCTATAGGGAAACATTAAAATTAAGCATTTGCTTTAAAAAAGAATGTAACAAGCAAAACTATAAGTAGAAATTGAGTAAGAAAAGAAGTTCGTTAAAGTTTTTAAAAAAGACAGATTACGGTATTTAGTGGATAGTGCGCGATTTTCAAATATTTTCTCGGGAAATTTTTTCCAATAGGAAAAGAAGTGAAGAGATGCATGCATTTTCGAGTAATCTCAAGTCTTATTTCACCAGAAACTTTTCTTTAACCAGAAAAAAACATTCTCTCTATATAAAAATAAAAGAAAATTATTGAAATTAGTATTTCTTTTTGGGTAAATGAGAACAAATGAATCGATTTAATCGATTTAATCGATTTTTTCCCCGTTAAAGCCTCATTTTTAGCTTTTTCTTTTAATAAATAAGCTTGAATCAATCAATAGATCAATCAAATAAACTTTTAAAATAATATAGAATCTTTTTAAGGATTATTAAAGTCTATTAAAGCCTATTAAAGTCTATTAAAGCCTTCTAAAGCCTTTAAAAGCCTATTAAAGTCTATTAAAGCCTTCTAAAGCCTTTAAAAGCCTATTAAAGTCTATTAAAGCCTTTAAAAGCCTATTAAAGCCTTTTAAAGCCTATTAAAGTCTATTAAAGCCTATTAAAGTCTATTAAAGGCTATTAAACCCTTTTAAACCCTTTCAAACCCTTTTAATTGCCCTTTTAAACCCTTTTAAAGCCTATTAAAGCCTTTTAATTGGCCTTTTAAACCCTTTTAAAGCCTTTTAAACCCTTTTAAACCCTTTTACGTCCCTTTATCAATCAATTTTCAATAATTTATTTAACAAAAAACCAACCATCACTTAAATCCAAGCAAAAAACCATGAAACAATAAATCTTCTTTTTATAAAGATCTTTAAAGATCTTCAGAGCCTTTAAAGAAAAGTGAAAGCAATTTAGAATTTGAGGAATAGGACGAAGAAGAAAGAAGAAAGTGGTGAAAAGGAAAATGAAGTGAGTGAGAGAATGGAAATCTTTTGGAGAGAGGCAAAGAATAAGCCCCACCCCCCAGACAATTCCCCTCCTCTCAATTGCCCCAAAAAGGCCTCCTGTTTTCTGTTTATTTCAATCGTTGGTAAAAAGAAGAAATTTTAACGCAAGAATACATGAAATTCGCTTTTTCCAATTCCTATTTCCAATCTTCGCTTATCCCATTCGCGCTGAAACACATTTTCGTCACCGCTTAACTGAAAAAGAACAATAGAAATTCTATTCTCGACTGTGACCTCCAGGATTGTTCATGCAAAAGTTCTACAAAATAACAAAACAAAAGTTAACAAACTTAAGCAGACTAAAGTTTAAAGGAAACTCATTCAAGTTTAAAATTTAAAGTTTAAAGAAAACTCATTCAAAATCCCTCAAACACTTGTGCTTAAAAAGGCTTTTGAATGGATGAACGAAACTCTTTGGGACACTCGATTTGACATGGATCTATTCCAGTCAAAGACTCAGACTCTTTGACTGGAATGGATCCATGTCAAAAGGTCTGAGTCTGAGCCTAAGCCTAAGGTCGAAATGACTGTATCTGAGAGTTACAAACCAGACAACGTCTCGCATGAAGAAGCCCCATCCGTGGAACGGAATTTCACCCAATTGGTATCACCTGTGAATAACCAACAGCCAGCATTGACTAAAACTATGACTAAAATATGTCGAGATACTTGGCATTGTTTTGAGAATGTTTTGAGGATGTTTTTTCGTTTTCTATTCTTTTCTAACAACAAACCGATTAGCCAAGCATTTCAACTGTTTTTCCTCTAAATAGTTTCAATTGAATTCCCAATTCTCTTCAAGAATTCTTCAAACAAATCACTTTCAAAATCTAAAAATAACACTTACTTTATTCTGCTTCTAATATAGAGAATTTTAGCTATTATCTTATTATAAAACAATCTATTTACATTTAAAAAAACTCTGATTCTGAGAGACAAGTTGTTAATTTTAAAAGACTTTAAAATTAACAAATAAAAGTATTGGAGTTAGTGCACTGAAAACTGTGAGATTTTAAACTATTTATTCCATATATCAATAAAACGAGAAAGTTTAAAATGGAAAATTTCAATTAAATTTCTTTATCAAAGCACAAATATATACAAATAAAGAAAGAATTTTTTGAGCCAAAAATGACAAAAAAGGAAGAAAAAATGAAAAAAATAACGAAAATTACTGAAATTGCACTTAAAGCTTCGAAAAAATGGAAAATGGATTCAGATTACGGTCAACAAAAGGAACAGCTCTAAAATGGACAGCCTTGGTTGGGGAACTTTTCGCGCATTCTCGATACAGTATCTTCTGATTTATTCGGATCATGATAAAGATAAAGACTAAAGATGCTATAAAGATGCGATAAAAATGATTCGTGGTCGATTGCGCAAAAAAAGGGCATAAAGTCGTGTTCTCTCAGGTTCTTCTCAGGTTTGTGCCTTAAGCCCTCAGATTACTCTTCACCGGGCCGCCCCCCTGCCGAGTCAGCTATCCGGGTCCCTCGCCTCTCAAGGTTTTCGCTCATTCCAGCCATTGACCTCATCGACACTCTACGCATCTCGCACTTCACCCGGGAGCTTCATCCACCGACAGGGGGGGCTAGGCAAACACCAGCCCCCAGAACATGACAGTCCTATGGTGAAACTCCCCGGTTCTCCTATTTACGAACATTCGCTAATCTCCGTCGACATCTTAAAACCTCTTTGACTTGGATTGTCTCGAAGATCTCGACCATCGTTACTTCCGCCGGCCCGAGGCAATGGGACTCGTGCCGGAGGGTGGTGGGCGGTTTCCCCATACGAGTACCTCCTTGGCCAACCCCGTTGACAGGTCACTTAAGGAAAGGGGTTTTTCGGGCACTTAACCTATTCACGGTCGCCAGAACCGGCGCGTTTCCCGGTTCCCGAATGGTTCGCCTGTTCTGGGCACGTTCTTGGCGCAGGGGTGGCGGGTCTGGAAAGTCTGGAAGTCACATCAGACAAATAGATGGATTTTAACGACAAAAAGGCAATTTATCGATCTTAGATTCTAATCTGGATGTCACATGAGATAAATATGCAAATTTTCCTCATCTTCCAGGCTTTCATTACCACCTTTGAATCGCCGGAACCAAAACCTAGCGGTATCATCAATAGCGGCGTCTTCGCCAAACGCATTCCGAATTCGACGTGCAGCCTCCGCAGCTTTCAACCCATTTTTGAACTCATAAAGCAAATTTGACCGAATAGTGACACTTGTGCATACCATTTTAATGTGTATACCTCTTTAAAAACACTTTTATTAACCATTAAACTTTGGACGAAATAAAAAATAACAAAAAGAAAACGAAAAAAAGACAAAAAGAAAACAAAAAAAGACAAAAAGGTTAGAAATAAACAAAAAAGATTTGGGAATCATATCGGCTCGAAGGATATCACAAAGTTTGGCTCGAAAACACTCAAAAAAACGATTAAAAAGACTTTAAAAATGAAAAAAGACTGAATAATCGATAAAATCTAGATAAAAAAGGCAAAAAAGATGAAGAAAACTCAGGAATTTCTCATTTTTTTCAAGAATTTTAAAGAAATTTCAAAAAATTTAAAGAAATTAACGAAAATCTGATGTTTTTTTAAGGGAAAAACCCGTTTGACGGTCGAAAAAATCGAAAAAATCGCAAAAATTTGGGGAAAATCGCTGAATTTTAAGTTTATTTAAGTTTTTGCAGGGGAAAATTGTGGAATTTGGATGAAATTTGAATAAAAAAGCGAAATCCAGGAGAAAATTTGACGAAATTTGAGTATGGATTTGAGCTAGGGGGGAGGTTATAAGCCATTTTTCTTCCCCGCTCTAGGCGCTCCGTGGTCGAGTGGTTAGCTGGCTTAGTTGGGAAACCACGCCCCCCTCCCGTGGGTCGAGTTCGATCCCGCTGTCGGTAATTTTTCTGGCTTTTTTGTTTTTCTGTTTTTAGTAAATCTCAAATTTTCTTATAGACACTTTTTCTTCCGGTTCATAGGCCTCCATAGCCGAGTGTTTAGCTGGCTTGGCTTCAGAACATCGTCCCTCCTCCGACTCGGGTTCGATCCCTGTCACGGTAATTTTTCTTTTTTATTCAATTTCAGTACATTCTTTTCTTTGTACACCTTAAATTTCCGTATATTCCCTATGTACACATCGAAAGATAAGTTCTAAATTTCTTTGAAAACACACCCAAATCTCGTTTCAAAGCTTGGAAAAGAGAAAAATTAGTCAAAATTTCGAAAAACCTTCGATTTTTGCATTAAAAATGTTTGAAAAATCTGGAAATTGATGGAAAAAGAAAAGAAAAGAAAAGAAAGGAAAAATTGCGCCAGATGGGAGCCAGATGCGCCAAGTTTCCATCAAATCTGGGGTGAATGAGCAAAGGAAATGCTGAATCTTGTGTGCGGGGGAAAAGTGAGGAAAAGTCAATAGAATTCGTTCGATTTTTTTGGGGAAAATTGTACACAGACATCGGGAAAATCGGGAAAATCGGGAAAATCGAGAAAATATCGTTTTTACTCCTCTTCTGTTGCGATTCGAAGGCGCTTCTCGGGCGGGCTCGAATCACACGAATCGATCTCGTCTTTCGCGTCGATTCGATCTGAAATTGAGAAAACATTTACGAAACTAGACGATTTCGAGAGAATTTCTGCAATTTCAAGTTAATTTTAGAGCATAGATTTCCTTGTTTTTTCTTTATTTTCCAGATTTACTTTGTACTGCCATGTAAACGCACGCTTTCTCGTGCATCGAAGTCATTTCCCCATCGAAAATGAGAGATTCTGTGCACCAGATAGGCTGTGTTTATCGTAGAGCACAAAGTACAAGGTATTTCCAAATTTTCAGTCCACCCCCCTGAAACGCACCCCATCTGGCGCACAAGTGTACCCTGAAGAGCCCAAGTACGTTCAAAACTTATCCACTAGCTAGTGTGCGTTCCAGAATGCAACTTTGATCAGATGAATATGGCAAAATTCTGCAGTATGCATAAAATTCTCGGGTGATCTCAAAATTGGGGGAACTGAAGCAAAGAAAATGAGAAAAAGTACCCCAAAGGCGTATCCATTAGCTAGTGTGCGTTCCAGAATGCAACTTTGCTTAAGGGGGAGATGGCAAGATTTAACATTGTACACGATTTTCTTGGGTCGTCTCGAAATTGTGTAAGTGAACCAAAGAAAAATGAGGAAAAGTACATCCAAAAACTTATTCATTAGCTAGTGTGCGTTCCAGAATGAAACTTTGCTTAGGGGAGATGGCAAGATTCGACGAGTATATACGAGTTTCTTCGATGGTCTCAAAATTGGGGAACTGAAGCAAAGAAAATGAGGAAAAGCACCCCAAAAACGTATTCATTAGCTAGTGTGCGTTCCAGAATGTAACTTTACTTACGAGATATAGCAAGATTCAACAATTTACAGTAGATTATCGAATCATTTTCACCCACCATCAATTGGTATCTCGCCCGGGCTGCTTCGGTTCTCGATTTTCAGCTTTGGATCAAAAGTGGCATCGACTGGAGCACGACTGGAAAGGAGTAATGAAATGGAGTAATAGTTAGCCCAGATAATAGACAAGAGAAAAAAAAGTACGGTAAGTATAAGTTTCTAAATTCACCTGATTCCCAGTGGTGCTGCAGTGACGGCAGCGATCGCTGAAGCGATATTATTCGCTTGTGATGGAGAGTGAGAGTTGAGGGATGAGCCGGCAATTGAAAGGCCTAGATTAGAGGCCATTGATGGATTGAGAGAATCTAGAGAAAGAGGAAATATTTGCCATTGGCAACCTAACTTTGAACTCAAATTCCTCGGTGTTGGTTTGTCCAATTTTCATAGTTTTACTACTAATCGATAGAGGAAGACTTGGTGAATCCAATGATGCCAAGAACATTTAAATCGACCACCCCAACACCGAGATATTTAAGCTTAAAGTTAGATTACTCGAAAATTCAGATTTAAGTAATCCATAGTAGATTAAAGCTTGAATAGACTACCGTAATCCTTTTCTACTTTCCCTGTGACATCCAAAACGATTAAATCAATCCTTACTTTAATCTATCGTTACCCAAAAAAGCCCAGTTATAGCCCAGATCTATTGTTTACTTGAATTCTCGGGTGATTGTCGAACATCTTTGTACTCCATTTGATTCTCGAGCTGTTTCCGAGCATTTTGAAAGATCGGATCGATCGGTCGAGAGGCGAAATCGATCTAGAAATTGATCTCGATCTTTTTTTTAGATAACTAGAGAAAGAAAAAGGTTAAAGGTGAGCTTTTCTCTGGATATTTACTGTAGTTTATAGAGTTTGGTATGAGGAATTCAAATTGCAAATGAAAATCAGTCAAATGACGTTCAAGATGTGTAAAAGTTCAATTGAAAATTCAATCGAATCCAATTTAGAAGTAAAACAGAAGAAAAACAAAAGAAAAAGGCTGAATTAGGGATCGAACCATGGCCCTGTGAGCTGGAGTCCTATGTGTTATCCACTAGACCACAGAGGCTAAAAAACGCAGATGAAAATCTCCCAATTGACTTTCCAGGAGTGTAAAACTTCAAATGAAAAACTAGCATTAAAAGGCTTTAAATGCTTCGGATGTTTTAAAAGGCTTTTTTCCTCAGCCTGCTAGGGGGTGTTCGTAGCCTAGTGGATAGCGCACAGGACTGCAGCTCACGAGGTCATGGTTCGGTCCCTCATTCGGCTTTTTTTAGTTTTTTTTGATTGCTTTTTAGAGTTTTTAACTAAAAGTACGAGTTTCAGAGAAAAATCCAAAGAAAAATTGATTTAAAATGATGTAAGCGGAGAAAAATGTGATCGAATGGCTTATTGGAGTCTTATTTTAAACTAACCGGTCTTCCACTTGGATCAATCGACAATCCGACTCCATTCGAATGCAACTGATTCTTTACTTTTCCAATACAAGTATTCAAATAGGACATCATCAAGATTGGAGCTAACTAGAATAAAGAAGAGATTATTTTTAATGATATTCAGTTCTGATTTTATGTAATTTATTGATTTTCTAGGTAATCGACTATTAAAGAAGTTTGAATTAGAAAAAAAGAGAAAAGATCTTTCTTTCTTTCTTGCTTCCTTGCTTCCTTGCTTCCTTGCTTCCTTGCTTCCTTGCTTTCTTTCTAGCTTTCTTTCTTTCTTCTTGGCTTCCTTGCCTCCTTGCTTCCTTGCTTTCTTTCTTGCTTTCTTTCTTTCTTTCTTGCTTCCTTGCTTCCTTGCTTCCTTGCTTTCTTCTTTCTTTCTTATCTTATAAGATCTTTCATCTTACTATTCAAATATTCTTTTTAAAGTTTAGATAAAAAAAACAAACAGCTGGCGCTTCTTCATCAATCGCTTTTTGCCTTTCTTCACCACCATTTGTCGGTGAACCGTTTGAATTTGAAGCAGATGAGACGCTTGCTGAAAAATTTGAAAAATTTAACCTCTAATCTCTTGGCTTTAAGCAATTCAATCTAAATATTTTTATTAAGAATCGATAGAGAAAAACTTTGCGCAACGAATGAGAAACAAAAACATAGAAATTGAACATCCCAACGTCAAGAAATTTGAGCTTAAGGCTAGATTGCCAATGGCAAAAAAGGCGGAGTCATTGTGGAAGCTTTTATACGCGCCTCCTTTTTGCCATTGGCAATCCGACTTTGAGCTTAAATATCTTGGTGTTGAGCTGTTCAATTTCAGACTAAGCCCCGGCCATTTGCCATCGACAATCTAACTTTAAGCTCAAATTTCTCGGTGTTGGTTTGTCCAATTTCAATAGTTTTACTACCAATCGATAGAGAAAGTCTTTGCGCATCTAATGATACCAAGAACATTTAAATAGGACAGCCCAACACCGAGATATTTCAGCTTAAAGTTACACTGTTGGGAAAAGGCTTATTTTTTTGTTCAATTTCAATCCTTTTGATATCATTAGATGTGCCAAGTCTTTCTCTATCGATTGGCACAAAAACTATTCCAATTGGACATCCCAAAACGAAGAAATTTGAGCTTAAAGTTATGCAAATGGTAAAAGAGACAGGGCGCGTATCTAAGCCCCGCCCATTTGCCATTGGCAATTTAGCTTTAAACTCAAATTTCTCGGTGTTGGTTTGTCCAATTTCAATAGTTTTACTACCAATCGATAGAGAAAGACTTTGCGCATCTAATGATACCAAGAATGTTTAAATTCGATTCCCCAACACCAAGAAATTTGAGCTTAAAGTTACACTGTTGGGAAAAGGCTTATCAGATGCGAAAATCGAGAATTTTATCATAAAAGGATTGTTTTTTTTTGATTCTATCGTCCATATGTAACTAGGATCATCTCGAGCTTCTACAGAAGGCTTATCTCGAGCTTCTAATGGAAATTCTTGTCAAAAAACGAACCCATTCTCGCGTCTGATTGTGGTCGACGAATGCCGATGGCTGGGCTGAAATCGAGTTAAAAATTTTACCTCTTTATCATTCTATTTCTTATCTAAACTACCGTAATCCATTAATTTACAATAAAAGAAATTCAGCTAATGATTTAAAGAGCTTTTTAAATGATAAGAGCTTATCTAACAAAGGCTAAGGCTTAGCTAAGGCTAGCTAAGGCTAGCTAAGGCTAGCTAAGCCTTAGCTAAGGCCTAGCTAAGGCCTAGCTAAGGCTAGCTAAGGCTAGCTAAGGCTAGCTAAGGCTAGCTAAGCCTTAGCTAAGGCCTAGCTAAGGCTAGCTAAGGCCTAGCTAAGCCTTAGCTAAGGCCAGCTAAGGCTAGCTAAGACTAGTCCATTCCCAATTCGATCCTTATCTCTTCCTGTCTTTTCTACTGTCTCAAATTGTCTTACTGTAGCTTTTCTAGTAACTCTAATCAAATTTACCTATTCGAATCCCTTTGCCCAGCATTCCCTTTGTTGAAAGTGTCAGTAAAATGTTTTTCAGAGACTTGTATAAGATTTGGAGAGGCATTGATCATCTCCTCTCCTCCAGCACTTCCACTATTCGCTGTAGCTGGTCGACTAAGTTGCTGAAAAGACTTCCAAGTTAATCAACGACCGAGCGAGCTATCACCTGTCCAGGTGTACTCCTTTGACTCAAACTGAGCGCAGCGGCTGAAGCAGCGCTGATCGGAATCCCAGCTAAAACCGTTGCCGCCGAGATTTTCCTCATCATATTTTCTTGTGCTTGTTGATTAGCAGCAGCTTGAGCAGCAGCTTGAGCAGCAACAGCTTGAGCTTGAGCTTGCTGTAGTTGCAGCTGTAGTTGCATCCGAAGATTCATTTGGCTAGGAGCTGGATCAACAGGAACCGGTGGACGCGGGGAAATCGCATCAGTGGGCTGTTTGAGGGTCTAAAAGGATAAAACGATTATCTAGAATGGATAAAGATTGATTGATTATCAAGATTTTCTTTAGATTTCTCTATTTATTTGATAATTTCTCTTTAAAAAGCTCAAAATCTCTTTAAAAACCTCAGAATTTCTTTCAAAGCCCAGGATTATCTTTAGAAACCTCCGAATTTCTTTAAAAACCTTAGGATTATCTTTAGAAACTTCAGGATTTCTTTAAAAGCTCAAAATTATCTTCAGAAACCTCAGAATCATCTTAAAAAGCTCAGGATTCAATCGAAATCCAGGTGGAAGGCCAAGAGGAGCTGGAGCTCCAGAATTATCTTTAAAAGCTCAGAATTATCTTTAAAAGCTTAGAATTATCTTTAGAAGCTCAGAATTTCTTTAAAAAGCTCAGAATTACCTTTAGAAGCTCAGAATTACCTTTAAAAGCTCAGAATTTCTTTAGAAACCTCAGAATTATCTTTAGAAGCTCAGAATTTCTTTAGAAGCCTCAGAATTATCTTTAGAAACCTCAGAATTTCTTAAGAAACCTCAGAATTATCTTTAAAACCTTAGAATTATCTTTAAAACCTCAGAATTATCTTTAGAAACCTCAGAATTTCTTAAGAAACCTCAGGCTTATCTTAAAAAACCTCAGGATTATCTTTAAAACATCAGGATTATCTTTAAAAGCTTAGAATTTCTTTAGAAACCTCAGAATTATCTTTAGAAACCTCAGGATTCAATCGAAATCCAGGTGGAAGGCCAAGAGGAGCTGGAGCTGGGGCTGGAATAGATGTTGCCACAGATCCTTGTTGTAGCATTTGTTGCATTCGAAAAGCATCTAATCCAGTAATATTTCGATTTCCAGGAGCTGAAATGACATTTCTACAATTGGGATGAAGTTTCTACAATTTTATAAACACTTCTAAGCAATTAAATCAATTTCGAAATGTTTATTGCTCGGTTTCTTTTCTTTGAAAGCTTTAAAAGCTTTTTTTGATCAAATTTTAGAAGAATTTGATTAAAATAGGCTTTAAAATCGCTTTTAATTGATTTAAAATCGCTTTTAAATTGATTTAACAGTGGTCCACAAAAGGAATGCCCATTGCCATCCACAAAAGGAATGCCCCATTGCCCTCCACAAAGGCAATGCCCCATTGCCATTCAACAGTATGTTTTGTAATGGAAAACTTGCAAAATCGAGATTTCAGAAAAAAGAGTAGGGTATTTTTATAAGAGACTCGACTTTTCGACTTTTGGCCGTCATATAGACGAGTTGGTCGTCCTATATACGAATTGGTCGCCTTATATACGAATTGGTCGCCTTATATACGAATTGGTCGCCTTATATACGAATTGGTCGCCTTATATACGAATTGGTCACCTTGTATACGAATTGGTCGCCTTATATACGAATTATTCGCCTTATATATGAGTTGGACGCCTTATATACGAGTTGGACGCCTTATATACGAGTTGGACGCCTTATATACGAGTTGGACGTCTTATATACGAGTTGGTCGCCTCATATACGAATTGGACGCCTTATATACGAATTGGCCGCTATATAGACGAGTTGGATGCCTTATATACGAGTTGGACGCCTTATATACGAGTTGGACGCCTTATATACGAGTTGAACGCCTTATATACGAATTGGCCGCTATATAGACGAGTTGGACGCCATATAGACGAGTTGGTCGTCTTATATACGAATTAGGGGGGCGTTACTTTTGTGGACCACTGTATTACTTACAATAACAAGTAGAGATTCAAATTTTCCTTTTGACTTACTGTTCTGAGCAGCAGCTAGAGCTTGTTGAAGTAAAAGAGCTTCTAGACTGCCCGGTTTAGGAACATTAGACGATTGAACTTGCGATTGTTTTAACTAAAAATAGGAAACCAATACAAGTACAATAAATTTTCCATTCTTTTATCATAATTCTTAAATCTAAAAGAACTATTACTCTTTTCTGGTTAGATTTAAACAGAAATCAGTTAATATATTATGTAAAATGATCAAGAAAAGAGCTAATAAACAAATAATAAAATCAATGTTTTTTTTTAATTCTTTCAAACCTGTTGCTGTTGAACTAAAGCATGTGAGGTGACTGGGTCAATTTGTGGGACGGGCGGTTGTCTAGCGGCGTTCAACTGCAATTGATGAGCGGCTTGAGCTTGAGCTTGAGCAAGGATGTTTTGTTGTTGGCTGCAGATCTTGCATTATAGAGTTCGATTTATTGCTTACCGTAGGATATGATTTTGAGGTAAAAGCTGGGCAAGTGCTCCGAGTTGATCTCCGACAGAGACGGGGATTTGAGCAGCCGAGACTTGGGGTAGCTGGAAAGGAATGGTTTCAAAAGAAGATACAGAACAAGATATAGATCAAGATCGAGCTACAGATCAAGATCAAGCTCTAGATCAAGCTACAGCTCTAGATCAAGCTCTAGATCAAGCTCTAGATCAAGCTCTAGATCAAGCTACAGCTCTAGATCAAGCTCTAGATCAAGCTACAGCTCAAGATCAAGCTACAGGTCAAGCTACAGCTCTAGATCAAGCTACAGATCAAGATCCAGCTCTAGATCAAGCTCTAGCTCAAGCTACAGCTCAAGATCAAGCTACAGCTCAAGATCCAGCTACAGATCAAGCTACTCAACTCTTATTTTATTTCAAATCAAACCTGAATCCCAATATGATTGATGGGTTGCGGAGGTTGAGACTGTGGCGGTGGTTGAACAGCGGTTGGTTGACTGGGGAGAGAGCTACCACCTGGACCAACCATTGGAGCTGGAGGAGCTGAAGTAGCTGGAAAATTGTTGTAAAACTTCTTGGAAATCTACTTTAACTAATCACCTTCAAGTAAAGACTGAAAATTGCAAAGAAAAAACAGCTAAAAACAGCTAAAAACCAACCAGAATTCGATCCTTGCGATGTTGATGAAAGATGTTGATTCAAATGTTGATTCAACAAAACGACGCGAGATTGTTGTACGCCCAAGTTGAAGAAGAATCTGGAAACAGATTTTAGAATAAAAGATTTTAGTTTTAGAGAGATTTGGTATAGTTTGAGGGAAAGAAAGTATAGTTTGAGTTGATGGAAATTTGTTCAAATCAATTTGAATAAAAGCCCTTTAAACTGCTGACTTTTCTAGACTTTGTCATCATTTCTTGGCTTTACAAAGATCTAGATTAGTTGCACTTCGTTATTTGTTAGCTGTTGGTCTGTTGTCTCTCAGCTGTTTGTCAGCTGTCAGCTGGCTGTCTGTTGTCTCTCAGCTGTCTATCAGCTGTCTGTCAGCTGTCAGCTGTCTGTCTGTTGTCTCTCAGCTGTCTATCAGCTGTCAGCTGGCTGTCAGCTGTCTGTCTGTTGTCTCTCAGCTGTCTCTCAGCTGTCTCTCAGCTGAGATCAAATACCTGAGTGTGGAGACATCGTTGAGTGGTAAATCTTGTCCTTGTGGATTTTCGGATGGTGGTACGTCGAGATTCACATGTTTATACGCGTGCATATCGAAGAATGGCACATTGACGGCTGGCTGTTGAATTGGCCAGGGAAGATAGGGGTGATCACCGGTCTAAAAAAGGATGATCACAGTTTGATGACGGTTCTCAGCGCTAGCTAAGAGGCTTGTATCTAATTATATTGCCTTATAGGCTATATTGCCAGAGGACTCGAACCCTCGAGGTGCATACGCCCATCAGACACGTGCACTAACCACTACACCACCAAAGCCGTTGACTGAAGACAGCCCAAAACCTTGTATGCCATAAATCTCGTGATAGAGAAGCGTCTGACAAAAACTGTTTGCAGATTCGGAATCAGCGTAAAGAACTGCATTAAATAGGGTATTTTCCGAGTCAAAACCATGATAAGTTAACAAAATTCTTTAGTTTAAACATTTTGAACAACTGATCACACTTTAAACGGCTATAACTTTGTCTAGGGACAATATTATGCTTAACTATTGATATCATTGAATAAAGGAAATTTCAGCCTTTCAAATGATACTAAATCGAGCTTGATTGATAAGCCAGCCGAGGAAATCCAAGCCAACTAAAAAAACTGATAGCTCAAAAAAAGCCAAAACTTTAATGATCCAAATCTCGCGATAGAGAAGCGTTTGACAAAAACTGATTACAGATTCGGAATCAGCGTTAAAAACTGCAGCAGATAGGGTATTTAAGCTATGCTAAGTTAACAAAATTCTCTAGTAAATCGAGAGATAAGTCGGGTGGGGTTACGGGTTCGATTCTGGCTAATTTCTTCTTTCTTTTCTTCTTTCTTTTTCTCAATTTGGCTACAATTTCTTCGTTTTTAAGTTAATCTTAATGAAATTTTATCAAGAAAACAAATAATTCATCATTTTCTTTTACATTTTTTTGATTTTTAATGATTTTTAATGATTTTTTGGTACAAAATGGCAAAGATGATAAATAAAAAAGGCAAAAAAAGTCAAAAAAAGGCAAAAAACCGTTTTCTAGCCAAAGATCTGTTAGATTTCGTAATTAAAAAGGAATTTCTTTAATATTCTAATACAGAAATAGATTAGAAAAGAGATTTCTGAAGATTTTTGAACAAAAAGATTAAATCTTCAATAAGATCTTTGATTTTGGAAGAAAAATGAGTAATGAAAAGTGGTTTTTTCAAAAAAAAATCAATTTTTAACGCTTTTTATCTCTTTTTTATCTCTTTTTCTCTCTTTTTATCTCTTTTTATCTCTTTTTATATCAATTAAACCCAAAAATCTATAAATAAATACTTTCTAATGCATTTGAATTTTCATTTTCTCACAATAAACTTGAAAGAAAGCATGAATTACGTGCACTAGATGCACTGCGTTTGCGGATTTCAAAGCAGAGAGTTCAGGTGGGAAAATGGGATTGAAAAGAATAGATGATAAAATAGATGATAAAGAAAAGAGAAAAGAAAAGAGCTTTAGGAAATGTTCGAACGAGGTTAGGGGAGAGTTTATCTATATTTTATTGTAGATATCGTAAATACCCCACCCCTGTAATTGGACCCCACCCCTCTAATAGTACCCCATCCTAGAGGGGGAGGGGAAAAATAATACCCCACCCCATGGGGTCCAATTACAGTATTTACGGTATCTACATTCTATTGTAGATCTCTACATTCTATTATAGATATCTACATTCTATTGTATTCTCTCTAATAGTGCATTCAAAGTTTTCCTTAAACTCCTCGAAATCTCGAGAACCGCTTATCAGAACCTATCAATTTGAGGTCAGAAATGTAGCTAACGATGAGCTCTTGCGAGGGATTAGAGTGTTGAGCTTCTGTGAAAAGTTTGAAAGCCGTAAAATAGTGATCAACTCGGCTCGGCGGAGAGCACTATTAGAGAAAAGACGTTCAACACCGTATTTTCTCTAATAGTGCATCCAAAGTTTTAGCCTAAATTGTTCGAAATCTCGAGAACCGCTTATCAGAACCTATTGATGTGGGGTCAGAAATGTAGCTAACGATGAGATCTAGTTGGTTTTTAAAGTGATCTTGTGATCTTGTGATGTTCACTCGAACAAGGCTAGATAGAATTTATCTAAATTTCACTGTATTCTCTCTATTAGTGCATTCAAAGCTTTCCTTAAATTCCTCGAAATCTCGAGAGCCGCTTCTCAGAACCTATCAATTTGCGGTCAGAAATGTAGCTAACGATGAGATCTAGTAAGGGATTTGAGTGTTGAGCTTCTGTGAAAGCTTAGAAACCGTAAAATAGTGATCAACTCGGCGGAATGCCGGTGGAATGCACTATGCACTATTATAGAGAAACCTGCAATTATAGAGAAAAATCAAATGCCAACCTGTGTATGAATCATATGTGAATGATGTCCGGATGGTGTTTGTGATTGATTCGGTGTCTGGGATGGGGTTTGCGAGGCTGAATGAGCTGCTGCTGCGGCGGCAAGACTCTGTGCCGGCGCCAGGAACATTGGGAGACCCGTGGCCTGGAATTCGAAGTGAAATCGTGATTTATTGAAGCGCTGGATTCTTGTGACAATATTATAAAAGGTTTTCATTTCTACAAAACTCTGAAAGAATGAAAATAGCTCTGATTCGAATGGTTCTTTCCTTTCTAGTCCTTGTTTTTCGCTATTTACCGAATTAGTCAATTCTGAGAATCCCCGGATTTTCAGAGGTTTTAAAAGTGAGATAAATGAAGTGATTGAAAACTATAAAAGAGAAAAAAAGAGATTCTGGCATAATTGGGTAAATGAATGAAGCAAGAATAGCTAAAAATCGGCACCAGTGCGGTAACAGAAGCTTATACAAAATTTTATAGAAACTAGAAGTTTAGAGTTGCTTAAACTGGCTTTAGAGTTGGCCTTAGTTGCTTAAACTTGCTCTGGAGTTGGCTTAGTTGCTCAGATTGGCTCTGGAGTTGGCCTTAGTTGCTTAAATTGGCTCTGGGATTGACTTTAGTTGTTAAACTGTCTCTGGAGTTGGCCTTGGTTGCTTAAACTGGCTTTGGAGTTGGCTTAGTTGCTTAAATTTGCTAAAGCACATCGCCATCGTCATCAAATCATCAAAAACTTGTAAATGAAAGGTGTTTTTACCAAAGAATAGCCAAAAAATTGGTGCGAAAGTACCCCGAAAATACCTGACTGGTCGACGGTGCCACTGAAACAACTGTCCCATGGTGTGGCTGTTGTTGTGCGGCGACCAAGTGTTGCGCAAAAGACATTTGAGACATTTGAGGCTGAAAAAAATCGATGAATAAATGAAGAAAATAGATTCAATAATGAATGGAAATATTTTTTCGAAAATCGAAATAATATTTGCTCAATAAAGTTTGTTTTTTTAATCGGAGCGGATTTGTGACCTCATCAGCTCAAAAAAGAAAGAATCGGTGAAATGAGGAAAAGTACAGCGAAAACCAACGAAATTTCAGATTTCCCAATGTCATTTGGAATGTCATTTAATTTTCAAAAATCTGTCGGAAAATTGGAAATTTGCATTTAAGTTTTAAGTTAGCGTCGGCAAATCGAAAATTTGCATTTAATATCAAAAATCCGTCAAAAATTGGAAATTTGCATTTAATTCTTCAAATTTCGACAAAAATGGAAATTTGCATTTAAGCTAAAAACCGTCGGAAAATTGGAAATTTGCATTTAACTTTTAGTTTTTTGTCTGAAAATCGAAAATTTGCATTTAATTTTTAAGAATCTGTCGAAAATTGGAAATTTGCATTTAATTTTTAGTTTTTTGTCTGAAAATCGAAAATTTGCATTTAATTTTCGAAAATCTGTCGTAAAATTGGAAATTTGCATTTAATATTTGATTTTCGTCGGAAAATCGAAAATTTGCATTTAATCTTGAATTTCTGTCGGAAAATCGAAAATTTGCATTTAATATCAAAAATCCGTTGAAAATTGGAAATTTGCATTTAATTTTTCAAATTTCCGACAAAACGGGAAATTTGCATTTAATTCTTGAATTTGAAGAAAGGAAAATGCGGAATTTCCCCTAATCTGGGGGTGATCTTTGATTTGGAAAAGTGAAGAAAATGATTGAAAAGAGTCAAATTTCTTTTTTAAAATCAATATTCTTTTAATTTAATAATTTAAAATCAATATTCTGACGTTAAAGTAAGCCTTGAAAAAGCTGTTCAGTTTTTTTGGAATATTAATCTCGAAATTTTGCACCTGTGCGTGGGCAGCGGCGGCGGCTGCAGCTACTGCTTGTTGAGCGGCCACGGCTTGAGCTTGAGCCTGAAAAAGGAGAGGATTGGAAAGGGAATGAGGAAGGGAATGAGGAAGGGAATGAGGACTTCTTTTTCAACTTTCTTTTATTTCATTTTTTGTTTCTTTGATTAATAACGCTGATTTAGAGAAAGGAATCTTTAAAAAATGAAATTTTTCAAAATTACAGTAAGCCTAGAAAGTACAGGAAGCTTGGAAAGTACGGGAAGCTTAGAAAGTACAGTAATCTTAATAAAACAAAGAAAAAGACTAAATTCTACAGTACCCTAGAATCAAAATATAATCCTTAGATCAATAGAAATATTAATAAACCAATAATCTAATGATTTTAAGGGTTTGAGAGGGGATAAGAGGCGCTAAAGGATTCTTTAATTTCCGAAAACTTTACCCAACCTAACCCAACTATTATCTAATCGCTAAACAATCAACGCTAATCTAGGCCAAGTCTTCTACCTGAGCTTGAGCTTGAGCTTGAGCCTGTGCTTGTGCCTGAGCCTGTGCTTGTGCTTGAAGGGCTGTGTGTTGATGCATGGCGGCGAGTTGCGCAGCGCTTAAGCCTGAAAATTTTTTAATTAATTTTTTCTTAAATCTATTGATCTCTAAATCTTTCGTGACTTCCAGATAAGATAATCTGAAATTTTCAGTGCTGTAACTGAAGTAGATCAAGAGAAAATTCGTTAGGTAATCGATTGAACTCATTTCTCAGATTAAACATCTCAAATTTCAAGGAAAAACCTCTAAAATCGATGAATTAAAGAACTTGATAACAAAAAGGATTTAAAGAACTTCATTTAACAATGAAGATCTTTATTTAAACAATTTCAACTCACCAGATAAAGCTGCTGGATGTAGTTGCATCAATTGTTGTGAAAGCATCGCTGCCGCTTGACTCGTCGCTTGTTGGTGAGCGGTTGGATGGCCTAAGATCTTATTAATTATCGTCCTTCTTCTTTCCCCTTTTGCTCTTGATAAGTTAGGGTACTGAATAAGAAAGGAATTGCCTGAAAAGTCGAGGTTAAAAGGCTCCCTCTCCAGAAACCCATTTTTCCCAAATCCTTCACTTCTTTATTATCTGCTGACAGTCTATTGTCAGAAACATTCAAAGGAAAAGCTCGAGGGTTCAATCCCGTCCACGTCTCCTTCCCTTCAACTCCTTCCCTTCAACTCCATCCCTTCACTTCCTTCCCTTCACTTCCTTCCCTTCAACTCCTTCCCTTCAACTCCTTCCCTTCAACTCCTTCCCTTCAACTCCTTCCCTTCAACTCCTTCCCTTCAATTCCTTCCCTTCAACTCCTTCCCTTCAACTCCTTCCCTTCAACTCCATCCCTTCACTTCCTTCCCTTCACTTCCTTCCCTTCAACTCCTTCCCTTCAACTCCTTCCCTTCAACTCCTTCCCTTCAACTCCTTCCCTTCAACTCCTTCCCTTCAATTCCTTCCCTTCAACTCCTTCCCTTCAACTCCTTCCCCTTCAACTCCATCCCTTCACTTCCTTCCCTTCACTTCCTTCCCTTCAACTCCTTCCCTTCAACTCCTTCCCTTCAACTCCTTCCCTTCAACTCCTTCCCTTCAACTCCTTCCCTTCAACTCCTTCCCTTCAACTCCATCCCTTCACTTCCATCCCTTCACTTCCTTCCCTTCAACTCCTTCCCTTCAACTCCTTCCCTTCAACTCCTTCCCTTCAACTCCATCCCTTCACTTCCTTCCCTTCACTTCCTTCCCTTCAACTCCTTCCCTTCAACTCCATCCCTTCACTTCCTTCCCTTCAACTCCTTCCCTTCAACTCCTTCCCTTCAACTCCTTCCCTTCAACTCCATCCCTTCACTTCCTTCCCTTCACTTCCTTCCCTTCAACTCCTTCCCTTCAACTCCTTCCCTTCAACTCCTTCCCTTCAACTCCTTCCCTTCAATCCTTCCCTTCAACTCCATCCTTCACTTCCTTCCCTTCACTTCCTTCCCTTCAACTCCTTCCCTTCAACTCCTTCCCTTCAACTCCTTCCCTTCAACTCCTTCCCTTCAACTCCTTCCCTTCAATCCACCCTTCACTTCCTTCCCTTCAACTCCTTCCCTTCAACTCCTTCCCTTCAACTCCATCCCTTCACTTCCTTCCCTTCACTTCCTTCCCTTCAACTCCTTCCCTTCAACTCCTTCCCTTCAACTCCTTCCCTTCAACTCCTTCCCTTCAACTCCATCCCTTCACTTCCTTCCCTTCACTTCCTTCCCTTCAACTCCTTCCCTTCTAACCCCAACGTCGTTTAGTGAATCTTTTAGCAGTTAAAACCTAGGATTGAACCTAGAAAACGACTAGAAAAAGATTCCTAGTCCCTAGCTTCAAACCTAGCTCTTGATTCGCTTTTGTTCAGCCAGATCAAGCATAGGCAACCACCAAGTCTGGCTTTGGTTCTACTCTTGCCATCTTGGTCCTTGTCTAGTCTGACTTAAAAATAGCCTAACTCTAAGCTAAGACCTAAGCCTAGCTTAGAGTTAGGCTAGAGCTGCTAGAGCTGTTAGAAGTAGACTTGACTTAGAGCTGTTAGAAGTTGGCTTGACTTAAAGTTGTTAGAAGTTGATTTAAAGCAGTTAGAAGTTGACTTAATCAAGTCTGACCGGCCTTGGATCAAGATTGATTGGTCAGAAAACGAGAAATCATAAAAAGTCTCAAATTTTCAGTTCACCTGAATGATGTTGTTGTGATTGATGTGTTTGTTGATGATGATGTTGTTCTTGTGTTGTTTGTTGTTGATGTGAAGGACCCAAAACGGACTGTGAAAGGCCGAGGAGAGCACCTGGAAATCGAAAAAGTGAAGAAAAAGCTAAAGAAATCTTTAGATAAGCTATTTAATAAGTTTATTTAATTAAAGATCATGTGTAAAAGATATTCAGCTAATCAAAAGATCAAATTGATTGTCCAAATCTCTAAAGCCAAAGCCAGAGCCAAAGCCAAAGCCAGAGCCAAAGCCAAGCCAAAGCCAAGCCAAAGCCAAGCCAAAGCCAAGCCAAAGCCAAGCCAAAGCCAGACCATAAAAACTGCAATTTCTTCTGTTTCTTTCATTTTTGATCAATGAAACTTTAGAATTACTCATTTTTTTTAAAAAAGCGAAAAAACGGAGATTTCCACGAAAAAAAATGAGAAAAATGGGAAAAACAGAGGATAAATTTGAGATCAATGGAATAAATTCCGAGAAATCAAAGAGCAATTGTTATTTTGATGGAAAACTACGTGGAAATTCCATGTTTTCACGTGGACTTTGTGCTTTTTTTTTGCTAAACACACCCCCCAAATACCCAATTTTGAGGTCATCAAAGAAACTCGTGTATGCTGTTGAATCTGGCTATATTCTTGAAGCAAAGTTGCATTCTGGAACGCACACTAGTTAATCGATAAGTTTTAGGTGTAGTTTTATTCATTTTTCTTTGGTTCAATTACGCGATTTTGAGAGCACCGAAGAAACTCGTATATACTAGTTGAATGTTGCGATAGTCCTGAAGTAGAGTTTCATTCTGGAATGCACGCTAGTTAATGGATAAGTACTTGGAGCACTTTTCCCCATTTTCGTTCGGTTCAGCTAGACAATTTCGAGAAGACCCAAGAAAATCGTGTACAATGTTAAATCTAGCACGCACTATATAGTCAAAGTTTGATTCTGGAACGCACACTAGCTAACGGATACGTTTTAGGTGTACTTTTGCTCATTTTTCTTTGGTTCAATTACGCGATTTTGAGAGCACCGAAGAAACTCGTATATACTCATTGAATCTTGCCATTTCCCTTAAGTAAAGTTGCATTCTGGAATGCACACTAGTTAATGGATACGTTTTAGGTCTAGTTTTATTCATTTTTCTTTGGTTCAATTACGCGATTTTGAGAGCACCGAAGAAACTCGTATATACTAGCTGAATCTTCCTATATTCCTGAAGCAAAGTTGCATTCTGGAACGCACACTAGTTAATGGATAAGTTTTTGGGGTACTTTTCCTCATTTTCTTTTGGTTCAATTACCCAACTTCAGGAAGATACAAGAAAATCGTGTACACTCGTTGAATCTTTCTATATTCCTGAAGTAAAGTTTCATTCTGGAATGCACACTATCTAATGGATAAGTTTTGAACGTACTTTATACTCTAGTACTTTATACTTTTTCAGGTGTACTTTTCCTCATTTTCAATAGATTAAAATACTCGAAAAAAAAAAGTCAACTAAACAAATAACAGAAACAAAAAATGAAATGCATTTAAGTTAAAAACGGATAACTAAATTTGAATGGAAGAAAATTGAATTAAAAAAAAGGATGGAATGTTTTAATTAAAGTTAAAAAAAGTAAAAGAAAGATTTTTTATAGAAATTTTCTGAAAAAAGACAATTCAATGATCTTTTCATTTATTAAAAATGGGGAAAAAGGGGAAAAAAGGGGAGAAAAGGGGAAAGAAAGAGCTAAATAAACGTTTTAAAAGAATTTTCTCGACAAAAAATTAATCCCAATTCATTTATTCTAAGAATAATTAAAGGAAAAAGGGAGAAAATGAGAAAAAAAAAAAGGGGAAAAAGACATTTTTTTACAATTTTTCTGCAAAAAAAGTGCAAAAAGAATGGAAAAATTTTCTTTTTTTCGTTTGCAAAATGTGCTTTTTGTGAAAAGAAAACCTAGACACGGATGGGAAAGGAAAAAAATGGAGATACAGTACTGGACAATGAAATATCATATTTGAATGATTGTTGATTGGTATTGAATAGCTCTGAGTTCTCAATAAAGAAGAAATAGTGGCCAGAGTGGCCAGAGAGGCCAAGAAATAGTGGCCAGAGTGGCCAGAGAGGCCAAGAAATAGTGGCCAGAGAGGCCAGAGAGGCCAAGGAATAGTGGCCAGAGAGGGCAGAGAGGCCAAGAAATAGTGGCCAGAGAGGGCAGAGAGGCCAAGAAATAGTGGCCAGAGAGGGCAGAGAGGCCAAGAAATAGTGGCCAGAGAGGGCAGAGAGGCCAAGAAATAGTGGCCAGAGTGGCCAGAGATCCAGCTCCGTAATAAAGCTCTTTTTAAGTCTAATACAGTCGTTTACCGGTTCAGTTACCCAACTTTTGCCCAAACATCGTGACTCTTCCTGTGCCAGAAGAGGTGCGTTTAAGCCGCCCACATCTTCGCCCAAGGGTTCACCACGTAAACGCACCCAATCTGGTCACCAGCGTACACTAAAAGGCACAAAGTACCCCGAAAAACGTATCCATTAACTAGTGTGCGTTCCAGAATGCAACTTTGCTTAAGAGAAATGGCAAGATTCAATGAGTATATACGAGTTTCTTTGGTGATCTCGAAATCGGGTAATTGTACCAAAGAAAAATGAAGAAAACTACACCTAAAACTTATCCATTAACTAGTGTGCGTTCCAGAACGCAACTTTACTTCAGGAATATAGCAAGATTCAACGATTGTACACGATTTTCTAGGGTCTTCTCAAAATTGGGTAACTGAACCAAGAAGAAGAAAGTACCCCGAAAAACGTATCCATTAGATAGTGTGCGTTCCGAACGTAACTTTGCGGCGTCAACTTGTACACGATTTTCTAGGGTCTTCTCAAAATTGGGTAATTGAACCAAAGAAGAATGAAGAAAAGTACCCCGAAAAACGTATCCATTAGATAGTGTGCGTTCCAGAACGCAACTTTTCTTCAGGAATATAGCAAGACTCAACATTGTACACGATTTTCTTGGGTCTTCTCGAAATTGGGTAATTGAACCAAAGAAAAATGAAGAAAAGTACCCGGAAAAACGTATCCATTAGATAGTGTGCATTCCAGAATACAACTTTTCTTCAGGAATATACGAAGTAAACTTTTTGTTAAAAACATAAATACATTCCTTCTATTGTCGTAAACTTTTAAAAGAAAAGTTTTTTTCAATTGAGTGTACTTTGATTTCTCGTTAGACGCTCATTATGTAGCGCTTTGGAACAAATAAAAGGCTTCTCTTTTTGATTTTTTTCGGAAATTGGGGGTTTTAAAGAATGGTATTTGAAAAGGGCAAAAAAAGAAAGAAAAAAGGAAAATAGAATATTAATTTTGATTTTTCTGACTGAGCAGGGGATTTTTAGTAGGCCAGATTAGCAAATAGTTTGGGCTTGGTTCTGACCCTAACTTTGCTCCGAGCTGGGCTGGACCTGGAACTAAAAACTTTACAGCATCGTCGCTTTGTCATTGATTTAGTCGAAACTTTCAAAATCCTCCGTTGTAAACAGATTAGCCCTTTGTTTATAGACTTTTTCAAATTTAAACCGCGGTCAGGGCCCAGAAGTGGCTCATTCCTTTTGCAAATTCCCTTTGCTTCCAATGCCTCTTTATCAAATTCATTTCCCGTTAGAGCCGCTAGATTATGGAACTTGCTCCCAAACGACATACGAGAAATTCAGTCGCTTTTCATATTCAAGAAACGTATCGATGCTTTAGATCTAGTGGCTCTTTGCCGTAAGTAATTGGCTTATTGATTTCAGTATGTATTGTATGATTAAGTATCACTGTGCATTTCTCTATCATTTCTTTCACTTTATCGTTTGAATAAAGTATTATTATTGGTTCTGACCCTAACTTTGCTCCGAGCTGGCCTGGACCTGGACTAAAAATGAAAGAGACAAATTTCTCTTTAAAAAAAAACGAATTTTCAATATTTTCAATAGAAAACGATAAAAATCTCTCAAAGTTTTTAAGTAAAATTTCGTGATTTTCTTTTTTCATTTTTAATTTCTAAAGATTTTCTTATCAATTGTGTATCAATGGGGGCATAAAAAGGGGAGAGATGAACACGAAAATCGCCTGAAAATCGCCAATTGATAAGAATATGGGAAAGTGGAAATGGAAATCGAAAAACTGAAAAGAAAAGAAAAATGGAAAACGAAAAACTGAAAAGAAAAGAAAAATGGAAATCGAAAAACTGAAAATTCAAAAATCTACATGCCTTAGTCAAAAATTGATTTTTCAATTTATTGTACTTTGAATGCTCGTAAACGCCCACTGTCTAGCGCTTTGGAACAAATAAAAGCCTTCTCCATAAAATGATTTGATTCTTCTCCACAAAAACATGAATAAATGCTTGAATCAGTAAAAAAGCGTTGAACGAATGAAAAGCTCCAAGGGAAATCGAACCAAGGACCTCTGGCCTTGAAGGCGACCACTCTATCTACTGAGCCATGAGCGGAGGTTGTCAGGGACAGGAAAAAACGTTTTCGCAAAAATCGAAACTGCACGGGGAATCGAACCCGTGACCTTTCCTGACCCGCTCGCCTTGTAGACGACCGCTCTAACCACTGAGCCACGCGACCCTCTCGCCTTAAGGAAAGGTTAACGGAATGAGAAAAAAGGTTTTGCAAAAATCGAAGGCTGAGAACGGAGTCGAACCCGTGACCTTTCGTGATCCTCTCGCCTTGTAGACGACCGCTCTACCGACTGAGCCACAAGGGAAGGTTAGCAAGGGAGAAAAAAAGGGTTTTTTAAATGTTCTATCATCAAAAAAGTTGATTTTGGCAAAAAAAGCATAAAAAACAAGAATGTTGGGGCTTTTGCATTGGAAATAATCCCAGAAATCATCACGGAAAAGTGATGTAAAATGCTGACTAGGGGAAAAGACAGATAAGCAAAAAGACAGCAAAGGAGACAGAAAAATCGGATTCTGATGTCAAATTGTGTTCAATCAATCTAAAGAACTCAAAATCTTTTTCCAAAAGAAAGATCAGACTCCAAATTTCTCTCTTATCAAACAGTTTTCGGCTTTTTTTTTTAAAAAAACTAATCACTCCTGTTTGCAAAAATT